GGAAATTTTTCTTATTGGTACCAAGGATGGAATATGAGTTTTCAATGCGTTGTGCACCCCTCCTAAATTTATGACCCCTGGGTCAACTCACATTCCACTTATGGTCAAAATTTCCACAAGTTTTACTTGGCCAGTTAGTTTCGGCGCAAGACTAATTTAGACCCAAAAGGTGCTCTCCTACTCATCGATGCTACTCCGACTAATATTTTCATATTGTTCTTTTGACCATTAAATTTAAAGTGTTACCATTGGACTTGCATGTGTCTCATCACAACAGTCATGTCAAAAAATCAAAAAATAATTTCCCAAAAACCCTAGTAAAGAAGGTTGCAACGGATACGTACATACTGTATCGGAAGTACACATACATTACGAAGCTTCGAAGAAAGGAATGGATGGACATACCATTCCTACCTACATATCATCATAATGTACTATTCATATATAGTATATATATATATATATCATACGATTCATCGTACCAATGATCCTAAGAGGTCCAAGATACGAGGTAAGAGAATACCTCACGAAGAAGTCTGGAATGGAAGAACCTTCTTCATGTAGATTCACTACCAGATCTACATGAGGATCTGATCAGAACTTCAGAACTCTCATGAACGCGCTCAATAATCTTAATCATATAATTTGGGCTCAATTTTTTCATACACACTTAAACACTTACCAAGAGTACACATAATCTCGTGCACAGTAATTACTACCCGTTTTCTGTGTATCAAAAAAAATTAATCATCCATTAAGGAAAATAACCAAATAAATCATTTGACCATGGTGAAACCAAACAAGAACACCAACTTGTCCCCCAAACATTCACACCGATCCTGTCTCAGCCTAATAAACAACTTCGACTCAAGCCAACTGCAGACAGTCTCCATTACTGTGAACCTTCGAGGCCCAGTAAGAAAGCTAACTAGGAACTGCTTAACCTTCTCCTGGGAGCATGGAGTGCAGGAACTATTCCACGTACAGGAAGACTTTGAAGATGCAATAAAGGATTTGGAACTACCAGCGGATCAGATAGATAAGAAGTGGCAAATGGTCCTAGCACACAGACCCAGACAGAAGTGGAACAGCATGTGGAACAATAACAGACTAGCGGACGTACCAAGGACCAACTTGGCACAGTGGAAGACAGCCCTGCTCGCCTTTAGGAAGTTCTATGCACCATCAAAGAGGGCAAGAGATGAAGCCATTGAATACTTGCAATCAGACACTACTATCAGAAAGCCCCACTCCAGTTCCTGCCAGGCCCATGCCGACAGAGTTGAAACCTGTTGTGCCAGAGCCAACATCCTTCATGGCATCCGGGAACCTTTGTCAGACAGAGAGATCAAGCAGATTCTCTTTAGATCCTTTCCCAAGTCTTGGCAGAATGACTATATCAGATGTGGAAGAGACATCCTCAACAACACCATTGAGCAAATTGTACAGTACTACATGACAGACCAAAAAGGGATAGCAGATGAGGAGCAATTATACAATCAGTCTAAGAAAAGAGCAGCAAAGACAGATTCCGACCAGTCTAGAAATGGAAAGAAGCAATGAAAAGGAAATAACAGTGCCGACAATGAAGATGAGAGACAGAAGAAGATCTACGCAAGGCCCTGCAGGAAACATAATGGAGAACACACTTGGGGTGACTGTCCATTCAATCAGAAGGGTAACAATTACCAAGGTAACAACCAGAGGAACAGCCATAACAGTAACAATAACAGAGGAAATCAAGGCCGACAGGGAAATTCATCCTCTGCATCAAGCAATGGGAACCTTGGGCTGGGAACAAGGTGACTAGTAGTAACAAGACCAAACAACGAGAATTTTGTTCAAACAAAATTCTCATTGTTTCTCTCTTTTTCTCTTTGTTTCTCCATCTTCAAAACAAAGAGAATCTTACCCCCCACAATTCACATTATTTCTCTTTATTTCTCATTTTCAAAACAAAGAGAATACAAGAAAATCTTAACCCCAAAATTCACGTAGTAAGCAAAATTCTTAGTAAGATAACACAAAATTCTTAAGAATATGACAAGAATCCATTTGTAGAATATTCTTCCCTGGTCATAGTATGATTTTCTTCCAATCAGAAAGGAAATGGAGACATCAGTAGAAGTTTTCTCCCTGCTGTATTCTGCTTGAGGAAATATCCTACCRAAGATGATATTGAAAGAGAACTGGAAGTAAACAATAAAGGATGGACTCGAAAAAGAATATGGGACATTATTGAAAAGATTCAGTTTCTCAAAATTCTCAAAATTGGTTTGCTCGATGATTTTGGAGGATATGGTGAATGGATAATGACAGTCAATGGTACACATGTGCTGTAGATTGCAGACCCTGGACATCCAGTATTTTTTCAAGACAGCAATAACTGCAGTGATAAGTTTATCAAAACAGGAATCAATTACAAGCTTGGTATATCTGTGACTTCTAACAATTTCATTTGGATTAATGGCCCTTTTAAAGCAGGAAAGAATGACAAGATCATCTTTATGGAGGGGCTTGTTCTTGTTTCAACACTTTATCTGCCGCAGAGATTCTGTGGGAGTGACTATCTAATAGTGATGTAAACTGTGGGCAAGAAGAAAAGTGGATTGTTGCTCTTATCGAGAATCGATGAACTATGAAATCAAAGACCGATCAGAATAAAGATTGAGTGATGTGTGAATCGAATGAGTCAAGTCACTCACACAAGTGAATGAACTGAGTCATGTCAATTGTATGGATCCATAGGATCAAGTGAGTCATATATGTATGGTGTGTATGAATCATAGATAAGTGTCATATGTATTTGTTGTATATATGAATCATACCCATGACGTCAATTAGACAAACTTTACACGCTGGAGTGGTGCAGAGGCTGTTTTGTGTTGTAGCACAAGAAGTTGTTGTGAAACAAAAGAATTTTTTTGCCAACAAAGAGAAAAAAGATTGCTACTTAATAATTTTGGGAAACAAGTAGAAACAAAGACATTCTTAAGGGTTCTTGTTTGGGAAAAAGGAGAATCAACAAGAAACAAAGAGATTCCTAGTATGATATTCTTACAACCATTCCTTACTAGTAGGAGATAACAAGGAGAAACAATACATACTAGTTTGATTGGACAAAATTCTATTTGTTTATCTTAGTTGAAACAAGTAGAAACAAAGAGATATTTGATTGGCCAATTTTCTTGTTGTTTCAACAAAGAGAAGGCAACATTCTCTTTGTTTTCAGACCAAAGGAAAACTGTGCAATTTTTAATTATCATAATACACATGCATAGGATTTAGTAAAACATGAAAATCCAACTGAAAAAGGTTAAGTTTAACTGTCAGCAAGTTAGATGGATATATTAGTTGGAGTAGCAACAATGAGTACTAGGAGAGCACCTTTTAGGTCTGCACAAAATAACGTGTACTGAATTGTTTTAGTAGTAGTAGTAGTAGTAGTAGTAGTAGTAGTAGTAGTAGTAGTAGTAGTAGTAGTAGTATTTAGACTGTATCTAAATTAGGATTGTGAGACTAAAACTAATGGGAAATAGTTAACTCAAGGAATCCATCAGTCTACACGCTTTCCTGTGTTATAATGGATTCATTGAGTTAGAATTGATAGTAGAATATACTTGTTCTGACTAGTACTAATTGATCGTGAGCTAGTTTCCACAGTTCTCGGATCCTGTGGATCTCAGTAGTGATCCTATTGGGTGACTTTAGAACAGAACTCGCAATGGACTAGTTCTGTTCTGAATTCTACTTCTCCTTCTGAGAACTAGCAAAGAGGAAGTATAGATATATACTGACCTGTATATATGTGTATGTAGTGACGCTTTGCTTTAGTATAGTATATAGTATAGTATATAGTACTCTTATAGTAGTACTTAGTAGTACTATAAAGGTTTTGACCTATATACTAGTATATATATAGTTTTTGGTCCCGGGGACTCATTATTGGATCCATGAGTGGTCCTCCGTACTGTTCCTACTGTGCTTGTTGCAGGGTCTAAATCAGTCTTGCGCCAAAACTAATGGAGGGCCCAGCATATTACTAATAAAACGATCCACCAACCTTGACCAATTATGCATATGGTACAACTGGAACAAGACCATGACTAGATATTTCAAAGCAGTGGTTAACATTCCATGTTGGGACATGAACTCTATTGTTTGCAAAAGCTCATTCTTGGTGAGAGGTATGTCCATGCTGCTTGCCTGTCCCAGAAGTCCTCTAAAATTCTTTTTTCACCATGACTCAGTGATTCAATTGTTCACATGCTGGGACCAGACGGAATTGCCACTTGCAACACCAGCAATGTCTATTGATGCAGCTCATTTGTCATAAGATAGGAAAAGGTCTCTAGTAATAGACCAGGGAAGATTTTCTTTCCTCGGCAGTAGGATTGTTATCCACATCTGGATCCTCTTGTCAATTACACTAGAACACTTCCATTGCAAAAAACTTCTTGTTGGTATTATCCAGTATTAGCTAGTACTAGATGACTCAGCTCCTTGTGAGTGAAGAATTTATCTTTGGTGTAACAATAATTGCCTTGAGGTCCTATGTGGTCTATTCTTCCTGTCATCACAGAAGAACAAGAAACACTGTTGGTGCATTGCAAATTCAGTTGCACTCAACAACAACTCTTTATTTAATGTATTTGGGCTACTGAAACATCAATACAAGTCACCTCAGCTGAGGTGTGGCAACCAGCATCAGTATTCTCACATACCACTAGAAGATCAGTTAATGAGGGCAGCAAAATTACATCTCAAATACTATCCATCTGTATGGCTAATACTAGTACAAGATACAAGAAATTACTGTTTGTCAACTACTACTAGCAGTACTAGTATGCCGACTCGGTGGCTGGAAGTGACATAAATTAGTAAAAACCTGCCATACTCTCTTTTGCTGAAACTTGAGTTTATCAAATTTATTTTCATATTATTTGATTGCAAAACCAGATATAGGCGCGACGATATGACTCACAAGAAAGCTCGGCCTATCACCACATATCGTCTAATTCGAACCGTACTATTAAACATGAACGTCCACATCGTATTCTTCTAGCACCTTTTCATGAGTTGCTTCGGGCTTGCTCCCCTCGTTTTCATCATCAAATCCATCTTGGTACTTGGTGTCTTCCACATCGTTCTCTTTCCTGTCGTGGAAAGCGGGTTCCTGGCTGGCATCGTGTGTGCCGTCCCTGAATATCCCTTCCGTTCCATTTCTCTTTGCCTCCCGACCTTTTCTTAACAGTTGCCACACAAAGGCAGCACCGAGGGCAAAAACTGCAGTTGAAAATACAACCGATCCAATCACCACTGTACGACTGCTCTTGGAAGAGGCTAGGGTATCGCGATCGAAAAGATTCCCAGAAAAAATCGACGGCTCAATATCTCCGCAACCTTGTAGTGACCTCATTTCATAAAGTAAAACGTCGGTGTTAGCTAACTTTTCATAAAGAGCGTAGTTCTTTCGTGAACACGAACCCCATAGTGCATCCTTGTTGACTATCAAAAACTTGCCGTCTTGTTCCAATGTGTACCTGTAGTAGCAGTCACGCATCTGTAACAATGTTTCAAACTCTGTGCGCTGAAGCTCATCTAAGTCTTCAATTTTGTAGGTTGAAGGGACGTCTATCGTTTCGTTTTCTAATCCTCGTACCCGTCCTGTGCCACAGTCTACACCAATCATCAGATTGCATGCAAGAGCATGGGCTACATCGCCTCCAGCATTCGCTGTTCCTTCTTGGTCGATCATTGCAACCTTCCAACCCTCTTCATGATAAGCATTTGCTAGCTTCAAAGGGTTCAAAACTGTGTCTATCCATTCCCATCGTTTCTCGGCTTGTGCATTGGAACACACAAATTCCTCAAAAGATTCTGCTTCGAAATGATTCCACCATACAGCGCTAAGGTGATCAAGGCGATTGGAACGATAATTCAATGCTATAGTCACATCATCATCGGAAATTCCAAGCTTTTCTACGACTCGCTGTATTGCTCCAAGGGCATCGTAACCAGAATAAGGATTTTCGCCAACCCTGTCGAGATTCAATGATCCAATGATAACGCCATCGAGAGCATTGTTCCAACTATCACGGATTCCATTCAGAATAATATTCTGTACTGGTCGTTTGCTGGCATCCGACAGCAGGAGATCAAAAGTTCTATGCGATTGGATGTCGCCAAGGATTTCGGAATCAATGACTGGCCACGCCCAACCGTCGAAACTAGGGGAGTGGTTGGTGCCCCCTTTATCAGATGCGTGATCCACAAAAAATTTTGTGACGGGAACCGCTGAAGTTTCGTGTGGGCCAACAAAGATAAGTAATTCTTTCTGCTCATTGGGGGTCATTTTCTTCCGCAGCATCTTCGAAACATCGACAATATTCTCCCCACACTGTTTTTGTGATCTCAGCAGATCCAGCACAAAGTCGGTGTTGGCAAATTTTCTGTAAAACGACTGGTGTTGATTCGAGCAAGAACTCCAAGCGGTGTGTTGGTGAATTATACTGAAATTCGACTCATGCTTCAACTGATACTTGAAAAAGCAATCACGTTCTCGAAAGATTTGTTCCAAATCCCAGCGATCCTCCTCTGCCAGTGAATCCATCGGGTAGGTTATGAGTTGGTTACTCACAGCACTTTTCAAACCGGTGACCCAACCGCCATCGCACTTCACGCTTTTCATGACCTCGCAAGCGATGACATGGGCTACCTCAAGGCCGTCATTGATCGTGCCTTCTTGGTCAATCACAACAACGTCCCATCCCTGGTCGCGATACGTTTTCGCTATTTTGAAAGGATTCATAACCGTATCGAGCCATTCCCAGCGTTTTGAGGATTCGACTCCGTCGGAGCAAACGAAATTCTCGTACCCATTTGTATCAAAATGGTTATTCCAAACGGCACTCCACTGATCAATACGCGGCGAACTGTAGGTCACGGATACGATGACTTGGCTACTTGAAATTCCGAGTGCTTCAACCACGCGTTTCAAGGCTTTGATCGGATCGTAGTCTGAATATGGATTTTCTCCAGTCTTGTCGAAATCGAGTGAACCAATGATGACCCCATTCGTTGCGATCTTCCAGGAATCTACGATGGCCTCGATCACAGCGCGTTGAATATCTTCGTCCGAGGGATATTGGACAAGTAGGTCGAAGACACGATGGGGAGGTTTTTTAATGAGGTCGTTATTGACAGAAGGCCAAATCCAACCATCAAAACTCGACGAACGCTCGGAATCTCCGCTTGTCGATGCATAATCGACGAAAAATTTGGTCACGCCGACAGCGTCTGTCTCGTGCGGACCAACAAATACCACCAGTCGTTTATTAGGATTATCGTCTGCAGGAGACACCCAAGGTTCCTTTTCGGTATCGTCCTCCGAGACCGAATTCGAAGAAGATCTGTCTTCCTCCGTACTAGATCCAAGTGATGCAAGGGTTTCGAGGACGTCAGACTCGTATATTTCCGCCAATAAACTTGGAACGTCGATGTCGTCCTGTTCACAGTATTTTTGAGATTGGATGGCATTCATCAAGAAGCTCGTATTGGAAAGCATTTTGTATGAATTCGCAGACCAGTTTTTACACTCTTTGGCCAGCGATGAAAATCCTTCGTTTCCATCATCGAGGAGAACAAATCTTGAAGAACCGCTGAGCTGACCCACGTTGTAGCAATCACGCAACAGGAACAACCTCTCTAGGTTTCTATGATCTGTGTGTTCGAGTTCATCAATTAGATGGCCTGTTGACGTGATATTTTGTACAGAGCGATCGAAGCCGTTGATCCATCCGTCTTGGCAGTTCTCGTCCTCCATTGCCCAGCAAGCGACAACGTTTGCTACGTCCTTACCAGAACGAACCGTGCTCTCTTTGTCAACTACTAGAACATTCCAATCTCGATCGTGATACGCTTTTGCTATCTTAAAGGGATTCATTGAGGTATCAAGCCATTCCCAGCGCTTCTTGCTTTGTTCGTCGGAACAAATGAAATCTTGGTAAGATTCTGCTTCAAAATGATTTTTCCAGACATCGGCCCATTGATCGACGCGAGGCGTACGATAAGTTACAACCACGATGACATCATCTGTAGAAACACCCAATTCGTCAACAACTCTCTTCAACGCTTCGACAGCATCGTAGCCCGAATACGGATTCGTTCCAACCTTGTCAAAGTCAAGCGAACCGATGAACGTTCCTTTCTGGGAAGTTTTCCGTGCAGAACGGATTGCATCGATCAATACATTCTGGATGCCCTCGTCGTCTTGTTCTTTGACGAGAAAATCAAAGGCGTGCTGGGGACTCGAATCTATGTCATTTTCATGAACGGTAGGCCAGCTCCAACCATTGAACTCGGGGTCCCCCGTTCCATCGCTCGCTGCATGCTTGGAAAGAAAAGTGGTCGTGCCGGTGTGCGTCTCGTGGGGCCCGACAAACACTGCGAGTTTTTGGGCTGTTGCCACTCCACAGCGAGCAATCAGGAGGAAGAAGAACCCAGGCAATGCCGGATGGATAATTCTTTGCAGGTACATCTTTATAAATTAAATTCGGCAAGATGGCTTTCGTGACGAAAGGAAAGAAAAGCAATTTTCTTGTACTCGGCAAGATGGCTAGATGGCTTTGTGACAAATGGAAAGGGAAAGGAAGGAAAGGAAAGGAAAGAAAAACCAAGAAAATCATTTCGCGTTGCTCGGCCGCGGTTGTCCGCAAGAGTTCGTTGATCAACGAAGTGTCATCCCTCCGTCCGAAACCTTCTAGGGTACAAACAGACTCTAAGACACCGCAACGAAGCTCGGCGATAAGTACATGTTGCATGGAAGTCTAATCTGCGTTGCATGAGAAATGAGGATGGTGCCAACAATTGATCTGCATGCATGATCGACGAATGGAGAGTGTGCTTGTCGCCATGCCCGACTCAAATCCACGCTTGCTTCGGTCCCATTTGTTCCATGAAATAATTGCACGTGCCGAGAAGAGTGTTCGTTCTTCGTTGAAACTGCGACAACATGAAAAGATTGTGTGTGTGAGGTGCTTCCAATTCCATAATGGCAGGTGTGCTACTTTTGGTAGAGTGATAGACTGACAGACCAAAAATTGGCTGGCAAACGCAAGAACAACCACCAGTACTTACTAGTAGTAGTACTGTGCAAAACTAAGTGAGTGCAAAGGTGGTCTGTGAAAAGTTCTTGCATTGGCAATGTTAATTGGGAATTCAGTTCTTGTTAGTAGTATGTATATTCCCTCCTGACTTGTTAGTAGCATTTGGTGATGTGAAATTTTAGACTCCTCGTGTTCTTGAGAACAGGAGCACCACCACCATCAAGAATATTTGCCCTGTGATGCAGGAGAKGAGCGCTTTGTGATCATGAAGTGAGCTTCTTGATCAGCACTTTTTTTGGCTTCCTTCTTCAAGGATTAGCTCTATCCAGTCAACCTTGTTTGCATTTACGCATCAAACAAAATATCTATCAAAGTTTATAATTTCACAATCCTGGTACCCATATTTTAGTTTTGCAGACTTGAATGTACACATGGATTCATTTGCTTTAGTAGATCTCTCAACATCTGTAATCCTTTTGGAATTTTTGTTTGGCCAGCAACAATATCAGCATCTGACACAGCAGTCAGTAAGCAATTTTCTGAAAATTTGGCGCATGTGTCTGTAATTTCTTTATCACAGCTGACAAAAATGAGAGCCAAAATTTTCAGTTGCCAAAATTATTACCAGTCTTCCCAAGATCCAGCAGGAGAACCAAAATTTTCAGTCTTGTTGTATGATTGGGTCAGCCCATTCCAGTACGTAACAAGGGTTCACAGATGGTTCTGGCTTTCCTATTGTCTCTGGTGTTACATGTTCAAAATGTTGCATATTTAAAAGTTTTAGAAAAACAAGTTAGTAGTAGTAGTAACATTAACAATACTAGTGTATGGAATGCTCATATGTTTTTGTCTAGTCTTGGGTTTTTTAGCACTTCTGTTTTGATGGTTGTATGGCTTGTGACTTGTCATGTCTCCTTGAGAATGGGCTTGTTCTTATTTACTGAAATGACCAAACATGATTTTACTGAAATGACCAAACATGATAATGACTCCTCATTTATAGTACTAGTTGCCACCTTTGCAAGTGGGCCTGGAAGCAAGCAGGTTGGCAGCCATTGATAAGTTCTTGTTGTGGAGGCCAATGGTGTTGTTGGCTTTGGCTTCTGCTTTAGCATTATTGCTGCTGTGCTCTGCATCACTGCCACCCAACTTTGAAATGAACTGGTAGTATTTCTTGTAGGACTCAAACTTGTCCACCAACAAGAAGGTGTCTTCAGCATCTTTGTTAGTCTCAGTAAGTGCATCATGCCCATCATAGTCATAGAAAAACGTGTCCACATTACTGTTGGTGGATGCAATGGGATTGCCCAGATCATGACCATAGCTCTCCTTCTATTTGTACTGGCAAGTCTTGGGAAGGATTGGGTTTTCTTTTGTTGTTGTCTTGGAATGACCAATTACAATGATGACTGAATATTAAGCAAGTCATGGGAAAAGGAACTGCTGGGTTCTCTTAAATTTTGGGATGACCAATAATGATAGGAGGATTGAACATTCAAGTACTCCTACTACTGATATTCTTCAGGGATTTGGGTGGATTCTATTTCATTTTGGAATGACTACTATTGATGGTGACAATCACTGATTTTGTCTTTGGAGCAACTTTGCTCTCTTAAATATTGGAATGACCAATAACAACAATCATGACTTGACACGATGACAAGGATGACTGATTTTTTAGTCTTGGGAGGAATTGGGTTCTCTTTAATTTTGGAATGGCTAATAACTACAATGACTTTTTTAGTCTTCAGAGGAATTGGGTTCTCTCTTATTTTTGAATGACCAATATTCATTTTTGATTGACCAATGATGACAATCCCTCATTTATGAGTCTTTGGATCAATTTGGTGGTTTTCTTATATTTTGAAATGACTGATGAAACCAGTGACTCATTTTTTAGTCTTAGGAGGAATTAACCACTGACAACAACAATGACTCAGTTTTTAGTCTTTTGAGGAGAAATTGGGTTTCCTGTCATTTTGGAATAACCAATAATGACAGTTAGTACTTGTTTTCAAGTCTTACTAGGATCAATTTGGTTTTCTTACATTTTGAAAAATCTGATGATGACAATGAATGTTATTTGTCTTGGGAGGGATTGGGTTCTCTTAAATCTTAGAATGACCAATGGCAACATTCAGTGAACTCCTTAAGTCATGGGAATCTTGAAATGACTGCTTTAAATGTTTCTGTCTGAACTCCTACTATTGTTTAGAAAAAAAAACCTGTTTGCTGTTAAGGTACCAATTTATTTGCTAAAATAGGAGGAGACTGAATATTACATTGAGTCTACACCAAAAAAGTTTCTTTTTGTTTCTTTGGTAAGTCCAGAGCAGGGAGAATTATCAAGGCTACTGGCTTCTTCTGGGCAAAAGTGTACGTGATAGTATAGTTCACTTAGCCAATTTATTACATCTGTAACAATTTTTATTATGTTTGAGTCCCATCAAATCAGAGTATCAAATGTAATAAATTCTATGATGGAACTCACAAATCAAATTTTGAGTTTGTTGAAACTAGTAGACAACAACAGAGTAGGTACCTCACAAACATTTCATGGAAATTGTTCTCCAACCAAAAAATATTTTCTTATATCATATTGTGTATTTTAGAGGATGGTGAATGCACTCTACATTCATGTGCTGGAATTGTTCTAATTCGATATTCCGGTGGTTTTATGGGTCAGGTTTAGTGTTAGGTTTGACCAAATTAGTACTAGTATCCCAGTCTCACACCAACATTTCATGACATTGTTCTGTAACCAAAAATCCATTTTTTATATAGATTTGATATGTTGGAGGAGGGTGGATGGGTTTTACATCCATGTGCTGGAATTGCTCTAATTCCATATTCTTGTGGTTCTGTGATCTATGTTTATTGTCAGATTTGACCAAATTTGTAGTTACTTTCTTGCAAGCATATCATGTAACTGTTCTCCTACCAAAAAAAATAATTTCTCATAAATATTTGATATGTTGGAGGAGGATGGATGGGAGCTATATACATCTAATTCCATGTTCTTGTGCTTCTATGGGTTGGGTTAAGTGTCAGATTTGACCAAATTAGTGGTAACCCAGCCTCACCATTATTTCTTGGAATTTCTCTCCAACCAAAAAAACATTTCTCATGGATTTGATATTTTTGAGGAGGCTGGATGGGTGTTACATTCATGTGCTGGTCTGTTGGAAATGTTCTACTAGTAGTATTTGTTCAAAATATATGATTAGTATTACATGACATTTCCAGTAATGACAATTGGAAAATCTTTGAAAAAATCATAGTAGGATTCTGTGTGAATATGCTGTTTGAGGATGTTGTCTGAGGATGTCTTGAAATATGGGAAGTGTTGTCTGATGGTGTTGTCTGATGGTGTCATCTGAGGGTGTTGTCGAAGGATATTGTCTAAGGTTGTTGTCTGCAGATGTCATCTGGGGGTGTCTTGAAATCTTTTCTTCTTGGAACAAAACAAATTGGTCTCATCTGTCTGTGTCAAGAAGTGCTGCTGGTGGTGTTATTCCAGTAGGTGGAAGAAACATTTGATGTTGTTTGTTGGTGATTTCATCTTGATGCCAAAATGAAGGAAGTAATGCTCTGGATGGGGAAGTAATATTTGATGCAATAAAATGACCTCTCCCATAGTAAGGACCACTTATACTAGAATTTTTTGGGGGCAATTTGAAACAATTCTTCAAACTGCAAAAAGGACCCTACTACTCACATTTTTGTGATTGATTATGTGGGGACATCCTACTACAAGAAGAACAAGAAGAATACCACTGATACGGAAAACTCCAATTAAGATAACACTTGTTGTTGGTTGATTGATCTGAGAATTCCAGATCCCCTTCTTCTTATTATAATGAAGTTATTCCAGTATATGTGTTGGCAGGAAAATGTCCCCAATCGCTCTGTCTGGAGGGTGAGACAAACCTCATGCTGGTGTTTTTTTCTGACTAGTAAAAACTGCGTGGTTTTATGAACTCATAACCTATTTCACTTTCCGGCAACACATTTGCCTTCCAATCTTGTACCGTACTAAGATTCTAGGGTAGGAACAGGGTGAGAATTTCTTCTTGTGAACAGGAGGAGCCGTTCGCAGAAACAGAACGTGTTCCATTGCGACACAGCCACGCGAAAAATCTGTTTCGGAAGACACGACGCCGCTTTTACAAGACTAAGTACGGTACGAAGTACAGTACGTTCTCGTAGTGTACTTCTAATTCGTAATTCTTGTCGGGCATGGACAAACCTCCAAATTGCACGTTTGAGATTCCATTTAACGCTGTCGATTTTTTTAGCCATGACATGTGCATTTTCGGTAAAGTTCTTCGACGTTGATTGGTGAAAACCTAGAATCCAATGTTCTACGGATACCGAACTGTTCTGGTGATGTTCTCTTTGGAGCCAGATGCCACCAGATGATTGGTGGGATGGCTTCGAGTCAGTCACTTTTCTGCCGCAAAAATCTAAGAGGATACCGTATGCACCGAGCGCCTGTCACGGGTGTTGTCAACTATTTTTGGTTCTTCAAAATCCAGCAATCAAATGTGGACGAAGAATTTCCCTTCTCGTGATCGGTTACGCGATCTGTTTTGTACGCCGATGTACGCAGTTCGACTCGATACAGTATTTGAGGCTTTCCTGCGAAGACTATAATTACAAATTTCAAACCCACCGTTGAACCGCATTTGACAACAGGAGGAAACAAACTATTACCAGAATCAAAATCAGTCAAGCAAAGATGACAAGACTATTATCAGCAATCGGAAAGGCAGCATCCTTCACCGCCAAGGGCGCCGCGGTTACTTTCGGAAGCACGGTGTTCTCGTGTGCAGCCGCCTGCAGCATCGAAAAAGGTGCCAACCGAATGATTTTCAAATATTGTCCCGAAAAATTTGCCAACGTGGAAGCCGCGAGCGGCATTACCCAAGAAGAGCTCGACTTTGTCCACTTTCACTACAGAGGCGGAATCGTTGCCGCCGCCAGCAGAGACACGGGAGAACCGTCAATGGAGACGGAAACAAACGAACCAACCGAGTTGTTCTTGTTCCGATCCGACGACTCGCTCGACGACTCGTGCGCCGAGAAATCCACAGAAGACTTTTCACCAAATGGCCAGGTGAAATCCGAAGATCAGAGAGAAGAATCCGCGATTGAGAAATTCTGGGCGGAGGGAGAAGATACCGCCGCCAAATACATTTCCATGATTCCCGTCATCCTGCCCCGGCAAGAGATCCTGGCGTGTTCCATGACGTCATAAATGTCTTGTTTGGATTCTTTCGATTCTTTCGAACATCAAACATCGAACATCGAACGGACCACTCGGTGCCTTGTGGTACAATAGAATGGTAAATCGCATTCCTCTTTTTCAAGGAGGTTCCACAAAATCTTTGAATGCATACACGCTTGCTTGCTTGCGAATCACTCCGGCTGTGTGTTGGCGCCAAGACGAGACACAAACCAAAACGATTTATTCGATAGATGTTTTCCGATCGAGAAGCTTGCCACATGTAGATATGGAAGTTTTACGGCCCGTCGTCTCTCTTTTTCGTTTCGCCAATTCAAAAACAAGGAAATGAATCGACCACGTGCGTTTGTGAATCCGGTCGGAAGACGAGAAACATGGCGGCACCGTGTCTCGGAACAGGAATCAATTGTGGTCCATCCAAACGAAAACCGCAGTAGGGAACGGGAGGAATGCTCTGCTTTCGTTTTGAATAAACTGGAACATAGTAACGAACATTTTTGTATTGTAGTAAATCATCGTGACGTCCCCTCTCAGTAGGTTATGTATGGTACCGTACTGCACAGACAAGGACAACGGTTCCAGAATTACGGTCGCATGCGCATCGAAGGGCGTCAACGAAATTGGACGAGCGCGGGTATCGGTAATCCGCATGGATCCCCTGCGGTACAATCAACCTTTTTTGTCTCTGGAATCGGCACACTTGCTCCGGCGTTTCCAGTGGAGCAGTGGTGTTCCAACACTCTGATACTGCCTTTCTGCGAATAGCAAGCAGGGTCTGCGTTGTTTCTAGGGACGGAGCTACAGTCGGCCGGCAACCGCTCGGGAAGGCATTCTGTATCGGGATTGGATGTTGCGTTCGCCCAAACGGGCCGGGAATGCCGCACCGTGGAACACGCAAAGGGGCAAAGACGACACGCATTTTGTCAACCAACGGACAAGGCCGAAACACGCAGAACCACCATTCGATTGCCTACAGCCATAGGAGAGGAGTCGACAGCATGAAAAATCGCAAACTTATAATAAGAAAAGCCTGCCTCTAACGATAGTGCAGTTGTGTGTTTTAATTATTCATCTCCCGCTATTGATGCGGTCCCCTCGCCGTATTTCGTGGGTTCCTTCCTGTCTTTCCTTCTCTGGGACTTTTCTAAGATCCGCTTTCGCCTGCTGTACTAGACGGTCAGTGACGCAGGAACCTGGTCGTACTGTCTCCGCTTTTGGTAGTTCTTGCAATAGGTTGCCAAGAAGAAGGAAATCCCCCCCGCGACAAAGATCCCTCCAACGATCTCGGGCCATTGCTTCGGTTGTTCTTTTTCTTTCGGCAAGACGAGGGGTTTGGTAGAGTTGTTGCTCGTAGAAAAGATGACCGAGGCAAAATTGTCGTCGCCGTTGTCGGCGGTCGGGGAAGCAAGCGCGTACAAGTCGTCGTCCCCCGTGGCTACCAGTGGGGAACGCCGTTCGAAACCCGGGGACGGTGCGTGCGTGCATCGAAAACCAATCGGTCAGAACGAGGTCTTCGAAACGAAAACAATCCAAGGCGGAACAAACAAACAAACAAACAAACAAACAAACACGCATTGCTTCACTCAAACAAAGACGGAGCGTCGCCACGGGTACCGACGCGGGCAACGCGGTTGCGTGTGCTTGCTTCGCGTGCGATTGGTCGGGAACTGACTCAACAACTCACCCGTTTGGTTCCCTTCCGTGCCAACGCCAACGCCAACGCTGCTGCTGGTGGTGGTGGTAGTACTGCCGCTGGCCACGGGGCTTTCGGTGGTGTCGCTGCTGCTCGCAGAGGAAGGCTTCGACGATGCAGCGGCGTCCTTTTCCGGCTTCGAACCACCACTCGAGGGGCTCGATTTCGAAACACCGGGGGAGGTTTGCGGCGAGGCGGTCTGGGGCGTTTCGAATTGCATGGACGCCGACAGGGGTTCCTTCGTAGCAGAGGCCACGGAACTCGTCCGGCTGGCAATCGATACGGTGGTGGCCTTGGAGGGAGAACTAGTTTTTGGCTCGGTCGGTGCCGTTGCTTTTTGCCCGCTGGTTTTGGGAGAAACCGCCGGAGAGGATCGGTCGTCCTTCTTTGGCGCGGCCGTGGTGTCTTCGTTGGCATTGTCGTCGTCGTCGTCGTCGCTGCTGCTCCCCGCTGCTTGGCCTGCACCGGCCAGCCCCCGGATTCCTCCTCGTTCCTCCGCTCTGGATCGACCCGCTGCGATCCTTTGCGATCCTTCCGTGGAAGCCAAAACCGAAACCGCCATCGAAAACAACGCMAGCAGCAGAGCCAACGGCACCACCGATCTCGGATATCTCTTTGCGCTCATGCTGTTCTGGTTGGCGTCCTTGTCCTATTGTACGAGTGGGTCGTTGCGTTCTGGTTGTGTTGTCTCTGGCACGGTGCCTATAGACCAGATCGCGTGCCACAACTGCTCGTTCTCGGCGACCTGACCAATTAATCCTGCGGTATGGTAGAAATCTCGTAACGCAACGTAGATAGACGATGTCACTCTTTCGAACAATCTAACGGAAATGGCCACTCCGATGACGACAAGATTTTCCTTGCGGATTCAAAAGATCCAATTAGAAAATTAGAAAAAAGACCAAAAATCCGTGACGTCATCTTCTCGGATGCATTTCCTTCGGCTGCTCGTACTCGTAGGTACGTAGTACTGGTACGTACTCGTACGACGTACTCGTATGTTTGCTGGAACTTCCATAGCCCCCCCGCCCACCCACTGGAGAGACACCGTTGATAAAATTGAAAATTGTCTCGGATGGCGAAAACCATGGCCCAGTCCCATAATGCCACAATTCCTACCCCCATTGCTTTCAGTTTGTGCCGGCCGGTACGAGTACCGTACCAGGGGTCATAAATTATGACCCCTATACCGTACCTGGTACCGTACGTACCACAAAAACCAGGAGCCGGAGATCACATGTTATGCAATTGTGCAAATGCCTGCGACATAATGCTCCCTTCTCTTCTTTCTTTCGGTCATTCGTTCGGTTCGGTTCGATTCATTGGATTCATTTCTTCTAGTCGTGGTATGCTAACACACTCTCACCAAATTCATCGTGTCGGTGCACTTGTCGTTCACTTGCAGAAGTAACTAGTACCCGTACCATACCGTACTTTTACTTCGTACGGCACTCGTACCGGACCGGTACTTCTCGTAAACATACAGTAAACAACCATCTCGATGCAAGGAGAGTGGCAACCAGAACAAACCAGTCTCTCCTCCGTGAACGCAAGGGGAAAATCATGAAAAAATCATTCATACCAACAGTTGCGCTCCATATAGCTTTTGCCAGCATCGCCTCGATAGCAGTAGCCGGTGACTTGCCAGGAGGTAGCGAAGACGGCAAACAGCAACTCGTTGTTTTCGCGGGCCCCCACAAAACCTCGGAATCCAACGTGGAGGAGTTCTTCTATAAATATGCACGCGGCGACCACCCGGAATTGTCTCAGTATGATTCCCTGCTGGGATGGTCTTGGCCACAGATCTTAGGTACAGTACTCGTATGCGCGCTCGGAAATTTCCTGATCGACAAGCGACGGAGTCGACGTTGTTTGTTATCTGCGTGTTTTCTTTCGTGATCGTCGGTGCATTCTTGCCCATCTCAGCCTTTTTTTCTCCGCTTCCCGATATCGCAGGTTTGGGAAACCACAAAGCATACGATAGACTCGTCACAGACTCCGACAAACCGGATGTTCAAACAAAGATCATAGACGCACTAGTAAATCGCCTAGGGACTTCTTCTCGAGGATTGATTATGGGCGGTGACGAGTACGATCGAGTTGGCAATACTTCCTGGTCGCACAGGGATGCAGACACTGCCATCAAAAAAATAACCACAGCAACAGGCATCCAAACAGAAGGTGTCACGATTGTTTTGCTGTACCAAAATCCCAGAGTGGAGCAGTGGTTGTCTATATTCACGCAAAAAATTATGGAAGGCAGCAGCAGCGACACGGCCTTTGGAGACGACTACGAAGAATTCTTGTGCAATCCCGAAAGCGCCAGCGAGCGCATCGAGACCTTGGAGACAGCAATGAATCCTTTGCTCCTCTCGACAATATACATCAATGCGGGATACAATGTTGCCATGATAGACCTGGAGGGAGTACGAGATGCCGGTTTGATGGTCGAGCACGTTATCGGTTGCGAAATACTCGGCGGAAATTGCACCGACGGGTGGCTCTACAATCTAAAGACGGAGGACTCGCTCGTCAAATTCAAAAACTATCACGAGAGAGAAGACAACGCAAAGCATCCGTTTCACTCCCTCACAATCGGAGACATCCAAGACTTGGAGCGATTGCTCCAGCTCCGAGATTGCAACTACCGGAGCATCACGGATCACTCCAATTTCAGGCTTTTGTACGGGAAAGGCCCCTTTCGCCACTGTCCAAAACACGGCGACGCTGCGATGAAAAATCTCACCAACGCGTCTCTGCTCTTCAGTGCAATGCAATCCCAAAAGGGTTGCAACACCGATGCTATTTCGCTCGAAAGCATTCTGAAAAATGCTCCCGACGTGAACGTGTACGATCTTTACGAATACAGCGACGACGAAATTCCATCCAAACGCATCCATCCTGTTTGGATCGTACAGATTATTCTTGCGGGGGGAATACTTTTGAGGCTGGCTTTTGGGATGTTTACGGAATGGAAAGTAAGAAGGAATACAGGTGATACTCTTGATGGCATTATGCCAAGAATCATCGAAGACCAGTACCCAGGAAGATACTCTCTCGATGGTGTCGTGCCGAGAAGCTCCGAAGACCAACACCGGTCGCTGATTGAAATCATGTAACCTACGGTACTTTTGTTTGCGGATGGATTTCTCTCGGGGCTCCAAAGGCAGTCGCACCGCGCGCCACTAGACCAATGCCGATGACCGATTCCTCCGCCCGCAAATCTTCGGGTGGACGGAAGACTCGCCCGGTTCAAGGACGATGGTAGTTTCTGATCAGCGTGTTCCCACACGTGTTCTGCGCACGGGCATCCAGGCCCGTGGTGCCCATGGCGTCGAGCACGTCCGGCGAGCCACACTTTGCCACAACGACCGGAATCCCTGTTTTGGCGACGTTCGTGGCAGCACACAACTTTCCCTACGGTACACATCGCGAGCAATTTCAAACGCAACACCGAAATCGGTCAGGTTTCGCATTTGGACAATAGGGGTTTTGTCCGCAAAGGTCCCGTTCGAGCCGCTGCAAAAAATCGTGTCGATTGCACATACCTCGAGTCCCCCCGTCACATCGTGCTCGTGCTGCGAACCAGAAGCGGATACCTCGTTCATAACGTCACCGCTCACGGGATCAATAAATATATTTTTTACCAGCACGGCGTCCTGGAAAACCTTTGGATCTTTCGTATACACACCGTTAACGTCTGTTAAAAAGATTGCCTTCGATATTTTTCTACGAATCAATGGATGTGTAGCAATGATCTCCACGAGTGTGTCGCCGCCCAGTATACCCGCCGACATGGATTGAAAACGATCCCGAGCACTCGGATCGCGGTACGTCCCGTAGAGGCCGGCATCGCCGTGTATTACCGGGACGAGCCCCGCAGACAACGTCTCGCGGATCGACTGGACAAGCACGGTGACTCCATTGTACTCGTCACCACCGTGTGTCATGAGCCCCGGAACATTTAGACAAGGCGAGATGCCGACAGCATTCACACCGTTCTCGATCAGGTGCGATACAACGGCGCCATTCAGTTTTTTCACGCTGTGTGTTCCGGGAACAAGGTGTTCCACCATAATTGGTAAAGGCACCAAGAAAACGATTTGTTCAGAAACAAGCCATCACCGCAATTCGTACCGTGGTCATTGACATCTGCTTACCTACCTTTGGCGTGTCCGCGCAATACCTTTCGACAATGCAACGTGTCAGAGGAACCTTCATTGATCTTCTTGCGCTCCATTCCACAACCAACGAAGCCTGTCGAACACCCACCGGATTTTTTTCTTACCTGTGACCAAGTCTCGCGTTAGATTCATTCCATCGGGTGGCGGAGAACTCTTGCCCCCGAGACCGTGTTTTTTTGCAGTGTGATGTCCAAAGGAACCAGCCCCGTGCACGACAACGATCGATGGTTTTTCGCAATCGAATTCAGTGCTAGTCTCGACAACATTGCCAGCAGCATCGTCAAGAAATCTGTCATTGACGATCGAGCGTATCGTAGTAGAAAACCAAGCGAGGGATTCGGCATCTAATGTCTCCAGCTCTGCTTTTCGCGTGATAGAAGAACCTCCCACTTTTACCAACAAAATGTTGTTGCAACCGACACCAGCCATATCATACGTACCGAAATCTTTGTTTTTTTCCCTCCAGGACTATCGTATCCCTTGTTTCTGTTGACTGTAATTGTGACGATCAATTTCATCGAACTCGTCACTCATGTTGTGGACGTATCGACAGGATCATAGACAACAGAAGTAGTTGTACCATACGGTAGTACTTGTACCGTACGTACGTTGCGGTTCCTACTCTTACGGGACTTGCGTATGGGGAACCACCGGGAGATTGATCATTGTTGGGTGCAATCAAACTTCGTGCTTTGTTGGGTTGTTCATAACGGTATCGGAGTTTTGAGAATACCTCTGTTACTTCCCCCTGACAACTGGAAATTTCTACTGGGATGTACCATATGCCCCCAACAATATGCCGTATTATTTCATGGGATGCTGGAATTTTCTGATGGTATGAAAAATAATTGGTAGTACTACGGTAAGGTAAGATCTTTCTTTTAATTGGTTTTGACTGATCGAGACCACTAATGATATGAAATACTTCGTAATTGCTTCTTGTGGTCGAATGGTATACATCGAACTTTTCGGGGGACTGAAAGAAACCCTTGATGGTATGGAAGTTTATTGGCAATATCAGATTTTTTTCATTAGAATGGAAGAGGGCTCCAATGGTATGTATCGAACTATAAGAAATCAATAATATCAATACTATTTCCTCAGTAGATCAATGATGGAATGTAGCGGTATGTATCGAGTTTCTCAGTGGTCTGATAGGATCTTCTGACAATACGAGAAATTGTTGGTATCACGACCATTTCCTCTGTAGGATTCTAGTGTTGTGTATCCAACTTCTTGGTGGGCTGATAGAAACTTCTGACAGTGTGAGAAATTGTTGACATCAGGACGATTACATCTTTCTTCTTTTTCACAGCTTCGTGGTATATCTCTTTGGGATGGCCACCCATACCGGCGTTAGTATGCTTCGATTCGTTTGCTAGGTTTCGAGAATGAACAATGGACACAATACCGTACTGTCTTATATCCGTGGCGACGGCTTTTGCGCATTGCGGCGTGGCCGGATCTGACGGGTGGGAATGGAATGGAATGGAATCGGCCGCGAAGGTGCGTGCAAGCCGGGCTGCCTTACAGCCCGGATGCCCGGCCACGTCGTTTTGTAGCTCCAAAAACGGATTGCCAGCCAGCCAATCTACAAGCAGGACGAGAAACCCTGGATTAGGAAACGTGTCGCACGAAGAGTTGCCATGGAAAAACAATGACGGGATCGAACTAATTGGATGTGTATAAAGTACTGCATTATGTGATAGTTTCTTTGTGCAACAGGGAAGCCATGAATTGGTTCATTGTTCCGTTCCATTCCGTTCCATCCGATTCGATTCGGTTCGGTTCGATTCCAGACCGCGAAACCCTTTGGTGCGTCCGGGACCCACCGCCGGGTGCGCCCGGGAGCCCGCCCCCCGCTCGGTTCAGGAACAGCGCGCCAGGTGGGCGGCGGGCGACGAGGGGGAGGCCGCCGCGGTCTCCACGATGAGCCCCACGTTGCTCGCCGCCCTTGTCGCCGCCTTCTTGGCCGTCTGCTGGAGCGACCGGGCCTGCCGGGCCGTCCGGCGCTGCCATATGGCGTTGTTGAGGCCCAGGCCGCCCCTTTGCAGCTTGCAGCCCCCAAAGGAGACCAGGCCGATCGTCATGTTGTCCCGGCTGTTCTTGTCCAGGCAGGTGTCGATGGCCTCCTCGCAGATCAGGCCGAGGTCCGGCTCCCCCTCGTCCAGCAGGCTCTGGACGAAGGACCCGCACTGCTCGTTGTTGGCCACGTCCCATATGCCGTCGCACGCCAGGACCATGAACTCGTCGTTCTTGCTCCTCGGGTAGCAGACAAACTCGGGGTTGGGAATGACCTTTTGCTGGTCCACGGGGAGCATCTCGTTCCCCTTGTAGGTAAAGTCCCCGAGGCCCCGGCTGACCGCCAGGTCTCCGTCGACGCGCTTGCACCTCACAAAGCCGCCGGCGTTGTGGATGCGCTCCAGCTCGGGGGCGTTGTTTGGCTTGTGGTCGAAGCTGAGGGGGAGGACCCTTCCGGCCCGCCGGAGGATGGCCCGGGAGTCCCCGGCGTTGGCGCAGAGAATGTGGGAGGGCGTGACCAGGACCACGCAGCAGGTGGATCCCGACCGCTCGTAGCGGACCCGGGAATGCCCGGAGGAAAGCGGGGCCGCCTCCTTCTGCTGCTGCTGCTGCTGCTGGCCGAGGAACCGCTGCTCGTTCCGCAGGTTCTGCTGCTTGCGGATCTCCGCGTCCAGCCGGCCAAAGGTCTCGGTGAGGGCCGGCCGGAGGCACTCGATCCCGGGGACGCTCGACTGGTCCGAGGCGCTCATGTCCGCGTACTTGCGGAGGCGGGGGCTCACCGAGAAGAGCCTCAGAAAGTTCTTGGCCGCGTAGTCCGAGGTGAAGTCCCCCCCGTGGCCGTCCATGACGCCAAAGAGGGCGTGGCCACTCCCGAGGGGCTCCGACCGGCCCTGGACCGGGATGCTCGTGTGCACCATGTGGGCGTCCTCCATCGTGACCCGCCAGCCCTGCATGCCGGAAAAGGCGTAGGACTCGATCCCCTCCTTGTGGATGGTTCCCCGGACCGTCGTCTTTTCCGTGATGGGCTCGCTCGACCGGGTCCCCCGCTGGGAGGCGTTCTCCCCGAAGAAGACGGACGTTATGAAGGACGGGAACATGGTTGTTCTGCCAACCGGAGTCGTATCGTAGCAGCGGTGGTCCGGTTGCGGGTTGTTGCGGTATCAATTCTTTGCGGTCGTATTTGCGGTCGTCGTTGGCATCTATGGGTTTGCTCGGTAGGGTGACGTGATGGAATGGATGGGAATTGATGGAATTCTTGGATCGATGGGTACAGTACCTGGATTCTTTCGTGGGTGTTCTCCCATCGAATGCAATGCGGTGGTGTTTGGTGGTCTTTCGCTTCGCCCCGGCACGCAGAAGGGTGTTGTTGTTGTCCAACGGAGACGCACACACACAGCCATCGCGTTGCGTTGCGTTGCGTTTGGTTTGGTATCGTTTCGTTCGGTGTTTCGTGGTTCCTCCTCCCACAGAAACAAGGCACGAACGGAACGACGGTTTTGGTGCAAAAGGTTTCCGTTGCCGGGTATTCCGGGCCTTTCCTGCCCGTTGAGCACGATTACCTAGCGAGACGGACCGCGCAAGCGCGTCCATATCTCGCCAACAGCCTTCCCGGTCTGGCACTTTCTTGTTTTTTGTACCGTTGGACCCCTAGGAACCAAACCGCGGAATGTTCCGTGTTTGGGTGTGCCATCGGAATCACGAAGTATGCATACATACTGTACGGTATGATAGTATGTAGTACTACTAGTAGTATGTACTACCTATGAAGTACTTCCTCCGTCCGGAATTAAATGTACCTATGACCCTTTTTTGTTGTCCGGAAAGAATGTCCTTATTATTACAACTGTGTAGGCCTGTGTGCAGTTTGTACCAGAAAACTTTAATATTCACTAGAAGTATTACTTACTATGATGCTATTACTAACTACTGCTAGCCTCAGCAATTCTACTAGTAGCTAGCAGTTGCTGACCAGCCAAGAGGCTTTCGTCATTACAGATAATGGAGATCGGGAGGGTACCTTTCCGCAAAAGACTCGCCTTTCCCATATGAGGAAGCTTGTAATTGTTATCACCTTCAGCACCAAGTGTAGCTTCCATACAAGCCTGGAGGGACAGAAAGACGTTGTTGACTGTTTCCCGTTCGGCCTCATCAAATGCCTTTTCAACGTTAGCAATCAAGTGATCAATGTCCTTTGATTGCTTCTTGTATTGCAAACTTTGAATCGAGTTGAAGAAACCAAGATCAAGGAGCACATTCAAATCCGGACTATTAGGAGGTTGAGTCGTAACAGAAATGTTCCAACCGTTGCTAGCTGCAGCTTCTTTGATAGCGTCTCTGATCGATGCTTTGTGAGGCTTCGCATTATCCTCCTGGATAATAATCTCAKGACGGCCTTCCTCGTCATTGCCGCTTGCTCCGCGTGGCCATTTCTCGTATATGGCAGGAAGAACCTTTTCAAGAAGCATCTTCTTGTAAAAGTCACCATTCACGTTGACAGGCTTCGTAATAAGAGTACCAGCAGGGCGRTTTACAGATCTTCGCTGAGCTGGTTTCTTCTCAACAAACGGCCATATTCCAATTTTGCCATCAAACCATGCGTTCTGGTTGGTATCCCATCGCGGTCGAGCCGTCGCACACAAGAACATCACCTTCGTCACATGGTTCTTTGACTTGGAGGTTGACTTAGGTTCCGCTTCATCTGGGAGCAGATACATAGTTTGCTTTGTGCGTTTCAAGTAGAACCACTTCTCGTCAATGTGTATCCACTTGAAGAAGTCGTCGAACTTTCTGTTGTTATCAATGTGTTTCAATATCCATTCAACCCGTTTGAGCTTGTTCCCATCTGTTAACAAAGGCTTCTTTGTTCCATTGTGCTTCTTTATTTTGCCACACTTCACAAGTTTGTGTAGAGTGCTTCTTGGAATACCAGTTGTAGCTGAAAGGGTTCTTAGATCACCTCTGTCTTTGTGTGGGACATCTTTAATGGCATCAAGGTCTGATAGTGGTGTTGCTTTCCTTCCACTCAAGTGCTTCCTCTTGCTAACATCACCAGCAGGGCAAGTGATTGGGTCAAATGTTTCGGTGTACCTCTTCCAAATCCTTGCAACTGTTTTCCTTGTTACGTTAAACAGCTCCGCTGGTTCCTTCAAAGCTCCCTTTGGAAGGGGCTTTCCAATAGTGCTCCTTTGTTGTAAAAGGATCTGAATGATTGCTTGCCGTTGGTTGTTGGTCAGGTTCTTTTTTTTAGATGGAGAGGCTTCACTTGCAGTATCATCACTTGCAGTATCGTTGCTTGCCGTAGTATCGCTTGCTCCTGTGGTGCTCCCATTGGTCGCTGTATCGCTTGCTCCTGTTGTTGTTGCAGGAGTATCACTAGCTTCAAGCAGTTCAATTGCATTAGTTATCATCTTGCTGTTAGTGGATTTGCCTTGAAAAGAATGAAGGGGGAAAAGAGTGAGTTAAATGGTTGATTGTTGAATACGGACCGGTCGATGGAGGTGCTTTGCTTCCCGCATTGGTGAAAGCAACGGAGGTGCGAAGCATTGGTGAAAGCAACGGAGGCGCAATTTGCTTTCACCGGCGCGATTTGAAAGCAACGGAGGTGCAAGGCAACGGAGGCGCAATTTGCTTTCACCGGCGTGATTTGCTTTGCTTGCCGCGCTGGTGAAGCAACGGAGGCGCAATTCCCTCTTAGTGGAAGCAATGCTGGAGACGCAAGTCGGTCTTCCCCCCTCTTAGTGGAGGTGGACTGGTCGTTGGATCCCTTGTTAAGAGTGATGCAAATGGAGGCGCGAGGCGAGTCGTTGGATTGCTTCCCCCCTCTAGTCGAGGTGCTCATTGGAGGTGCTCAGTGGAGGCGTGTAGGCTCAACGTCGATGAGTCACTTGAGGTGCAAAGAAGAAAGAAGCTGGTCTTAGTCAGTTGAATGGAAAGAGCGAAGTGACAGAAAKGAGTCRAAAAGAGGAAATTGGGAGGTGTGAGTGAATCAAGAGTGAAAATTATCACGTGAAAATAGCACGGGGAGCATTTTTGTACCATACGCACAGCATTTTTTTCTCTTCGATTCCTCTCTCCAGCTCAAAATTCAAAAAAACACATGAAAACTGCATGCGCCCGAATAAGTGCCCGAGCAATATTTGGCTCCTTTAGTGACCCACTAGTATGACTACATAAGAACATTCTCAATAAGCACGATAAGCATATCATAATAAAGCTCTCACTCTCAGCTTTCTATAGCCACCAGTCCCGTAGTTAAATGACTGGCAGAACCCTTTCAACCGGTAAAATGAAAATCATATGCCAAAATCAGGTCTCTTTAAGTAGTTACACCAAGTACGCCAGACATATTGACTATATTCAATCTACATCAATGTATAACTGTATAATAGATCTGTTAAGTGCAAAAAGAAGCATTCTAATTTCCCATATAATGACCTTATTTCAGTAGTAAAGGTGCAAAAGGGACATTTAATTCCGGACGGAGGAAGTACTACGTAGTAAGCATGAACAGCATCGTTGCTCGTTGTGGAATCATCTGTACGAGTATCGTAGTCGGACTGGTCGGTGCACTTTCTGGTCGAACAGCCACCACCAATCGTACGGTACCTGGTACGGTAGCATCGTACTAGTACTCGTACAGGTGACACCGCTTTGCGTGACGCAGCACTATGTATATACCTACATATCTTTAGTATCTATCGAACATAGGATGATGGGCCCACCGTTTCGTTCTCGCTGCCAACCAATCAAAATCTCTGGGAACGCAGGACGCCAGTCTTTGGAACGCCGTGGCAAGATGATTTTCTGTTCTTCGCGGAAGGGCAAACAAGGAACAGTAAATCGTACAAATACGAGTACTACCGCCGTACCAAGTACTTTATTGCGCTGCTAGTTATTGTGGCGTACAACACGCATGGCACGCATTCTCCGCATCCGATCCATTGGGGGACGACGACGACGACGATCGGTTCAAGTACGAGTACTCGTACAAGCTCACAAGTACTTTATGAGAAATTGTAGTGCGAGTACGTACGTACAGTACCAGGTATGGTACGTAGTTGGCTTTTGGTTTCTCATCGCTACGAGTCGAGTACCATACTCGTAGTACCTGGTACCGTACCTACTAGTACTCGTACGAATTGGCACCGAGTGCATGAATCTGGGAACGAGGAACGCCCGCTGTTCCCGATGGATACGAGTACTCGTACTCGTACGGCACGGCACGCTAATCCAGCCATATGTTGTTCGGAGAGCGGAAATCGAATTTGAAGGAACAAAAGAAGGAAACAACCAATCCGATCGTTGCAGTTGGTATCCTACTCGTACTCGTGCTTGTACCCTACTCGTATCTGTTCACTCGGAACGACAGGAAGAACGGAATTGAACCGGAACATACGAGAAGCTTGGTACAGTATAACTATAACTTTTCATTCATATTGTTTTGCCAAGGAAGACAAGACAAGACAAGATTGTTCACGACAGGGCTGAACACACACACAGGCAGACACACACACACACTCCACAACACCAGACAAGACTAGACCAGTGATCGCTTGAGCTGCCCTAGAAATGACAACCATGTCGGAAGATAAGCAAGGGAATCGCCTTGCAGGGTCATCGATCCGATCGACAAAGCTTCCTCGAACAACGGCAATGGCAATGGCAATGGCGATGGCAATGGTCTGCTGCGGGTTGGCCTCGAGCGTCTTGCTAGAGGGCACCCACGGATTCGTGGTCGCCCCCTCTCGGCCAAGAGCACCCCGGCATCCATACCCGGATCTGCGCAGAGAAAGCCAATGCCAGATTCGGCTGTCCATGAGCTCTTTTGCGGGGGAACCTTGCGACGACGACGACGACGGTAACAACGAAAACAACCAAGACGAGGACGCAGAGGACGACGAGGACGACGACGATTACATCGACACGGAATCGCTGGGGGACTGGAGGTCCTTTCGCCGGAACCTCGCCATGGGGGACACGAAGGACGAAAGCAACAACAACACCAACAATACCAACAACAACCTGCCTTCACCGTCCGAGAAGAAGGCACGGGAGGGGGAGGAGAGAGTAATCACGGAGAACGAGGCCGTGCTCCGAACCCAAAACGAGAAACTCGCCGAGGAATACGCCACCGATTTGTGGGCGTACGAGACACCCAAGGTGGGTTTTTGTTTTTCCTTTCGTTCTCGTTCTCGTTTGGGTTTGTTTTTGCTTTTGCTTTCCCTTTCGTTTCTTCTGTTTTCTCTATATTCTATTCGTTTTTCTGCCGAGGCGTTCGTGGCATGGATCGATGCCCGGGACACCAACATTGGTTCTGGTTTCCGTATTTCTGACCCGCGATGGCACGCTTTTTGCTTGCGCTGTTTTGTCTTGTTTGCAACCTCCTTTGCTTTTTTCCCTTTTTGTTCTTGCTTCCCGAAACGCCTTCCAGCCCGAGGTCGGCGGACTGGTCCTCCGGATGCCCATCGAGGTGGAGCTCTACCGCAACTACAAGCACTCGATCATGGGGTCCAAGCTGCGGGCCATGCTCATCGAGGACGGAAAGGCCCGGGGGGACGCAGACACTGACGCAGTCGCTGACGCAGACACCGACGCGGAAAAAGGCGGACCGGTCGGGCCGGACGACCTGGAGATGAGCCACTGGTACGGCCGGTCGAGCGACCTGGTCGAGGAACAGATGAAGAAGATCGCGGACAAGGCGGACGAGGAGGGACAGATCGACGCCTCGACCCTCCCCGAGGACCACGCCGAGATGCTCACGCTCTACCTGGAGAACCAGGAAGAATGGCAGGAGGTCTGCCTCGTATTGGAGCAGACCACCTCGAGCGGGGGGAGCCGGTCCTCCAAGACGGTCGTCCTCAACCGCCCGATGGCCTTCAAGCTGACCAAGGACCTGGCCCGGGTCGTCTACCTGGGATCCTACGGCATCGACTCGGTCCAGCCGGAAACGGCCAGGCGCCTCACCCGCTTTGCCACCGCCTTTCGGGAGGAGTGCGCCGTCTGCGTCGGCGGCCCGGACCACCAGGGAGAACCGGCGATCCTGGTCCACGGGATTTCCGGCCTGGAGGGGGCCTCCGAGATCAGCCCGGGGACGGGGATCTATCGGGGGGGCCTGGAGGCCGCCATCGACGGCGTCCTGGACGGCTTGTACAGCCCGCTGGAGTTCCGCTTCTTTGTCGGCTGCCACGACTACCAGGAGTCCATGCTGGACGTGGAGGTCATGCTGGGGAAGCTCCAGCCGGTGGCCTGCTCCCGGGTCCTCCCCCTCAAGCAGTGCATCTCCCTCCCCAAGCCGCTCTGGCACGAGGTGATGGAGCTCTGCGGGGGCGGGGACCTGCCCGACATTTCGGTCCTGGAGATGCGCAAGCACGAGGACGTGACCTTCCAGGTGCTGGAGGAAGACGAAATCGAAATCGAAATCGACGGCGAAACCAGCGGCCTGGCCTCGTCGGCGGCCGACTTTGGGATCCTGATGATCGACGACGAGGACGAGGACGACGAACTGGACATTGAAATCCTGGACGACGACGGGGACGATGCACCCTGGGGCTGGTAGATGGCTCTGTGTGTGTGTGTGTGTACGGGAAAGGGCGGGGCGAGGCGAGACCAGACGAGACGCAATGCAATGCGGTCGGATCGGAGGGGATTTGCGAATGCAAATTCACGAACGGGGCCCTTGTTTCATCCGCCCGGCCCGGTACCACTCGGGACCACGATTCTAGAAAGGACTTTTTTCCACTTGGCATGGCATGGCATGGCATGGCATGGCACGACATGGCATGGCACGATCCAATACCAATACAACCAAAAACAGAAAAGCCATCGAGAAGGTTGTTCGTTCGGGACAGCCATCGAATGCTCGGATTCCAAAAGAAAGCCATGACAACAGAGGCATGGTACCCCAAAAAAAAGCACAAGCCTGCGTGCCTGCTACGAACGACGTGTTTCAAATCGAAACACGGAAAAGGAGGCGTGGTGGATGGTTGCATCGATGGCACACAGTGCGGATGTACCTCGCATCCAACTCCACCAGCGACACGGATGCTTTTGCTTGGCAACGAGGACAACAAGTGCACTCGTGTCTCTAGCACCACCCACCCAACCATAGACTAACCAAAACACAATAACTAAAAGACACACGTTCGAAACCAAAAAAATGCTGCTCTAACGCGCAACCAACCAACCAACTTTTTATCCTCTCTGGGGTGTCCCTGCTAGGCTTCCGCGGCCGCGCGGGCAGAAGATTCGTCGGATCCTTGTCGGTCCAGGAGGAACCTGGCCCAGTGCCGCTCGCTGATGATCCCGCCGCCCAGGCACTCGGCGTCCTCCGTGTAAAAGACGACGTACTGCCCGGGCGCGAGGCCCCCGTCTTTTTCCTCCAGCGCGACGAGGCCCCCCGTTCGGTGGTTGGGACCGCCTTCCCTTTCCTCCGCGATGGTCAGGGTCCCGGCCGCCAGCCTCGGTCCGTGGCGGATCTTGAGGACGAACCGGTAAACGGTCTCTCCTCGTTCGTCCCGGTGGTTCGAGAGGTGGGTTGGTTCGGTGCCGCCGATCCAGCTGATGTTTTCGACGTGGAACTCGGACCGGGCCTGCGCAAAGACGTCCTCGTCGTATTGGTTGCTGGCAAAGACAATGTTTTGCGACGGGTCCTATCGGGAGCAAGCAAGAATTTCGTGAGTTGTTTTGGCCCACCAAACAAACAAAGAATGCGAAAAAGGGAACGGACCCACGAGAGAGCGGTGGTGTGAGCCACCGCGCACTTTTCACCAGCGAAACAAAACAAAACAAAACAAATCCCATGGCCCCGATTGCAGCGAGCGCTCGTTCTTACCTTCGCGACGACGTACCAGGGTCCCTTCGAGCCCGCCTTGGGCTCGAGGTACGGACCGATCCCCTTTCGCTGCCCTACGGTGTGGTACCAGACCCCGTGGTGCTCCCCGATGGTTTCGCCCGTAACGGCATCGACGATCTTTCCGGCCTTTTCTCCCAGGTGGATCTGCATAAAGTCCCGGAACTTGACCTTTCCCAGAAAGCAGAGGCCCTGGGAGTCCGGCCGGTGCCGGTTGGGGAGCTCGAAGTCTTCCGCGAGCTGCCGGACCTCCTTCTTTTCGAGGTGTCCGATGGGAAAGATTAGGCGGGACAGCTGGGACTGTTCCAGGGCGCAGAGAAAGTACGACTGGTCCTTGACGGGGTCGGGGGCCCGGAACAACCGGGCGACGCCGGCGGTTCCGCTTTCCTCCTTTTCGTCCCGGACGACCTGCGCGTAGTGGCCGCTGGCAATGTAGTCGAAGACCTTGCCGGTCGGGGCCGTCTCCAGGTATTCCAGGAAGCAGCCGAACTTGACCCGGGAGTTGCAGAGGATGTCGGGGTTGGGGGTCCGGCCCAGCGAGCACTCGTTCAGCGTGTGCTTCATGACGCGGTCGTGGTACTCGTCCTGCAGGCTGACGATCTGCAGGTCGATCCCCACCTGGTCGCAGACCTCCCTGCAGGTCTGGACGTCGTCTTCCCACGGGCACTCCCCGAGGTGGGCGAGCTCGTCCTCCAGCCAGATCTTGAGGTAGAAGGGAACGACCTCGTAGCCCTGTTCCAGGAGCAGCCGAAAGGCCACGGACGAATCCACCCCCCCCGACAGGAGGAGCGCCACGGTCGGCTTGGCGGATGGTGTTTCGCTGATTTCGCATTTGTCGCCGAGGTCGGGTTCGCATTTGTCGCCGTGGTCGGATTCACGTTCGCCGCCCAGCTGGCCCTGGATCACGGCCAGCATGCTCGCGAGGCCGTCGTTCCGGCCCTTGCCCAGCGCAAGCCGGACCCCCAGGGCCTCCGCGAGGCCCGACGGGTCCATCTCCAGGACCTCCCCCGGCGTCTTGTCCTCCAGGTGCTCGGCCAGGAGGGCCAGGAGGCCGCGGCTGAGGATCGCGTCGGCGCTCCCTGCGAGGGACACGGTGTCCCTGCCCCCCTGTCCGCTCTTCGGCCTCGCCGAAACGTACACCGTCGCGACGCACCCCGGGACCCGGGCCATCCCAGGATCGTCGCCGACCGAAACCTGGGAAAAGGCGAGTCCCTTTCGGACCAGGTGCTGCTGGATGTCTTCCACGGAGGCACCGCGGAACCCAAAACCGGGGTCGAAACCGTCGCTCTCGGTGTTTCCGCTGCCATTGCCATTGTCCCCGACGCCTCCGCCGCTGGGTTCCGAGAGCAACACAAAAGACCGCTGCCCCCCCTTCGGTGCCACCGGTCTCCGGTGCGGAGCGGTGAACGAGTGGCAGGTGGGAAGAAGGCCCGGTTTCGGTGGGGAACCCGCGCTTGGGTTGGTTCCGAGCCAGGGGGCTTTGTTCGACCGGAGGATCGCCGTTTGCGCCACCACGCACAGCGCCAAGAACCACGGAGAGGTGTTCGTTCGTGGCCTGCTTCTGTTTCTGTTCCTGTTCCTGCTCGGAGTTCTCCGTTCCGAGAGGCGTGCCGGCATCGGCATTTGCATCGTCATCTGCGTCTGCATCGCGGCCATCGCTCTGTTGGCTGCCTTCTCTGCTTCGAGAGCAACGTATTCGGTAGTACTGCGTGCAATTGGAATGCTGTCCAAGTTCTATAGTCTCCTATCGTATCCTACCATGCGTTTGCTCGAGCCAAGGCGATGGCCGGAAACACTATCGGAATCGTGAAGGGCAAGGAAGACGATGGTGTGATGTGATGCGGTGTGTTGTGATTTGTGATGTGCTGGGCTGGGCTGGGAGGGGGGATGTGCCGTACGTACGGTACTGTATCGTGCCGTACCGTGCGTACGGTATGAGGATTCTTCGATTGATTTGATTCACTCACTCATTCGTTTTCCGAGGATGCGTTTGTTCGTCGTGGGGCACGATTTTTATTGGACCCTCGTGCCTTTGATGTGTCACGAATTGGTCAGTCATGAGCTTTAGGGGTACGGTGGGTACACACAGTACGAAAGGTACGTACACACGAACCGCTTCACTAATACGTAATACTACTACTTCTGATTGATTCCGTAATACAGTATAGTACGTACCCATTGAACATAAGTTAATAACATATCCAACATAGGATTGACGTGTGGGATTTTTTTGAATTGTTTTTCCGTGTCAGTCGGCCCGGAGAAAGAAATCGGCCTTCGTAGCAGACGCTTCGTACGAGTACGAGTAGTACTCGTAGTATTGCGAGAACCGCAATGAGTCGGAAATCTGTCACACGAATCTCCAATCAACTCTTCGTTGATGTTGATGTTGATGTTGCTGTTGTCATCGCATCGAACCACTCGAAGAGGCACAAGCACAAGCACCGGAAGCTGGGCACAACGCGGAAAGAAACAAAGCCTTGATGAAAGGCTAGCTCGAATCGATCGATCGGATCCTTTTCCCACGGGCAGCAGTTACATTTTCGAACAAGAATCCCCCATCGAGAATGAGAACGAAGGCTTCCGCCACCGCCCTTGCGCTCGGCATCTGCCACGCAATCATCCCTGTGGAGAGTGCTAGACCCCTTGTGTTTGGACTCTCTGCCTTTGCACCGACGCCGGCGCGAAAGCAGCACGGCAGAACGCACGGCAGAAGCCACCGCTCCCTGGATTGGGCGGGGAGCAAGAGCCGCCTGGGAGCGGCCCCGAGCGAAAAAGAAACGGGCCTGCCCAACATCGAGGGACTGCTCCCGGAGAGGGAACTGGAGCGCCTGGTGGCGGTGGACGAGACGGTCCGGGCCCTCAAAAAGCAGCTGCCCACCATCCTGACCAGGCCCCTCACCCCGGCCGTGGCGGAGGACGCCTTCTGCAAGGAAGGCTTTTGCCTGAGCGTCCTGGTCGACGTCGACGTCGACGACGAGAGCGAGAGCCAGAAAGCCTACAAGGGATCCCTCGGAGGCACCGGTGCCGGTGCCGGTGCCTACGACGAGCAACGGAGGAAACCACCGTCCGAAAGGATTGCCGAAAGGATTCCCGACGAGATTGTCCTCCTGAACGGCCGGGACGAGCTGGTGGCACTCGGCGACGTTCTGGTTCTGGCGACCGCCCTGGCCCGGCAGGCCGTTCTGGTGACGGGCACCATGGAAACCGGGGTGGGCATCGAGTGCCAGCTGATCCTGGACGAGGCCTGCGAGACCGTCCGGATACCCTGGAGGGCCAAGACGCCGGTCCCCGGATCCCTACCGGTCTCGGCGGCGGCCGACAAGAGATTCAACTACCTGGAGGGCATTACCGATTGCTACCTGCGCACGAGCAGCGACAGCGAAACCGACGGCCAAAACAACAGCGGCACCGGCAGGGTGCATCGGATGGTGGTCCGAAAGGCGACCTTCAACGGACGCACCCTCAACGGGCCGGCCATCGGCCAGGCCCTCAAGGGCATCCAGTCGACCGTCGCCAACCTGCAGCAGAACCCGATCCTCCAAAACATTGTGGGGGCGGCACAGCAGCAGCAACAACAACAACAAGAGCAGCGGCAACGGCAACAGCAGCCACGGGACGGAAGCGGGACAAGCAGGGGACCCAGCCTCTTCAACACCCTGCGAGACGAATTCCTGGGCCAGGCGGCAACGGCCGTATCGGCGAGGCTGTCCCCGCCACCGAAAGAATCCGCGGCTGCCACTGGTGGGGAGGGCACTCCTTCTTCCAGCGAAGGGTCTGCCGTCCCGGTGTTCCGGGTGGCATCGATCGCCGACCTGCCGCTCGATGTGGACCGTGCCTGGCTAGACGAGGACTCCATCCGGACCAAGGCAGAACCCTTGGAGACCGCCACCCCGTGCCCCGGCACCGAGGAATGGAAGGACTTTGTCGATGCGAGTTTTTCGCTCCGGCGCTTTTGCAGCGAGGTGATTCCCCAGCTCTCCGATCTCAACATCGTGGATTCGAACCTCTTTGCCGGCGATGCTTCCTACAAGAACGCCGCCGACGGCACGGTTCTGCTGGCCGGGAGGGAATCCCTCGCCGGCTTTTTCCAGAGCATTGCGCTGACCCGAAAGGGGACGGGGATCTCCTGGGAAACAAGGGGCTGCGAGGTGCTGGACTGGAAGAACCGCACCGTTGCCGTTCGCTACGAAATGGCCACCAAGGGCTTTCCCCTGTGGACGGTCTCGGGCCGGGACGTCTACGTCCTGGACGCCACCCTTTCGTCGGGGGAGCGTCCCGTCGTCTTGGAAATCCTGCAGGGACCGCTCGTCGCCAGGGGGCCCAACCAGAACGAGATCCCGCTGGACGGCTTGTGGCTGGTGGACAATTTGTCCAGCGCGCTGGGGGTCGACGGGGCCTCTCCGGGAACGACCCTGCCACGGGACTTTCTGACGGAGCTCCTGCGGAACCAGCTGCCGGGCCCCGGTCCCCCCAAGCCGCCGACGAAAAGAAGGAGGAGGCTTTCCGAGCATGCGGCGGCCTCGGTCTACTACATCATGGCGGACCTGCACGAGCAGGGCCTTTCGCTCTTCGACACTGAGTCGACCACCGGGCCCTCCCCCCCCGCCATCGAGTACATGGCGGAGAACCTTGCCCTGAGGGGATACCTCGGGGAGCCCATCCTCAGGGGATCGGCCCTCTACGACCGATCGGTCCGCTCCGTCCTCTTTGCCCTGCGCGAGTCCGTCAAGCGCGGGCGGCTGAGGGTGGAAGGCCCCCCCGTTCCCCCCCGCGTCGAGCTGAGGGAAAACCCCGAGGGATGCGTTTTCGTCCGCCTCACGCTGACCGTTGCGTTCCGGATCCCGCCGCCGGGGCCGGGGATCCTGCAACAAGCGGCGGACTCCCTCGGGCCGGCTTCCGGCCTGCCGCTGAGGGTCGAGCTGGTTTCGGACTATGGGATCGATCCGGAGAGGGGGAAGATCACCGAGCACCGGCTGGTCGAAACGCGGATCAACGGCCAGCTCACGGCCGGGGACCAGGTGTCCCTGTGGATGAAGCGCTTCCTCAACGCGGAGGGGAACATTGCCGCCGGAGGGAGCGAACCAAGCCGGGCCGAGGAAAGGGCACTCGGGGCCATCGCCGACGCCCTCTCCTGGTTTCGGTCGGGGTGACCTTCGCACGGACGCACGCCACGTGCACAGCGAAGAGAACACGAAAACGAAGCTTGGTGTTGTGGTTTGGATTGCATTGGATTTGATTTTATTTGATTGAATTGAATTTGATATAATTTCGGATAAAGCTAGTTCGAATGCGGTTTTCATTTCCTATTACTCTGATTTGGTAATCCCGAGAGAGATTGAGTTAGCCATGTAATTGAAGGTATCGGTTCGATCGTTTCTGGTTCACCGGGTCTCTGCAATAGAGTGCATTGCGAAATCAAAATGCCAAGAAACTGGTGAAAGCCTGCGTGAGCCCTTGTCCGTCGCTGTGCTCCACCCATTCCGATTTGTGTTGATTCGATTTGTTTTGATTCGATGCAATTGATTCTATCCATTTGCCGAGTATTGCCAAAACTCGTGGCTATTTGCATTCTTGTTGTCATCGCCACCGCTCATCGACCCCTTTGAAATTCGGGTAACACCCAGCAAGAATGCACCAGTGGGATACCGTGTGCTCTTTCGTTGGAAAAGAAATAATCAATTACACCCAGCTATCTTCTGCTGTCGCTTTCGGAACGCTTTTGTTGTAGTTTTTCTTGGTTTGCGTCGATGGGTAGTCCCGTGGCTCGCGGAAGTTTCTACTGCTTTTTGGCCGCCGTTCGGTTTCTCTTTTTTTCCGTCCGATCGTGTACTGGATCCATCGCAGGTGCTGGTCCCCCGCCTGGAGCGGGATCATCCGGTCGCGCTTCAGCTTGAGGGCGGCGGTGGCGGCCTTGTCGCCCGACAGCACGTACACCTGCGTTCCGTCCGGGCACTTGTCCCGGATAAAGTGGCGGAGTCCCTCCCAGCTCTCGGAAATGTCCTCGGTCAGCCGCACCCCCCTGGCGACAAGGACAAGGACAAGGGCAAACACAAACACAAACACAAACGCAACAACGACAATAATGAGGGCCAAGGAATGAGCACGAGGTGCCTTGGGATGGAAACGTCTTCGTCGCACTGCGTCTCGTTACGACGCAAGCAACACAACCAAACTCGAACTTACCACGGTGGATTTGTGGCCACAAAGCATTCGCCATTCGCAGCCACGTCGTCGTCGTCGTCGTCACCGCCGTTTTGGTTCTTTCTGTCGTCCAGGTCGTAGCAGTCCATGTTAGACAAACTCACAAAGTTCACGAGCCCCGCCGACTCGAGAGACGACTCCATGATGTCGACGGCCCTGGGATGGATGTCGTTGGCTTCGATCCGGATCAGCGAGGGATTCTGCCGCATCCTCTGTATCCCCGCCTTGGCCCGCTGGGTCGCGTCGAGCAGGACCTTTTTCCAGGCCACGTCCGGTTCTTTGCCTCCGCCGGCGGCCTTCCACCGGGTCACTGGGGGCGACGAGTGGTTCGGAACCCCACACCGGATCCGCATCAGGCCGGGCGCAATGTCCGTGGCCAGCATGCAGGCCTCCAGAACAAAGGAACCGCTTCCGGCCATCGGATCGATCATCGTGAGGCTGTACGGATGGTCTTGCGCGTCCCTTCCTGTGGACGTCGTCGTCGTCGTCGTCGCAACGGCTGATTCGACCTTTTCTTTCCATCCCGCCTCCAGGAGCAAGCCCGCGGCCATCGACTCCTTCATCGCGGCCTTGTGGATGGGACCCCCGGAACGGTAGCCCCGCTTGTGGAGGCTCCCGGGCGGGTGCAGGCTCCGGTAGATCGAGACGGAGGCCGCGCCCTCGTCGAACCGGCCGTTTCCCATCCCCCTCAGGATCGCCACCAGGGGAACGTCGGGGTTGTCCACGTCCACGTCCGGTCGATCTCCGCGAAGGTCCCGGACGACGTCGCACAGGGAATTTTTGATGCTCAGCGCTGTGTAGTGGGAGTGGGAAAGGTCCTTGGGGAGCTGCCGCGGGTTGTTCATGATGGCCTTCACCGACATTGTCAGGAGTCCCCCCCTGCCGTCTCCCAGCAGCTCCTTGGCGTCAACACACTGGCTGACAAAGTCGTGCAGATCGTGCCGCGTGTACAGCAGGGATCCCCGGTCCACGTCGTCCTTGTGCCGGTGGTCGTTCTCCTCGTCGGTCGTCGCCACCAACTCGAGAAGCCGGTGGGCGGACCGCAACCAGCAGAGGGCAGAAAGGGATGCTTCTCTGGTAGCCGAAAACGTCACGGCGGCGTTTCCGCTCTGGGCTATATCGACAATGCCGTTCGGGTTGTCTAACGTCGTCCGCAGGTCTTCCAGTTCCTTCTGCAGCACGTGGCTCAGCCCGGGGCTGCACGTCGAAAGATAGGTCGAATACTTTTGTCGAGTCTCGGTGGAAGCTTCGCCTTCTCCTCTCACTGCACCCAGTGCCACCGGATTGTGGATTGCGATGGAGATTTTTCTTTGTGAGAGAGGAGGAAGTCCGAAGGAGTGCGAGGGTTGCAAATTGAACACAAAAACAACGCCGAGGAACAGAAACATCCCGCGCAATTTTGTCGGTGTGAACATCGGCTGTTGCGATGGTGACTCGTGCAACATTGTTTCAAATGGTGGAAATGGGTATGTTGCAGTGCTTTTCCTGAAAGTAATTTGCAGTGGCAGGTCTTTGTTTTGTTGCCTTGACGTGTGATGAGTGATGATTTTGAAATGAATAAGTTAACGAAACGACGTTTTTCCACTAATTCGTTTCAATTTTTTTCCTTTCATGTTGATGTTTGTGTTTCGTTTCGTCAGAACGACGAGAGGTCGTGTAGTCGGAGTGACGGAGAGACGGTTGTGCGTATCGTATGGGACCACCGTCCGTACGAGTACGTACCCGTACAGTTCTTGTCGTGTTTGTTACAGTAGTCTTGGTTTTTTGTAACGCGAAGTAATCGAGCGCGCATGGATACGGTAGATGCAATTACTGTGCTTCCTAACGGTTACTATTACTATTAGTATGTACTTCTAGTTATTTTTTGCTAAAGTATGCCTTTAGTTTGTTACAAAGCGCGGACTGAATTTTGTAACCATCGCTTTCATCTCTGTATCAACAGCATCCTCCATAGCGACTCCTCCGTTTCAGCACATTCGTATCAGCACATTCGTATCAGCTCCTCTGTATTTGCAGCAGTAACTTCGCATCACATGGATACAACATTGTAATAACACTGCTACTCAATCAATTACGTAAATAATTGTGGGATCGCATCGGTCCCACGCTACAAGTACGTACTATCTTCAACGCCAAGCTCGAGAGCTTAGCTCGACTATCTTGCAATAACAGTAACCTCACTTGGATCTCGAGCTAAAGCTCTTGATCTCAGTGATGTTGCTGGTGTAATCAAGATATAACCACTTAATTCTATCGATATTCAAATCAAATGATCCTTACTTCTTTGGAGCCTTGGTGTTGTTTTTGCACATTGATCCAACACTATTCATTGTGTTGCATGCTGTGGACGTGATCCAGTCGATTACCCCACTGATTCGGACAAAAGTAGCAAACTAACTACAAAGGAAGTAACACCAACTTGGATGTCAACAAAGGACCCGTTGCCCTGATAGATATGTTTCACAATAGGACCACCAGAGTCACCAAAACAAGTTGTTAAATCCTTTTCAACTTTGTAGATAGTGCATAACTGCACCTTGGGATCATACCTCTTGTCCTTTTCAGAAATTAATTTAAGAATATATCTCCAAAGGCCTAGAATTTTTTTTATCGTCAGGGTCAGTTTTGCCGAGGTCAGCCACAACATTTTCCATTATAACTTTGAAATACTGTTCATTGCAGATATCAGTACTAGCTGCTTTGAGAGTAACATTTTGCAAAACATCAGGAAAATTTTCAAAATGGTCCTTGATACCCATTCCAAATGCAATAAGCTCCGTCCCAGGGGCTGCAAACGATTCATCACTATCCAGTTCCACCGTGACATATGACTCATCGATAGTAACAGTTTAGTTGAGCTTACAGAGAACAATATCATTCTTCTTTGAGGCTGGAGGAGAATAGTCTGGGTGTGTAAGCCATGTTTTGCAGGTTCGATTAATCTTGTTTCCTTTGTTATTTTAGCATGCGCAGAAATGGTGTCATCGTATGGGAAGAAGCAATGCGCTGCGCTGAGGACTACATCGGGCGCAATGAGAGAGCCACCACATAAACCCGGTTGTTCTGGTCTACTCTTCTTCTCGATACTCATCTCGACATAATACGGAAACTTGCCATCACCGGCATCCACTCCATTGATAACTTTCGGTGAGGCCCATACGGAGGACGATGTGGCTGTTAGCACAGTGAGAAATAGGGTATAGGCTGTCTTCATCTTTACTGTTGTTTATTTGATAGAGTACTGGTCCGTTCCCGGAAGGTGGCGAGAGACAATAAAAGTAGTTGTGTCTGGCGCGTGTGCAGAATGTCGCCATCGACAATTCATGAGTATCAATTGAGGTCTGTGTTATTTTTGCGTCGACTAGTTTCCTATTTTAATTTGCTTTCGATTTTACTGCCTATCACTCTGATCTCCAATGCAGTAGCTTACAAACTTTCAATTCAACATAATTGGGCAATCTTTTGGCCGTTTAATGATTACAATAGCCTTTTGCACTTGCTTCAAACCTAAATTGTCAAATGAGCACGTGCGCAGAACTACTTGGTCGCGCAGGAAGAATAAAATCACACCTGCGACGTTTCGCTTTACTAACTTTTCCCGTCGCGTGTTGCCACATGTTTACACTCACAAATGCACACTCAAAAAAAGGAAGAAAATATTTACTTTTTTGCCAAGTAGGATGTGTAATGGAGTATACAGGAGGTTTAAGAAGAGAGTAAAGTTGGTTCAATAAAACAAGTAAAAAATTAAGAAAATTTAAAAGGGAAAAGTATGGGGTGTACTAGTACTACTGATGACCAAGCCAGAAGATAAAGACAGGATATTTGGTTCATCCGCAAAACAGACTCAGTTAGACTATTTTGACCAGCATCCACTACTACTAGTACTACTACTACACCATTGATAATTTTTGGCAAGGTCCACATGGAGGATGAGGTGGCTGTTAGCATAGGGAGAGAAAATAAACAAGGGGTATGCACAAATATGGGCCAACAGTGCTAGGTGGGAAACAAATAAGTCCCCTATGTTATTTTCAAGTGCTGTTGATAATTTCACTACTATTGATTTTGTTGCATATCTTTCCCCCCTCTTCAATCATTGTTTTTTGCTCCTCTTTCTTTCCATTCAACTGACTAAAACCAGCTTCTTCTTCAACTTCTTAGCACCTCCACTGACTCATAGGAAAAGTGCTACTGCAAAGCATTGCCTGGCACCTCCATTCACAAGTGATCCATTAAATTGCTGACACTTGCATCTCAATTGCCTCCAGCAGTGACAGGGGATCCATCAAATTGCACCTTTGTTGCTTCCATTCATAGAGTATCAATTAGGTGATTCCCATTATTATAGAATTGCTAAATGGCTATATTGAGAACATTTAGCAACTCTATAATAATGGGAATCAAGTTTTAAACAAACAGATGGCTCATCTCAGTCTCTTTGGAAATTTGGAATCTTAACTATAGTTCAACATAAATACTAGGTGCAAAGAAATACATGAAATTTTGGATCAATACCAAAGTACTACTCTAGTAAAGGAATATGCACATTTTTATACTCTCATAGTATAAAAAATATATGTGTTCCTTGCACTACTAGTACTAGTAGTAGCTACTACACCCATTATTAGACCAACATTTCCTCCTAACAAGAAAGAAGAACACAATGGAAGTAGTGGAGGTCATTACAATATACTGGTACATCCGCTGATTGAGGACCAGGGGAAAGCCTAAACTTACAAAAAGAACAAGCTAACTCCAGAAGAGCATCATTGTAGCGGGGATAGGAGAACTCCCTGGCTTGCAATCCAGAGATATGCCAATTCTTCCCCCTTCCACCATTTCTTCCACTCAGGGCTTGATCAAGCACTGCTCAACTGCTGTGGTATAGACCACAAGGTCTTCAGGAGGGAGACTGTTGATGTGTTGGCTTGTCCTGTTTTCAACAAGCACACTTTTAATGACACCAACAAGATTGTGGTGGAAGTTCCAAGAGGGAGGTCAATGTACTAGTATGTGCTATTGGACTGGTCCTCTATTGGTACAGGAAAAGATCTGTTGCAAGATCCATGACCTAGGAAAAATTGTCAGAACAAACAAAGGCCCTTTGAAGTTCATCAAAATTTTCTATCCAACTTTGGTGATGATTTGTTGCTGCTCCTTCCCAGGATTTTCTTTAGCTGACATAATATTAGGCCTTCTTGGAAACATTGAAAAGGATCCACGTTTCTTTTTTCAAAAACACAACAACAAAGATTTCAAATTTGACACCAGAAAGAAAAGTAAAATGATGATCAAAAGGCAGCAAGAAGAATAAAATTGGATCCAGAAAAACTTCCAAGAACAAAATGATTCATAGCAGTAGTGCTGTGCAATATTCTTGACAGAGCAATTGAATTGTCAAATGTGTTTTGTTGAACAAAACTGCTGTTTGCCAGTATCATGTTTCTTTGTATTACTTCTAATACTAATACTAATACTAATACTACCACTACTACTAATAGTAATGATAATAGTAGTAGTCAGGAGCAATAATGTTGAAAAGGGAAGTTGAGTGATTCATTTGGAAAGCAAGAAAACATCAAGAAGGAAAAACCGCTGCCTGGTCTTTGTTGCTTGTTAGTTTCTTGGCAGTTAATTCATCTTCTTCACAGAAGCAAATTTTTGCATCATGATAACAGTTTTGAAGATTACTAATCTACACTACTATTACTACTACTGGTAAGGAGTGTTCTTACTACTAGTGTGTTCCCTTAACATCATTTTTTTGCTTGATATTGGTAGTAGAAGAACACAAAAAATTCAGAGAACTTCCACCATAACTACAGGAGACATATGAAGGATCAGCAGAGATTCCTCACCAGACCTGCATTATTTGGAAAATACTTGTTTGTGGAGTCATATGAAGGATCAGCAGAGATTCAGACCTGCATTATTTGGAAAATATGTGTTTGTGGGGCTGTTGCAATAAAAAAATCACTTGGACACCCAAACTCCCCACCTGACATTGCCTCCTGTGTAGCTCACTGCACAAAACAGCTTCAAGAATCTAGTAGAACCAGGGCCTGGAAGAAGGGGACTGGATGCTACATCATGGAACAAGTAAAACAACATTACAAGTAGTTGTATTTCATGTGTGCCAAAGCTTCCACTTATTCTACACCTCATAAGTCATTTCACAACATCAGACTAGTAGAGTCAAGCTCAACAGGGTCTTCTTTCCCCACTGATTCTTCCAAGCCTGCTGTTCCCTTCTTGGCTGTGGGTTTATTCTTCGTCTTTTTCTTCTTCTTGCTGGTGTTGCTTTTGGTGCTTGTACTTGTATTACTACTACTAGTAGTAGAATTTTCTAACTACTATAAGGATCAACTGCTTCTTTGTATGAAGTCATCCTCATACTACTACTAGTACTACTACTAGTAGTAGCAGTAGCATTAGGAGAAGAAGAAGAAGTTTTTCGTTTTTCACGTGTCAGCATTGGGTCTGGGACTCGTGTTTCGTTGACTCGCCAAAAAGACGCACTCGTCGTGTCTTTCTTGTMCCTGCCACAAACCAATCAATCTCATCAAAGAACAAAAATCAACCGGCATACTAGCGAGTTCCATTTTTAGTTTCGCCTTCCAGCGTTTTTACGGCACAAAACAGACTACAATAATAACAGCATTGCGGACTCTAAATTACTGTACCGCTAGTAGAAACCGCCGCCGTACGTCGCAGTCGTACGGCAGGACGAAAAACTAAAGAACGTGTAACTCGTGGGAGCCTGGCACAACGAACCACGGCAGGCCTACTCGTACTCGTAAGAGTACCGTACCTACGGGAGGCAAACGAAAGTGCCGTTCGGCACTCGTACGGCATCGGGAACTATTTTTTGGGATTGATGAAGAGACAAGGCACACACTGATTGCGATTGTATCGTCACGAAACCAAATTATTTGCATCGATCTTTTGCTTGTCCCCGGCAGTTGCGATAGATTCAACGGAACGAAAGAAGCGGTGCCAACAGTAAAGATCGTCGACCAATTCGTTCGTTTTTCCTAGGGATAGGAAGGTGATACCATTGTCATTTTCGATCGGTTCATTCCATTCTTCCCTCGGTTTGTGTCGGTGTGGAGTACGAGTGCCGTGGAAAGAGGATTCTTTTTTGGAGAGGCATTTGTCTTTGCAGTATTGGATCCATAGTGTGCATATCTGTGTCACTACTTCTGCATTTTCTGGAAGGGTACGAGTCACTGAGTATCGGAGGCAGGATCCAAATCCACGTTCAATCGAAACCCAAACACGGTTCTGTGCAACAAAATATTCATTCCTAACCAGCCGAGGAAAAAAGTCTTTGCTTTCCCCTGCGCATCCAGCACAAGTCACTATCTATACATCCTGTACATCGCTTCAATCGGAGCAAAAACGGGATGATGTACTGTTCCGATGGTGCCGATCTGAAGCAACAGAAACCATCCAAAGACCAACCGATACGAGGATCCGGTCGATCCCTTGATAAATACGAACGATTCGAAAACTGGCTGAGGAAAAATGGGGCGCAATTTGATCTTGTAAGTCTTGATGCGCGATTCATTGTCCATTATCGGTTATCACTATCATTTACAGCACCATCTGGTGGCGATTGTATCCGAATCCTGCCGTGTCAAAAAACTTTTGTCGCCGACCGACTCTTGCCATTCTTGCACCTGGTCTGTTTTGTTACTAACGCTCCTATTGCCAATGCGATGCGATTCTGTTTTTGCTGACCCGCAGCTCGAGCTCCGAGAGTACGACGATTCCACCGGCAGCATTGTCGACCACGGGAACGAGGAACACGACGAGGCCGAGGAGAAAAAGGAGCAGCAGATGCCGATCGACAACGACCACGGATCTTGCGAGGGAGATTCCGAGATGAGGGGCGTCCACGCCCGGACCCGCCTTCCGCCCAACACGGTCTGCGTGGCCATCCCCCGGAGGTGCCTCATCACGGTCGAGATGGGGCAGGAGACGCCGATCGGCCGGTCCATTCTCAGAAGCGACCTGGACCTCGATGCGCCGAAGCACATTTTCTTGATGATTTATCTCCTGTGGGATCGCAAGGTCAACGGGAAGAACTCGTTTTTCCACCCCTACTACGAAATTCTGCCGCAGACGCTCAGCAACATGCCCATTTTCTGGTCGCCGCAGGAACTCGAGTACCTGACCGGGAGCTACCTGCTGAAGCAGATCGAGGACCGCAACGAGGCCATAGCAGACGACTACTACGCGATTTGCCAGATTGCACCGCTGGATAAGATTTGTACCCTGCAGGAATTCAAGTGGGCAAGGATGTGCGTGTGTTCGAGGAATTTTGGGCTTCAGATCGATGGCCACCGTACCTCGGCCCTGGTCCCCCACGCGGACATGCTCAACCACTACCGTCCCCGAGAAACCAAGTGGACCTTTGACGAGGACCGCCAGGCCTTTACAATCACGACGTAAGTCTTTTCAGGTTGGATCGATTGCAAAACCGAGAGATTGCTGCTCCGAACCGAACTGTCTCTCATTTTTCTATGCTTGTTTTCATCCGAAATCGTTGTTCCAACGTCCTCGAATACTGTTGTCGCGAAATCCACAACGAAACCACAATCGCGACTGCTGCGTCGACGTGCAGCCTCCAGCCCATCCAAGCCGGGGCCCAGGTGTATGATTCGTACGGTCAAAAATGCAACCACCGATTTTTACTGAACTACGGCTTTGCCGTAGAGGACAACCGGGAACTCGACGGGTTTTGCCCCAACGAGGTGCCGCTCGAACTGAACCTGAGCCCGGAGGACCCCCTGTATCAGCACAAGCTGGAGTTTTGGATCCGTGGAGAAATGAATCTGGTGGGTTCCGCGGCGCTCGTCGCAAGCAGCAGGCCCCACAGCGCACACGCCAAGCGGGTCCGGATATGCGTCTCGAACAACGAGAACACGCGGCTCCTCTTTAGCCTGCTGCGGGCGATGAACTGCAGCGCGGACGAACTCCGCGCCATCACGTCCCCGGTTGCGAGCGACATGCGGTCCCTCTTTATGACGGAACACCGGAGCTCGCTGACGAGTTACTACCGAAGCTGCCGGGACATTCGCCACCCCCTGAGCCTGAAAAACGAGCGACAATCGATGGTGAACCTCCTGCAGATCATTTCCGTGGCGCTGGCCCAGTACCCGACGTCACTGGCGGTGGACAAGGCCGATCTGCTGGACGAGCACCGGTATCCGCCCTTTTCCAACCAGCGCCACGCGAAAATCCAGGTTCGCGGCGAGAAGGAGGTCCTCTACCACTTTGCGACGTGGGCCCGGACCGCCCTGGAGGTTCTGGAGATCATCGAGCAGGAGCTGAGGGAAGAACAGCAGCGCGGAAGCGTGGAGGTACAGCTGGGCAAGGGCGTCATTGTGAACGACGACGCGCCGTCTCGGAGGGGTAGCTTTGATGCCTTTGTCCGGAAAATGGAACAGGACGAAGCGGAGGACGGCGTGCACCACACCATTGTCCGCTACTGCGCCGATGTACTGGGAAGCTTGCGGCGGGAGGAGCTCAAGAGCATGAGACGGCAGCGTGCCACGCTCGCCGCAACTTCGCTGAAGAGCAGCGGCGATGCCGGCAAGGGCGGGGGCAACGGCTATTGCTAGTAGTTTCTGCTGCCTTGTTTCGAAAATATGACATGCCTGGTCGATGCAAAGACGACAAGCTAGGGAATGATTTTGCGCAATAAATACTTTGCAGGAGATGTACCATAATATAGCAATGTTCAGAAGAATGTGTTAACAGATCTATTCTACGTAGTTGTTTCTGCGCAAGATTCCACGCCGTGCTGCGGATCTGCAACGAAGAACACACACGCAGGACCTGTGTTGGAAATACGTGGAGTGTCACGGCGTCTGGGCGTCGCACAGAGGCACAACTAGATCGATGCGTAGTACCGAACAGCCTTGCGAGCCAAAAATTGACGGGAGTTTTGTTTGTTTCGGTGCAGTAGATTGTGGTCGTTCACGGACTTTTTGTTTCCCAAAGAAAGATTGGGATGTTGTCGCCTGTTTGGACCGTCCATAGCAACGGCCTTGGATTCCATGCCCTCTGACACGGCTTGCTTGCCGCACGCACTCCGGGTCGGCTCGGTGCTTGCTTGTTCTTCTTGCTGCTGCTCTGGCTCTTTTTCATCTTGGTTGGGATTGCTCCCCTTTGTGTTTCAGCACGAAACACCCGGCCTCCTTGTCGCCGCTCCCGTCCCGGATCCATTCCCAGCCCCCGAAGATCTCCCTCCGGAGGTCGGCCGGAACGACCCCGGACACGCTGACCAGGATCCCGCCGGGCCGGAGGACGCGGGCGAACTCGGCCGCGGCGGCTTCCGCGCTGCCGTCCCCCGAGAGGTAGATCGCGTCGAGGGCCCCCTTCTCGAGGATCGCGTCGAACCGGTCCGTCCATTGCTCCGGCATGCGGCGGGCGTCCATCTGGGCGAGGACCGTCGGCCGGTCGCTCCCGCAAGCGTCGGCTTCGGTTCCGACCTCCGACGAGAACGGGTGGCCCTGGTACGACAAGAAATCCCGCTGCCGCTCGATGGCGAACTCCGAGTAATCCGTCGCGGTCAGCTTGGTGTATCCCTTCTGCAAGAGGTCCAGGAGGACGGGATCGTTTCCGATGCCCGGGATCAGGACCTCCGCGTCTTTTCCCGGGGTGTGGGCCTGCACGTGCCTCCAGTACCTCTCAAAGCCGAAATACCACTCGTACTCGTCCATCGGAAAGTCCCCCATCCCCTGGTACATGTTGTCCCAGTATTCCTTGGTTCCGAACTGCGACCTCGCCTCGTGGTCGTTGTCGTCGTAGTCCTCGTCGAAGCCTTCCGACTCGGTTTGGGTTTCGGCGGAGAGCGAGAGCGAGAACGAGAACGGCCGCGCCGCCGATTCGTCCCTTGCAGGCGAGGCCGATGCCACCGGCGACGACGGAGGTTGTCCCCCCCGCGAGATCCTTCCGACGAACGCCGTGGCTGCTCTCTCGTTGCGCGTGGTTCGAGTCGTCCTTGAACGACACCGTGGCACGGCGAAGGCATTGCAACCAATGGCGAGGAGGGAAAACACCAGTTTCATTCTGCTGCTTTCTTCCACTGCACGCTACAAGTAAATGGTTCTTTTCGATTTGAAAATGGAAGACCTATGGTACCGTACGAATCGGTGTGATGGCAATCCTCTCTCGTGCGGTATGTCCCAGTAGGTAGCGTCGCTGTACCCTACGTACGTACGTAGTCCACAGGTACCGTACGTCAGTCGGGATGTAGACAACAGACAATCCACCGATCGATGAAAATCCAAAACATCGTGATCTTTTTCTACGTACCAGAGCGATGTACTGTGTACTTAGTATTAGTAATAGGTATGAACATACCTTCATGTGCATGAACTTCGGAACGTTTGCATTTCGAAAGAGATCTTCTAGTACTGCACTCTGTGTACGTGTTACGTTACTTCTACGTACAACAAAGCCTATTCAAAAGAGTTTCAGTACGTACCAAGCGTTGAAGAAGCTCATCAATTTTTTCTAGGCGAACGACTCTGAATCCATGATCCAACGCATATCCAATGATTCCTAAATATCGCGCGATTTTCATTCACGGCAAAGAGAGGAACTCCGAGTAAGAGTGATACGAAGATTCCACTATTGTTGGAAACCCTATCGAACTCGAGTCACAGAAGGCCAAACACTCGTACGGGCCGGTACGAGAGCGCTACGGCACGACACATGCAACAACGGAAAACCAGCGCTGTGTTTTCGTCGAGGTGATACAACCAACGACGCTCCAACGAACCGCAAGCCGCGAAGCTTTTGGTGAGGAAACAAAAGCAACAAAAGCAACAACCGCAACAACCGACGCAACGCAACGTGCTGTATCTTGCATCCAAAGTGGCTCGAAGCTAGTCGACAAAGCACGATTGGCACAACAGACACCACACCGAGGCACGAATTCGAATTCGAAAAGAATACAAAACAAGACAAAACAAGACAGAAGCACCCAACGAAGGATCGGAACAGACTCGAACACGGATTGATACACACCAAAACAGAACCCTAACCATGGCACAGAACAGCATCGCTTCCGAATCGCTGGAGACCGCGCCAACGGTGCCGCAGATCGGGAAGTACGGGACCATCCTGGAGGCCGCTTTCGTCGACCCCGCGTACCAATGGCCGTCCCCCGAGGGGGTCGGAAAGAACGCGATCGAGCTCCAGGCGAGCATCAGCATGATGGTGGACGACAACGAGTCCGTCAAGACCACCGCCTCGCAGAAGGAGCGCATGACGATCCCGGAAAACCCGGCCCACGCCAAGAAGAAGCAAACGAAGGGGGGCCGCTGGTGGAAGTGCTGCGGCCGATCGGGCGGCGACAGCGCCATTCTCAGCCTCGCGGAGTACGAGCAGGCGAAGAAGTCCGCCATGAAGGAGCGGAAGCTGCACTACGCCCACAAGAAGGCCCGGGCGAGGGAGCTCCGGATGAAGGAACGGTACAACCGCGTTCCCGAGGGCATCCTGATCTACCGCCTCGACACGGCGACGCAGACGATCTCGCTCATGAGCGCGACGCACGACAAGACGGACCAGGAAACGCTGGTCCGGGAGATCACCCTGGTTTCCGCTCGGCCCTCGCCCGACAAGTCCCGCAGGGGAATGGTCATCACCGGGGTGGTCAAGAACGAGAACGAGGAGGGCGAGAACGCCGGAGGCAACGGCAACGGCAACGACGGCGAAGGCGACGTGAAAGTCGACGTCGACGTCGACGTGGACGACGACGCAAGCGGAAAATCAAAGGGGACCAAGAAGAAGAAAAAGAAGAAGGACGATGTCAAGGAAATCACCCTGGTAGCCTGCGAGCAACGAACGGCCATTGCCTGGCTGGAGGCGATCGATCTCATGCTGGCGAACAAGCAGCGCATGGGAAGCACGGTAAGTTACACAAGTTCCGAGGGAAGCTTCGGACAGCAGCGGTTTCGCATTTGATCTCTGGACTCGGAAGGTCTCACACAGTCTTTCCTGTAAACCAAACGCCCATCCATGACCTCTTGCTTGCCACCAGTTCAAAAAGTCACAAAAGTCGAACGGATGGAACAAAAAGAATCTTTCCGGGCCAGAACTGGACCAAATCGAGGGACAGTACCTGAACCTTGCTAGCTATTCCAACAAACTCATCCGTGCAAACAAGGGCGGAAAGAAAGGAGGCGCCGGATCTGCTGCGGGCATGTATTACAGCATCGAAAAGAACACGGAGGAGGGCAAAGACGAACAGCAGATCTTCGAGGAGGAGGCTCTGGAAAGCATTGCCAAGCGCCGGGCGGTCATTAAGGATTCGTGGGATTTTTATCGCATGATCTGTTCCCTGCTGCGGGACAGACGCAAATACAACGAGGTATTCCGGAAGCTGCAACTCGATCCCGTCTATCCCTATTTGCAATCCATGACCGGATTGAACGATCCCGGTGAGGCGGGATACGTCAACACGGACAAGGAGGTCATCCAGAGGGATTTCGACCGCTACCAGCAAATGACCCGGACGCAGGTGGCGGAGGACCTGACCAAGCAGGCCGAGAAGGCGTTGCCCTCGCTCGTAGAAATCTGCAAGGCGCTGGCGGGAAGCCTGGGAATGGAGGAGGTGGGCATCGGGCCCGTAAAAGAAACCCAGGCGGCACTGAAAAAGGCGGAAAAGAAGTACGACGGTGACTTGTTGAAAATCACCGATTTTTGCCGCGCCTTGTTGGTGGTCAAGGATCTCCCGAGTCTCCTGGCTCTGTTGGAGCTAGCGAGAGATTCCTTTGGACCCTTGATCCGACGCGTCAAGCTGAGTTCGCTCAAGTCCGACCACAGCCCGCTTCCGGGGGGTTACCGCCACTGCATCATCAACGTGGAGCTCAAGGAACACATTTGCGAGATCCAGGTCCACCTGTGGCCGATGTGGCTCGTCTGCGGTGTCGACGGATTCCGTCACTACCGGCACTGTGTCGAATACAACACCGATTCCTTCGAAAACGCCTTTGATGCGCTCGAGGGTCTGGACCGCAAGACCATGGCCGAGCTCATTGTCATGGCAGAGGAAGCCGTAGCCGAAACGCCGCTCGAGTCTCTCGAGTGGTTTCAGGAAAAATTTATTCTGGATTATTTCGCCGAGGTTGGTCTTTTCATGAAACACGGGATCTACGTCTGGGCGGAAATTACCCTCCGGACGCTGGTTCGTCTGCGAACGGAGTCCCCGGACATTGGACCCGACCACCACGAAACCATTCTCTTGTACACCTATCTGGAAAAAGTTCTGAGATCGCTCGGGCAGCAAAAGGAAGCCAAGGAAATCCAGAAGCGCATCCTGGACCACGACAAGCGCCTGAGGTCCGAAAAGGACGAGGCCGAAACCTCCCTGTGGGACATGGTCATGGCCGCTCCCACGGAGGCGATCGACATGATCATGGACCCGAACAAGAAGGAGCGCGAGGAGGAAGAAAAACTGAGAAAGGAGGTCAAGGCCTCGAAGAGGCAGTGGAGGACGATCCGAAAGGAGCGTTTTGCCTTTCTGGACGCCAACCAGAGCAGCGGCGAGGCCACGACGAGCGGCGCCGCGAGCACCCTGGGCATGGGAAGCGTGACCACGGCGGGCTATGGACGCCTGGAGGAGAAGAAGCTCGACGCCGATGCCGAGGACAGCATGTAGGACTGCGAAAGGGAAACGGAACGCGGTGCGGTGCAACGCAACAAAACACAACGCAACGCAATACGACAATGCGGAATGGATGGATCGTTCTTCGTTCGTTCTGCAGTAATCCTTCCCCTCCCATTCGTTCTCGCATTGCACGCGATTGCATGGATTTCAAGCATTTACAAGTATTCATGCCAGTAGGAAATGTTTCGACTGCGAACGAGAGTATGTAACAATCTATAATCTATAATATATAATAGTAGCAAAGTCACTCAACGACCAAGAGCCAATGTGTTTTTTTTTTAAATTTCCTGGTTGCGGATGCCCTCCCGCGAGAGAGCGCAAAGCAAGCAACCCCGGCGGCCCTGTTTCACGAGGGCGTGCGCGGCCCCCGTTCTTCCGCCGCCGCCAGGCGCCTCTGCCTTCTCCGGGCGAGCTCTCCGGCCCCCCCGTCGGGGGCCCACAGTAGGGCCGCGTCGTCGTCTTGTTCGCTCCCGGCCCCTTCCGCCGGGGAGGGAAGGGGCCTCGGGGGGCGAAAGAGAAGGTCCCCAAACTCGGTGAGGAGGCCGCGGAGGGCCTCGCGGTCGGTTTCGCTGCCCCCGGCCTCTTCGGCCCCCGTTAGGTCCAGGTCCCCCCAGGCCAGCTTGAGGGCCCGCCGCCCCAGAAAGCGGGAGGGTTTCTGCTCGGACTCGACCAGGGCGTTCCAGAGCCGGGCCACCACGCTGAGCTCGAGGAGTTCCTTCTTTTTGGAAGGGGAGGTCCCGGGTTTTTCGGCCCTGGAGTAGGCCACCGTGTCGTGGACGGAAAACGTGTGGGCGTTGACGGCTCGGAGGACGATCCGTGCCATGTTGAGGGTCCGCTGCTGCACCGAGAGCGGCTTGTCGCCGGAAGTGGCAGGGGGCGATATCGATGCGCCGGCGAGGCCGGGGATGATCCCCATCATTACCTTGTCCGCCGGTGTTGCGGTTGCGGATGCCAATGCCGATTCTGTGCTCGCGGCCGCCTCGCTTGGTGTCGTCTTCTTTGTTTTGCTGGTGTTGCTGTTGCTCTTCTTGCCGGACGCCGCCATGGAGCGGGCGCACACCAGGCTGACAAAGCTCTTGACCGCGGCGTCGATGGTCGGTCGATCCCTCGCGATGGCCTCCGTCATGTCGGACTCGGCCTGCGTCGGCTGCTCATCCGGCTCGTCCTTGCCACCGCCGCTCGGCGTTGGTGCCGGTGTTGGGTTTGTCTTTGGTTTGTAGTCGTCGTTGCTGTTGTTTGTGGCGGCCATGGCGGAAGGGATCTGTGTTTGGTGTTGCTGTGTTCGAAGTGATGAACAAACACAAACACAAACACCAACAGAAAACATCAAAAATCATCTAGGGTAGGGTAGGTACATCAATTCTCCAAAAAGTTGTCGACGGGAATGTTGGGCGCTGGTCATCCGAAGGAATTTGGGGGGTTGGAGAGGGGGTAGAACAACGCACCAACAAAACACCGGTCGGACTCAATCGTCAGTCGTGGATGCGCGGGCCGGTTTTTAAAATGGAGTTTCGGCTTGGCAGGCGACCGCTACAGGGACAAGGGGTCTGAATGAATCTGGTGGTGTGTGCCGTGCACTTCTACTACGGCACGTACGATACGTAGTTTGGCAGGAACAGCTTACAGCATCACAGGCAGAGCAGAGGGCGGATGTTGCATCGTACGTTGAGGAGGGCGAAGTGTCAGTAGCAATATACACACCGTAGGTTTTTTACGCTCTGCTGCGAGTACTCGTACCGAAGTTCGAGAAGAAACAGAAAATAAGTACAGTACTATTCGTTGGGAAACAAACAAGCCCTACGGAACGGTACGGCAACTCGTACGGAGCACTAAACCACTCGAAAAATATCATCGAAAATACCTCTACCGGTATTATTAAACCATCGAGATAAGACGACACGACACGACACGAAACGAGGCAGGCAGGACAGGGCAAACGAAGAGAATTACAATACAGTACAGGCCCACCACCCCGAGGAACCATGGCGCCGTACCAAGAACACGGCAATGGCAACGGGTTGCGCCAGCAGCACCAGTCCCGCGACCCACTGGAAGTGACGAGAACCACCTCGAACAACTCGATCGACAACCACTCCCACTCGACCTCCACCTCCACCTCGATCCAGGATTCCGCTGCTGCCGCCACCACGGTTTCCGAGTGCGACTACGACACCAATCCGACGGTGCTGTACCAGGCGATCGAGGCGAAGCAATGGGACTACGCCATTTCCCTCTTTGCCAACAGGAACCGGGGCGGCAGCGGCAACGGGGGGCCGGGGCCACAAAACAACAACCACAACCACGACGACGACGCGGAGGAGGAAGCCTCCGCCACCTGGGTGGTCCGCAAGGAGTGCAACGGAAAGCTCCGGTGGAGGCTCCTCCCGCTCCACGCGGCGGTGATCTTCGGATCCCCCCTGGCCCTCGTCGAGCTCCTGCTGGCGGACTACCCGCTGGCCACCCAGTGCAAGGACGACCAGGGGATGCTCCCCCTGCACCTGGCCTTTCGCCACAAGGCCAGCTGGGACGTCATCGAGGAGCTCCTCACCACGCACCCCCTGGCCGTCTTTTGCTCGGACCGCAAGGGCAGGACGCCCCTGCAGTGCGGGGTCTCGCGGTTCCTCCCGCAGAAGCTGAGGGAGACCGCCTCCGGCCACGGGGAGGCCGCCAGCAACTACAGCGGAACGACGCTCAGCCGGGGGGCGAGCCACTACTACGGGAACAAACCTAGCGGAGGCGGATCGTCGTCGGGCGCGGAAACCCACACCGAAACGTCGTCGTCGTCGTCGTCGCAATCCTCGTCCTTTCGGACGATCGCGGGCGTCCTGGGAATCTACTCGCAGATCGTCGTGTCGGGGGAGCGCAAGGCCGTCGAGCAGGAAACCCGGGCCCTGGCGCAGGCCGGCATGAACCAGATGCGGGAGGTCCACCAGCGCAGGGTCGAGGCCCTCCACGCCGGGATGGACAGGGAGCGGGCCGAGGCCGGGAGGAAGATCGAGGCGCTGGAGAAGGAAAACTCGGAACTCCTGGAGCGGATCGCTTTGCTCGAGCAGCAAAGCCGGCAGCCGCAATCGCAGCCGCAGCCGCATCCCACCGCCCTCCCGGAGGGGGGAGCGGCCGAGCCGGCCGAAAGGGTCTCCGAGCCGGGCCGGGACGAACCCGGGCCGCCGGTCGACACCCCTTGCCCCGGCCCGCCGGTCACCCCCCGCACCAAGGGGAGCGTCGACCGGATGCTCCGCAAGATGGCGGAGACCATGGTCAAGCAGCAGAGGCTCTACCAGTCCCGCGTCGGGGCCCTCCTCGCGAGCTACGAGGAGATGGTCACCGAGCGGGAGGCGATGCGCTTCATGCTCCTCAAGGGCGACCCTGCCCCGGAAGCCTCGTCCCCGGGGCAGCCGGATCGGCCATCGCCGCCGCCACAAAGCAGGGAGCGCCGGCTGCTGCAATCCTTCCGAAAGTGGTTCCGGGAGGAGGAGGAAAAACTGTCGCAGCAGGAACGGTCGCTGTCGGCGTCGTCCCGGGCCTTTTCGCCCCCGCCCGCTGCCGGGGTGCCGGCAGCGGGTGGATCGGATCTGCATTAGCACCGACGGCATCCGCGGCTGCTCTTTCTTCCGACGAGGCGTAGTGAAGTACAATGCAACACGCTGCAGAATACGCTGCACCAGGGGGTAGACCAGGGGAAAGGATCGCTTCCGGAGTTGCTCCTTCCATCTCGTGCTTGTGTTTCGGCATCGGATTTTGCCTGTTTCCCGCGAAACGTACCGGAGTGTAATTTTTTAGAAAGCAACGAAAACGGCACCACTGCTCCGATCGAAGGGACGATTTGCCCATGAGTTAGCTTCTCCACGCGATTCGGGTCTGCTGTGCAGCAAAATGCTGGTATCGTCGCCGGTCAAACGGTAAGGCACGGTGCCGTGCGATGCGATTCGCAACCATAAAATACCAGCCGAAGGCTCACTACTCGAGAGAAATCACTTCGGAATGCATCCAAACAAAGACATAGAAATTATGCAATCCAACCGTCGATTGTTGCATTCGATAGAAACTATTCAGAAAGTAATATACGAACAGATCCCACATTTATTTTTAAAGCTGTCTATGGTCCGCCTTGTGTCGTTCTCGAGAGCACCTTTTGAACCACGCGAGTATCGTGCCGTAGACTAACTGTGCGATTGTCATGCACTCCACGAGTCAATACTTCCGGAAGCAGATTTCTTTGATCGGAAAGTCGTCCTCCAGCTGCGGCAGAGCGTCGGCAAAAAAGTCAATCTCCACCACCGATCGATGGTGACGGCCAACACAGCGCCGTTTGTGTTTGTGCCGAACGTCGTCGTCGTTGTCGTCGCTCTCGTTCGAACCACCGCCGTCGGTGGTGTCGACGACCATGTTGGCCACGTCCGGTTCGCTGGTCCGATGCGGTTTCCGGAGGACATCCGCGGGCCACGACGACACAGCCCTCTTGGTCGCCCGTGCCTCTCCCGCCAGCAGCAGCACCTCCTTCTCGTCGAACGAGAAGCGTTCGCGGAAGGGCTGTGGTGTTGCTTCCGGAAGAATAGCACTGTATCGGAAGCGGACGATGCGACGCCGCGAAGAAGAGGCTTCGGCAGCCTTCGCTGCGCTTTTTGCTGGGGCTGCCGCGGTCGTCGACCCAGCGAATCCGTTCGCCGATGATTTTCTTCGAACGGGCGGAGGGTGCAAACGATGGGCCACTCCCAGCAGCGAAGAGTCGGAGGAATCCTCCGAAATCACGCCCGCAGCGTCCAGGTTCACCCCAACCCGGAGTCCTGCTTTGCTGGCGAAGTGGCTGCGGCGATTATCCACGCTAGATTTCATGTTTCTCCGGTGTTGTTCTGATGGATTTCGTTTGCTTGTGTTTGCTTGCCTTTGCAGGACCAGGTTTCGTCCAAATCGGAAATATGAGAAATGAATCAATCGACTTGTGGTTGTGTGAACGCAACAATCGAGTGCGCTTAGATCTATGAAAGGGGAGAGGATTCCATATTGTGTTCCTGATGATTGGTTTTGGTTGTCTCATGGTTTTTCTCTTGGATCGTGGTCGAAAAAAATTGAAAATCGTGGAACTAAAGAGCATTGTAGTGGCCGTTCCGTTTTTCGTTGTTGTTTCGTTGATCGTCTCATCGCGATCGATCGTGGCTGTAGCAGGCGGGACTGATTTTATTTCGCTTCCCGGAACAATGAAGATTTTTGACTACCATACGAAATGATGGTAATACTGTCCATGATTCATGTAATATCTTTTTTCAAAGAATTTGGTATTTTTTGCATTCCACAACACTATTCACGCCACTAATAGATCAAGCCACAAATTTGACTTTCTCTGAAAGGTAGGCGTTCAAGGTGATAGTTGCAGTGTCTGAGCTTTGCGATGCAAATTTTTGTCATGACCACCATGTGTTGCTGTGCCAGTAGTTCTTACGGATGTTCATCTTTTAATAACAATGTACAAGAGTCGCAGTGAAAGTTCGAGATAACCATTTCTATACCATGTCGGGAAAGGAAAAGCAAACACCAGCAATAACCCCGACCCCACTCGGGAAGGCTGGAGCCAAACAACACTATTTGAAACGCCACGGAAAGTTCCTTCGCGACAACATCAAAGGCATCACCAAGCCCGCTATTCGCCGCCTAGCACGCCGCGCTGGTGTCAAGCGCATGAGTGGGCTGATTTATGAGGAGACCCGCAAAGTTCTAAAGATATTTCTCCACAACCTTATCCGCGATGCGGTCATCTATACCGAGCACGCCCGCCGCAAGACACTGACCGCCAAGGACGTGGTGTATGCCCTCAAGCGCCAGGGACGCACTCTTTATGGATTCGATGTTTAGAAAGAGACGAAACAAGCGTGAATGTCAGTCAATGGATTTGATTGCAGACGCCAAACCAGCACCGACATAATGAAATTGCTTCCCCTAAAGTGAACAACCCATCATCGGCAAACCAACTGCTGTTGTTTCTCGTCCTTGAACAACGTTTATTTTCATAGGATGCCACCACAATATTATGGGATGGTACTCTACCAGGACTATGATCAGAACGCCTGTTTTCATATCTTTGCTTCTGCTTTCGTATTGAAAAGAAAACTTTTATTTTCACTGAAAAATCTAAATCTAAATTAGTCCATCTACCGTACGTCTCTACCTATATTTCGAAGTCCAAACTTCACGCACTTGTGATCTGAACCTAGCCTATCGGTGAGGTAATCCTAGTGCGGGATAGTACGTTACGTACGATTCGTACGTCAGATCATGGGAAAATTGAACAAATTGTACGGTACAACGATAGAATGAATTGCAATTACAACTACCACACCCTAGTTACGAATCTCCTTGATCAAAAGATTGTTGTGGTGTTGCAAGAACGCTCATCATAGCAGACCAGGAAAGAATTTGACGAGGCACTAAATCACAACGATGACTGGCAAAGAAAGCACTCCACTCCTCCAGAAAAACGGGGATGGAAACAATTTCTACTTTAAGAAACTCCAGAAGGAAGGAAGCAGCTACGATTCGACAACCGACGCAGACGGCGGCCATGTGGTCGAAACCCTTCCACATGGTTCGAGCGAGGAAGACTTCGCACCAAGAGCACTTGGTGAATCTATCAAAGTGAGTGAGCCAAGCAATGTCCAACTCAAATGAAGCCGATTTCGACGGGCCGAATTGACCGGCGTAGGTAGTGTATTTAAGTACTTTTGCGGTCTTTTTGAACATCGATTGGATCGAATCCTTCTGTCTATTCCCCTCCTTGTGTTGGCGAATCTGAAATAATATCCAACAGACTATACTACTTTTAGTAATCTTACCAAACTCACTATTGTGCGTCAATCTTGATTGTGAACTACTATAATGAATTGCGCGAACAGAAGCAAAGGAGACCAAGCGAACCCACTGGAATTTTCGGGAAGTGGTTTGGAGGCAGCAAGAAAAACGATGCTAACGTTTCCGAAACAAGGATGATCAAGCCACGAAAGGCACCCATCAAAGTGGAGCCAAAAGTTTTTTTTGCGAACGAACGTACTTTCTTAGCGTGGATGCACGTTTCTATCATTTTGGCGGGTGCATCGGTGGCGATTTTGACCTTGTCGGATTACGAAAACATCGAAAAGCAACTCTACGGTCTGATCATGCTACCCGTTGCTGTCGCCTTTCTTGTTTATGCCATGTACCAGTGTAAGTTTTCAAAAAATGCTTTCGTATGGAGGTATGAAAGGGTTGTAAATATGAGAAACATTTTGCGAAGTATGCTCATCCTGCTTCTACGCCATGCGTGCCTTACTACAATCCACTACACTCACGATGACAACAACCAATACCAATGCGTTGAAAAAAACCTAAAGATGTCAAACGAGCGCACATGCTCCGAAATAAACTCCCTGGACCGTACGATGACACCGTGGGACCGACTGTTCTCAGTATCATGCTCATGGTATCGATTACTGCTCAATTTGCAATTAAGATGATATCCAGCGCAAACAGAGTATAAGTCGTAGGATTCATTGCCGTCTATGCTTGTTCTAAATATTATTCAAGGCATACTAAAACCTTTTCTGAAGTCTCCGTCGCAATTTTTTCAATCTATTGCGTGTGTTTTTCCACAGGAATTATTTAGAGATACAGTTCCGTTATAAAACTAATATTTTTTGAGCTGGAAATAATTGTCTCTTCAGCCTTTTTACTTTTCGAAACTCAAACATTCAAGTAGGAACGACTTTAGTATTGACACTGCGGGTGTCGCGTTGGTGCATTTTGTCCTAGCTGTACGTCTTGTCAGAGATCGATGAAAATAAACACTTAGAGTGCCTTGGTTTTTATTGAAACCGGATATGACATATTTAATCAAGAATTGCATAATTTGATCAGTTGAAGATCCGTATGAAGTTCCGTAGGAGGTTATTCCTTGCTGTAATGATGTCTCTGAAATCTCTTTTGTTGCATTCCTTACAGTAATTCAGAATTAGGGCCCCATTCCTCTTGTTCTCGTTCTGATGATAGTGATCGTGATGGTAGGCACATATGATAGGATTACTACAACAAGAATAGATTAATTTAGATGAGTACGAATACCACTAGAAAGGTTAGATTAATTTAGGTGATGGCGATTGCTGTCACTAAACAAAACACAATTTGCGACATCAAGAGTGGTCACAGATCCGTGTCACAGAGGAGTAACCCAAAGCTATTAAAAGAACAGAGACCATGTAGCCATTCTAATTTCATTTTTTGACCAAGTTGATACTGTTTCTATCAGAACGATAGTTTTATAATCAATGTTAGTTTGCTATCTGTATAGAGACATGACAGTAAAAAATTGCGTTAAAAACACTCCATGTAAAGAGGTTTAATTCTTTATTATGAGAATCATAATCATTGGAAGTATAATCATGCTCTTTTAAACTCCGAAAGTGAGAGACTTGCTGAAACGGACCGTGGGTTCGGCATCAAGCGACAAAGCACTTTTGATCCCGGCAACCCATCCATCACTTTTGATCTCAACATCAATATCATCCGGTGTGACAGTCACAGTGGTTGATCCAAGGTCACTTTCATTGGTCATTGTCGCAGCCACGAAACCAGAACAACCCGCCTTAACACTTGCGGAGTTGTCGTCATCGAGTTGCTGTTGGACCAAGAAACTTTTCTCGTCTTCTGACAGCGTCAAATATGCTTTGGTATCATCTTTTGTGAAGCCTAGGCACACATGAGTTTCCGATGTTTCGAAGGAGTGGCGGGGTGCAACCATGAATTTCCCTCCATCGGTATTGATAATCTTTTTCGCACCAACTTTCAGGGCTTTGACATTTTTGCCACCGACGACACCAGAGCCCCAAACGAAAGTCTCTTCGTCGGCGTCGCTTCCTTCGACCGTAATGTAGGTACCGGCACTGTCTCCATCATAATCATACTTTCCTTTTGAATATTCTGAGCGAGCCTTGATAGTCCATCCTTCTCCAACGGAGTATTTCTTTTGGCCCCAAACGGAATATGGACAGCTGCTTGAGGAAAGATCTACGGAACTGCCATATTCCATCCCATTGCTTTCTCCAGAGTAAGTCAGGGAAGGTGACAAGGCGGACCGTACGGAATCATAACCTCCATCTTTGAGCGTGAGCTGAAATTAAAGAACAGACATTTTCGGATTGTTTTGAATTTAGCATTCAAGCGATAAATATGAATGGACTGAAAAAGATTGGAAGACAAAAATCACTCACGGAATATTGAGAACCTGCAGACGCATAACCTGCAAGCAGAAATAGGGTGGCGGCGGAAAATTTCATGGTTGGGATATGTGAGGTATTTCTTTTATGTTGTTATTATTATTATTTGGTTTGGTTTAATGAAAGAGAGTTGTCATCGGTTGCACGCTGAAGTCATAAAGAGGAAAAAAATACGTCGATGAAGTATCTTCACTTTTGGGAGTTCTCAACTTCTTTTGACATCTCACTCACAACCAAAGATCCCGCATCAAGAGCTGACCAATAGGAAGTGGTTGACGGAAGTTTTCAAAATGTTCAGATGTTCCGGCCAGTTTTAGTCGATCGGATCAATTTACTACGTTGGGGGGTCGCATTCTTTTCCCAAACTCTACCGGAATCTCCGTTGTATGCGTTACATTTTGTACCACCAAGATGCACCTAAGATCGGGTTTAGTACATAGTATAGGGTACGAGTAAGTACCGTACGTACCGTAGTTTGTCAAGAGATTAGTGTCAAACGTACGACCGTACGGATTACATGTACGATGGATCATAGATACCGTGCGTACGTATCATACTGTAGACTACTGACTACGAATAGGATACTTCTTACGAGGCAAAAAAGCGGTATGGAACCTACCTGGTAAAGTATGGTATCCTTCGTTCAAGTTCAATGTTGTGTGTATTGTAGTACTTTACCGTACCGTACTGTAAATTCAGTTGATCACACCAAGGAGGAACGAACGTTGTTTGTATGGGATTTTTTTTAGAAATTGTCATGTCGACTAGAGATATGGTACATCCTCTATAACGTACGACGGGATGTGCAATGAGAATGAGCGTTTTAACGAGAAAACTCTCAAGTTTGTTCTTCATAACAATAATTTGACATCCTGCTATAACGATGAAATCTTCTTCTCATCTGCTCTTCTGTAGCACCACAGTGCTCATCCTCGGTGTTATGCTTCGGTTTGGCTGCGCAAGTGCGTTTCTCGCGAGCTCTGGTTCGACACCGGCGATTCCTTCCTTCAAAACGCCATCGCCTTGGGAAGCAATCGCTGATTCTGGAGTAGTCGCGTTAAGGATGTCGGAGCAGGAGGATGGACCGGGTGAAAACAGAAGGTCGCTCCAAGACTATGGCTTTTCAGACGCAGAAATCGAACGAAGCTCAAGAAAACCAGAAAAAGAACAAATGAAAGTTCGTGTGGACATGATCGACAACATCGATGCGACGACACTGACGGCGGTTGGGTTTGGGCTGGTGGCTTTCAATTTTTTCGTTTTGGCTAATATGGGTGATGGGGGGATTGGTGGAATTGTTGCAATGATAATCAACTCATTTTAAAATTACAGCTACCAATGTTCTTAAGTGATAACACATATAAACAACAAAGAGAAAATCACACTATCTTGAGAGCAAATAAAAACATTAGGTATTATATCTACGCTTTGAGGATCTCGGCGCCTCCCATATATGGCCGGAGGACTTCTGGGACCAGTACGCTTCCATCGGGTTGTTGGTAGTTCTCCAAAATAGCAACCAGTGTTCGGCCAACCGCCAATCCACTTCCGTTGATTGTGTGGCAGAGCTCCGGTTTCATTTTCTTTGGCTTTTTCTTCTTCTTCCCTTCCTCGCCCGCGGGTGCCGGAGGAGGTTCTGGGCGGTATCGCATTGCCATTCGACGAGCCTGGAAATCTCCCGTGTTGCTACACGATGAGATTTCGCGGTATTCTGCAGCGCCCGGCAACCAGACCTCCAAATCGTAGCAGTGTCGTGCAGAAAAACCAATATCCCCGGAGCACAATCGAACCTTTCGGTAGGGAAGCTCCAATGCCTGTAGACACGCCTCGGCATGACTGGTGAGGAGCTCGTGTTCCTCGTCCGATTTGTCGGCGGTTGTAATTTTGACGAGCTCGACCTTTTGAAATTGGTGGGTGCGAATCAATCCCTTGGTGTCACGGCCGGAACTGCCTGCTTCGGCCCGGAAGCAGGGCGTCCATGCCACATAGGAGAGAGGCAAATCTTTTTCTTCTAGAATGGTATCGGCGTGCAGGTTGGTAACGGGGACTTCGGCCGTTGGAATTAAGAAGGCATCCTCTCCATTGCAAGTGTGCGACTCCGGAGTGATGGCAAAGAGATCCTCTTGGAATTTGGGCAGCTGGGAAGTGCCCTCTAGGGCCGATCGCCCAACAATGTACGGCACACTGACTTCTGTGTATCCGTGCTTTCCTGTGTGCAAGTCGAGAAAGAACATGGCCAGGGCTCGCTCCAATCGGGCAATCGGTCCGCTCAGAGCAACAAAACGCGTTCCGCTCATCTTGACGGCCGCTTCGGATTGGTATCCATTGAGTCCCATGGCTACATCGTCGTGCCATTTCGGTTCGAAATCTTCGGTCCATTCCAGTTTCTTGGGCAGGGCCTCGACGTCTCCCCACTCGGAGACGACCTCGTTTTCGTTTTCGTCGTCGCCGTCGGGAACCTTATCGTCCAGGAGGTTGGGAATGCCGGCAAGCATGTCGTCCATCACCTTTTGAATGGACTCGAGTTCTTCGTCGGCCTTCTGGGCCCCTTCCGCGGCCGTGGCACTCAATTCCTTTTGCTTGTCCACTTCGGCGGCGGCTGCTTCTTTGTCAACGTCTTCGTCGTTCTTGCTGTTGAGTTTGCGCATGAGCTGACCAACCTGCGCGCTGGCCTCCTTTCGCTGGTTCAAAAAGTTGTCGCGTTCTTGAATCAAGGCCACGCGCTTCGATTGAAGGGATGCAATGGTGTTGACCGCCTCGAGCGCTTCGTCGGATGCCCGGCGAGATTTCATGTGGGAGAGGACCATATCGGTATCCGAAACAATCGTTCGGATGTCGAGGCTCAAATCTTGTCGCGAAATTCGATCGGCGGTGGCCGGGCTTTCCGCCGGGGTAGCAGTGGCGTCTGCCGAAAGGGAAGTCAGCATTCGACTCGAAACCGACGATGCTGCGAGGGTTCTCGACCCGGGTCCGCCGCAATGTTTCGTGAGAGTCCATGCCAAGGACTGACGCGACAACAACGCCAACATGGCAGCCACTGCGTTTTTATAGAGATACATCAATGAAAATTGGAATACGAATCCGTAGTGGTCCGATCAACCAACCAACTATAACTGAGATATGATCAGAATGATTGTAAACTATTACGTGCAGATCGTCCGAGCACACAGATCTCTGCACGGTGAAACCTAGATCTCGATGATGATGACGATGTTTCACTGAGTGTAAGGACTGGTACGAACTCTTAGCAGTCTCTACTGTGTGCGAAGCATCCATTATTTCTGTTGGAACGTAATGATGTGTCGTCTGTCGTGTCTAGGACGATACGACAATATTTTTGATGTGAGTGGTATCATGAATATGGTACCTGTACATTGTACATACCTGCATTGTACGGTAAGTACCATACGTTACAGTACTACGAGACTGCCAGTACGACTCATACAAAGTGATGTAAAGGAAAAAATGGGAAATTCCATTCGAAGTACGTATGGATTACGTACGATGTACAGACGTATCAATTGAATCGTGCAGATAGGACGTAAGGTACGTACGTACGGCAAGGCCGGTTTGGAGTTTGTTCTGGTTAGCAATGTGTCAACAATACGGTGCGGTATTAGGTACAGGTTCCGTTGACGCGCGAAAACACAGTTATAATCCGTTTTCAAGCTTTGGTTTTTCATCACTCGCTCTCGTTCTGTAGAAATATCTGATGGATGTTCCTCGCAGTTCCTGCCATCACCCCTCCACCGATCACGCATCATTCAATAGGAACAGGCGTCGCTTTGCCTTTGCATCCGATAGACGATTGCAAGAGGGAGGGGCGATTGCATCAAGACGGAACCAGCCGTGGAGACTTATTTCTCGGGTCGATTGATTGTTGAGTTTCAGTCTCCGTGGATCGCCGATAGTTGCCTTCGGTTCGGCATTGTGCTCGAAGGAAGAACAGAACCAGACTGAAAGGCCCATTCCATTGCTCTCGTTGCTAGTCCACTTCATACGAGATGGCGACCCCGGTATCCACCGAAGCTCCTCTAAACGGGCTCGTGAGGTCGGGATCCGATCAAGAACGCGATCTGCAAGCAAAGATGCAACACATGATCAGACTCCAATACGCGGAGCAAACCATCTCGAACACGAACGCGAACGCGAATCAAGATCTGGCCGGCGGCGATGGCACCAAAGGGCACCAAACAGGTGCACCTCTCGAAAACGATCGGGAGGACGATGGCAGCAGAGGCGGAAGAGGCTTGACCATGACGAAACGGGGAAAAACCAAGACCCATGCGAACCTGGAAAATCTCGGGAACGACACAGACACAAACAGTGTTGACAACAATGCCGAGGTAGGGAAAGGAACCATTGTATTTTCTGGAAGCCTGCGCGGTTCGATGCTTCCCCCAGGTATTGTAGATGACAGGCTTGACCAGAATGCTACGGCGACCAAGGGCCTCGAACGGGAGCACCAGCGATACCAGATGCCTTCGCATTCGACAACCCTGGAATCACAGCAGCAGCGTCTTCTTTCGTCCGCACCGCCCCAACAGATTTACTCCGGGTACGGAAGTGTCCACGAACAAAACCACGAATTCCATTACGGCAATCCGGATTACAACAACATCGACGACGAAGACTATTACTTCGACGAGCACGGAGGGTTCCGGCGGGACGGGGACCACCGCACGACCTACTGCGGGCAGCTGTTTGGATGCCTGGTGTCTCCCATCGCGAACCTCGTCGGCCAGGAAAACCTCCGCCGGTCCTTTTGCTACGGTGCCATCGACGGCTTGCTGACCGGCTCGGGCATCGCGTCGGCCCTTTGGGGGCTCGGTCTCCTGTCGGTCCGGACCAAAACCGAGCTCCGCGTCGCCTTTGTCGTGGTCACCCTTGCGGCCTGCACCGCCGACGCCCTCTGCATGGCCATGGGCCACGTGTGGACCACCTACATCGTGACCTCGAACCACGCATGGGAGCGCTCGCACGAGCGGCGGCTCCTGGAGCACGACAAGGCCGACTCGAAGGGCCGGCTCGTGGACATGCTGCTGGAGCGCGGGATGCTCAAGATCGATGCCATGAGCCTGGCCGACACCCTCGAGGGCTACCCCGACCTCTTTGTCAGCGCGCTGGTCGGGGATTCCCTCCTCTCGTCCGGGATCCAGGACGCGCTGCTCGACGAGCGCACCGACGACGGGCGCAACTACCCGCGGGAGCACTACAGCCCCGGCACCTATTCCGACCCCGCGACCGATTTCGACGGGGGCGGGGCCTTTTTCGGGAGCTTTGGGTCATGGAAGTTTCCCATGCACTACGACTCCGACGAGCGGGGCGAGTTTCGCAACATAGAGGACCGACACGCCCGGGTCGTGTACAGCGAGAGCCAGAAGGAGGCGACTTTTATGATGGTGGGTTTTGCCTTCTTTGCCCTAATTCCGAGCCTCCTCTGGTTGTTCCTGCCCCGGTGGTTCAACAATCCCGCCAACAACGGCGATTTCGGGCAGACGCACGCGTATTCCTCTCTGTCGTCGCAGGAAGCTTACTCGGGTGTTGGAGATGGCGAAACCGTGAACGTACCGAGCCTAATCATACTGATTCTGAGTTCCATCATCTGGTGCCTGGGAGTCTGGAAAAGCAGCTTTGTGGACTCCAACTGGGTCGTCTTTGGCTTGGAGACCGTTGCTGTATTGATTTTGTGCATATCTTCCGCTTACTGGATCGCCGTCCTACTCGTTCATTTTCTCGGTTTGGAGTACCTTATATTAAGCGGCGAAACATCTCTCGGTAGTCCCGATTTGTAATCAACCTGACCATGTACAAACAACGAGGCGGTTAACGACTACGAAATTACAACGTGGTAAAGAATATCAGGTGATTCAATACTCGAGCAATACGTGATGGCATGAATTCTGAAACACAGTCATTTCTGAAATTGGCAGATCATGGTGTTAAAAAGCTCATGGCACAAATATTATAGTATTATAATATCCTTATTTGCATCTTGGTTCTAGTTTGTACATTTTGTTTTACACCGTCAAAGATCTGGTTGCTTTCGGTCAAAATTTGCTATTCAGTGCGATTCGCCATAAGTTTCCTCGGTACTGTTTTCCGTTGCTCTCTCTCTCTCTCGCTTTGTCCATTGCTCGTCTAGACCAATCGCTCGAAAGTTACTCCATCTAGTGTACCACCACGAAGTGTTCGGTTGACGAGCCGCTCGAAACTCTGGATGTCCTTTCGGAACAGATCGGCAGCCTCGTGGTTCAATGGATCGTCCGGATTTGGTTCGTAGAACAAATATATCAAACCGTAAATGACCGCATTGATGTCCAATACAGGTCTCCAGTCTTCGCGCAAAATATTCAAGCAAACCTTGCCCTGCAAATCAATGTTCGGGTGGTAGATGCTCGTCTTGCACTCAACCTTCGGCGGGGAATGGGGGTAATGGGCAGGTACCTTAAATTCGAATTCATACCTTGCACCCTTCCAGTAGCCGGTATCGGGGGTTATAGAAACATTGAAACTGGTTAGATCATTTGGTTTTGGAAAGGTGACCTCAGCTACCTTTCCTCCGTCCAACTCTCCAATGTCTGAAACAAAGACGATTTTGGTTGTGAAATCACAATCGATCACATATTGAATAGAAGATTTTTCGATTTATTCATGGATGTGAAGTGATTTCATTTTGATTGTGAGAAAATAAAAATTGTGTGTTCGGATGCATCGAGACAACGGTGGTGCCATTTGACCGACCAGAGCCAGACAAGCGATTGAGTGTGAGAGTCGAGGATTTGAAAGGAAATACAAGGTGGCGGCGTGAAAACGAAACGAAACGAAACGAACCTACCCTTCTGTATACGGATTTCTCCAGGAGTCTTTTTGGTCGCCGAAGATTCGCCTTTCTTGGTCTTTTTTTGACCACCGATTCCGAACAAGGACACCTGCCCACCGCCCTCCTCAGTGCTCTCGGACGGAGCGCTGACGCTGGGAGCAGCCACAGCCGCCTTAGCTTCTTCTTCCGCCTTTTTCTTTTCTGCCTCGCGTTTCTTCTTCAAGGCCAACATCACCCCTAGTTCTTTCTTTTGTTATCGGTTTAGAAAGAGGGCCCTTTACTTCTATTATACGGAAATGCGGAAGAGACAGAGCGACAAGCGATAATCGTGATAGTGAAGATAATTGTCGCGATCATCTTCTCATCGGAAAAATCGATTGCTCGTGTTACGTGACCGCTATGAAGAATGGTAGCGAATTTCGGAATGACTTCAAACACTGAGTGATTTACGTACCGTACAAATTGATTGATACAAATAATTGATTGAGATAGAGAATTTAACTCTAGTATATGTTTTATATATACAAATCATATAAGTGATAGTCAGTATGTATGTTCGAAATACGAGCTCGTACCGTATGGTACGTACGTATCATATGTTCCATCATGCCATCGACCATATTGCATACCGGTACCGTGATCAGAGTCGGAGTCGGAGTCGGAGTGTCAACGTTTGAATTTTCGCCCGTTGGAAACACTCACTCACATGAAATCGTTTCACATGAAACTCGAACGATCACAACATCTGTGAACAAATAAGTACGGATGGAAGCGTTCAAACAAAGTAGAAGTAACGCATTACTATATTTGTGATGTTTCTTCTTTTGTTCCATACACTCCTACCGGTACAACACGCGCTCATAATTAGAAACTTCCTATGATAATCCATAAGCAGGGAGAAAATGGAGTCAATTTCACTGGATAACAGCAGCTTGGTCGATAGAGACTGCAACGAGACCGTTCACAGCTTAAGAAGTTTGGTCTCTTCGGACGATACGGAATGTAGCCTAGATCTTAGCTCGGAACCCAACAATATCATTCCGTCCACCGCACATCGCTCGTCCTACGATAGTCCTGAAAGTTCCCGATTGTGTTGCGCTTCGAGTCGAAGAAGCATTTGTACAGAAATGTCAATCATTGCGAGTTCGTCACCTGAAATAAAGGCACTTCTTCTCCCCACCACGTCGATGCCAGCGGCAGACAAAACCGACGACTATTCTGGGAACGATTCGTCCTCAACGTATGGTTTTCCGATCTCCTGCGAAAGGAACATAATCGATGACTGTTCCGGGGAAATCTCGCCTTCTCTACCACGCGATATTCATTGCCAGCACCAACGATCGATTGGCTCGTTGCCACATTATTCGTTAGAGGAGGATGCGAACCACGATATAGCTGAAGCGGAATCAAACAAATGCATTCCGACCTTCTTATCTACCAGTGCAAGTGTGGACGAGAGGCGAAGGGGGAAATTCGATGGTTCTAACAATTGGTTTATTGAACACCGGGATCAACACAATGGTCCTTCAATGAATCGCTTTGGTCCCACCGAAGATCGCGATGTCTCAACAAATAATAAAGAAAATTCCATCCTTGGCGACGAGACGGACGAATTAACTCTATACCTAGAACGCTACTGTATGTGAAAAATAAAGTAGGAAAAGATTTACATTCATCACCTGCTGATGATCCATCAAAAAGGAACTTTCATTCTATGAATTGGCTCGCTCACACAAAGGCTTTATATGGTGCAAATACAAAGTTAGTACCAGCAAGGTAGAAAGTACTGCTCTGAAAATAATTTAGAAGCTCACCAATGAAAGCACTGTGGCTGTTTGTTGTTTCTGAAATAGGAATGGAATTCATTGATATGTTGTGTACTATGTTGGGTACTGTTTGTGGTGATGCTGGTCTTTTTTGTAAGGAGAAGAGGTGTTCTGAAAAAAGACCACTGGAAGTTCCTCTAGTAACTCTTGAAGAAAGTATGACATGAACCAACACATTTTCCAAATATATTTCCGCTAATTTGTGAACAGTTCTTCTTGCATCAGCAATTTAAATTAGGAATTGGGTCAAATGCATTCTGTTGTGAATTGTTGAAGTTTGATGGATAATTTTTTAATTATATTCTTGAAATTATGGACATCAACATTTAGCTACTAGTATTGCATGTGTGTTTTGAGAAGTTAAATAGGGGGTGATCACTTTCTTTGAGTTTTCTTCATCATGGACCACCACCTTCTTCAGTATCTACACACCAAAATAATAGCTATCAATGCTGATAATTTCTCAATCCTACTGCCCTTTTTCAGTTTGTCAGACTTGAATGTATACATGGCTTCACTTGCTTCTTCTTTACTATATTTTTGAACATCTATACTATCATTACTGACAGGTCTAGTACCAACATACAATTTACTAAGCATTGGATCTATCCTTTTAAAGGTGAGCAAATACATTTTTATAAGTGTTCAAACAAAAGCAGCAACAGTTTAGTTCAATGCACTTTCCTGGTTCATACTTCCATTTTGAAAATCCATCTTTCTTGGTGCATAGTGTCTGATATATTCCAAGCTTTCACCAGTACATGATGTATAGTTTTTGACAGCTTCATTATTGTTTGTCTCCCAAAAACTTTGATGTAGGATTTAATACAAAACACTGAATGGTAGCTTGCTTGGTATTGCCACCATGTTTGGACTGGGGTTAGGTTTTGTATATCATCTGCATAGGAACCAGTTATATCCAAGCCTTAGTTATGAAGTGCAAATACACTTGAATCTGTTGGTACTTTGGGCAGTTGTTTAAGGACTGTTTTTCAGCAATTTAATGAATATACTTGTAGTACTAGTAGTAGTACTATTTGACCTACTGGATCTCCTACCAAAATTCATGCAAGAAACTCTTAGTACTAGTAGGACTAACATTTTCATCATTAGTTCAAAAGCTACGCCTACACATTCTTTCTCAAAGATTTTGTGTAGTGCCTTGTTGTTCTGGACACAGATTAATTTTTGAGCATGTTCTGACATGTTTGTTAAGTGAGTGATTCCTTGACTTTGATTGATAGGGTTTTGTTTGTACATGTTTTTCTTTGCAACTGCTGAATTGCTGTCTTTCTTTCATTTGTTGATGTTGACTTTAGTAGTAATAGTATGCTTTAGTGCAAGATGTGTCTGCTACTACTGATAACTGTACTAATTCTTTAATAGACTTTGTTTGATTACTTTGTGAAAGAAAGTCCTCAGATTGGTCATCATGCTATTCTTCAAATTAACATTTGTTTCTTCAGAGGAGGGGAGGCTTTACTTTTTCTTGAGGTTATAGTACTATTTGTAGCAGTAGTAGTCCATTACTTTCTGGTTTGTTCAACATCACTATCAAAATGAGTGTGAATTTTCTGGGTGTTTCTGTTGGTAAGTTTTAGTAGTAAGAATGCTGCTAATAGCACTAACATTTAGAAAACTTTATGTTATATTTAACCTTGTTGACTACTAGAAGAGGCAATTGGTGGGCCAGGATCATGACTTTGGAGAAGAGGAATAATGCTGCTGGTCACTCCAAGGGGTGGGGCCAATCTCCTAGGAGATGTGATGGAGGCATGGCCAGGTGTGTTAGCACAAACATTAAGTTGTCAATCAGAGCCATCAAGGTTGTAGGCTATTAGGGGCTATTAGAAGTCATTTTGGTATCAACATCCTACCAACTGAGGCTACAGTTCTCTAATAATAGAAGTCCTATATGTGTTTCCAGAAGAACAAAGACAGTACTAGTAGTACTAGCCATATCACATTGGAATACTATCTTATCTTTGAGGAAGGCACCAACAACAATGACAACTACTGAATTCTTATCTATTCCCACTAGAACCTTGGTCAACTCTGTTACAAAGATGGTTTAAAAATACTCCAAGAGTCTCCACCATCTGGTAAAACACTACTATCAGACCAACATCAGTTGGCACCTTCTTTTATCATTCACCTTTCCCAACATTAGATCTCAGATCCAGATCTCAATTCAGCTCTCTATTCCTCCCTATGGTTTCAGGAGCACCCTTGTTTGAAATCTTTTTGTGCTCATGTATTGCTCTATTTCCAAAAAAAAAGGCCTTACACCAAGTAATATGGATAATATAAAGAGAGTCAGATATTTTTTCTCTTCACCCCAAACTTGTCCAACTGAAGCAAATCTGTTTCCCCTCTGACCCTGAAGCTTTCATACAATGTCTACCAGTACTTGCTTCTCATAGTACTACTACTGTCAGAATTTATTAAAAATTCTACAGGAACATTTAAGATGCTACCAATATTTCCACTACGATACCAATCTGATTGCTCCTCAGTACTTGTTCCCTGTTATAACTACCAATTACAAACAACCACTGGAGAGCATCACTCAAGATGTGCTGGTCTTTGATTAGTAGTACTAGTACTCCAAAAAGAGACAGCAATGCTTATTTAAATACATACCTTACTATTACATGATCTGTCCTACCCCACTCATACTCTCCCAACAAGAAGTGATGTTTCTAGCATGTTCCCTTATGCCTCTACTAGTTCACAATACTAAATGTTCATGATAGTGACTGAATTTTAAAGTTAAGAATGAATAATTTGTTTTATGTCAAGATACTCATTTATTTGCAAAAATGGGATACTGAGGCCTACATGGTTTCTACAAAAAAAATAGTTTTTTTTGTTTCTTTGGTAAGTCTGAGAACTCTTAAAGGTCAGTGGCTCCGGTGCACAAATGAAAAGTGGTAGTCCAGTCCACCATAGCCAACATTAGCATCCGATTTGACATTAATTATTGCACATCAATTTTCCTGGCTTGACACAATGTCCAACCAAGGGCCGAAGCCTATCCTGTAATAATCTGTCAATAGTTTTTTCATCCCAATATGCAGTCGAGAGCACTTTATCAGTTTACTCTACCAGCGGCTCCACTATACCATGATAGAACAATTGGAGCCAAAATCGTTTCAACTTCATTCTTTTCCCAATCACTGGTGTTAGTTACCGAAGTACTGTCTATCGGCTCATGATCGGGTTAACATTTCCGGGCAGCAGGAAACTTGCCACTTCCAAATATGTTTCTGTATCATATTCATGTGATAAGCAGAGTTACTATTGAGCATGAATAATAATTGGCATTCCCTTTCGTAGTGTCCCATGCTATAGCTGGAGCATCAAACCAGATAAAGAAAATGATTCTTGATCGCAAAAGACGAGTCGCTAGCGGCTTTTTCTAACTTTTACTCGGGGCGCTCCCATACMGTACCAGGAACGAAGCGGTCTCTGCACACGTGGCAGAAGCAAAAAGGTCGATCGCAATGCTGAAATGCCTTTGGATCTTGCTTGTCTACCAACGCACCGATGTCCATCCAGATCTGGGACAAGTCTTTGTGCACTTTTTGCAACTCGTCGTCACGTATCTCCTGGTTTTCTCCAAGGTCCATTTCCCATGGCTTTGCCGGTCCCTCCTCGGAAGTGAGAAAGTGGAGCTTGAGATAACGCAGGTCCATGCTATCCTTGTCGTTTGCGGCAGCGTGTGTTTTTTCTCGCATCAACAGGGCATAGATTTTGAGCTGATAAAACTTTTCTTCGAATATTTTCTGGTTCATGGCAGGAGAATACTTCAGATTGGGTGCCTTGCCGGTTTTGTAATCAATGACTTTCAGGGCGACCTTCCTCTGAGCCTCTCGAACTATGTCGAGTCGATCGATGATTCCCCGGACCTTGAAGGTTTCGGGATTCGGTTGTGTTTTTGTCGCTGCTCTGCCCGCTGGTGTCGTCACACCCAGGCTCGAGTCTACCGTAAGGTCGGCACTGACCCAAACTTCCCTCTTGTGCGGATTAGGGCGCAGAATCGTTCGCGGGTCCTCGCTCTGGTAGTAGTTCTCCAGTAGCTGCAACGCGGATTGCCCCCATTCCCGTTCCGCATTTATGTCCCGACGAACATTCGTGCTCCCCGTTTCGGCGTCCTCCTCTTCTTCTTCGAACAAGAACCTGTACTCCTCCTCCAATCGATTTTCGGCCCACTCAACCCGCATCAAGTTCTGGAGGTTTTCCAGTGTCCTGTCTTTGGGATCCAAATCGAAAACGTGCTCGAGGGCGCTGTGACACATCGATCCCTTGGCCAGAATCTTATTTGTAGGTTGTTTTATTTTGTACAAGTATTGAAACAGAAACGATTGGGGGCATTCCTTAAAAGTCATCGCGGAGGAAGGCGACAAGTGTTTCGGATGTGGGATCGGTCCAAAGTCATCGGGATGCAGTAAATCTTCTTTTAGGGTTCTATCGTCGGTGTTATTTGTCTCGTCGCCTGAATCGCTTCCCATGAAAACTTTGGTGCCGGACGGTTCTGTTCCAGGACGAACCGCTATCGATGAGCTAAAATGTCTCAGAATCGTATTTTTCAATGTGGGCGTTCTCTGCTTGTTCAGCAGGCAATTCTTCTGTCCAAGAAATGATAATACATGGCGACGACGTGATAAAAGTATCATTGCGAGAATACAATTCCGATGAAACATCATTTTCCCCCATAGATAGATCCCAGAAAACGGAGGCGATTTGACTCAGAATCTTGTACGATGCAGATCGATCGTTTTCTGCACGATGATGGGAAGAAAATGGTAGTGTCGACGAGCACGACTATTCTGTGAAAGGTCGAGTAAAGTAGTTGTTGCTTTTGAAGAAAGATTCCATCAGGAGACAATCTTTTTTTCATTGGCACAGATCGAAATAAGAAACCTGCTTCTTTTCCCTCGCGCATCGGACGCTCGCTCGTCCTCCGTCGGTCACAAAGATTCAGTCAAGCGAGTCGATAATTAGCACAAACATTTCCGAAGTCGAGTGAGTCAATCCAACGTATCGCGCGGGTTTTTGTCGAAACGTGTAACCTGGAGAAATGATATGCAAGTTGAACTCCAAAAGTGGAAGACACCGAACTAAAAGATGACGACAGACTCAAAGACGCCGTACAATAATACGAATTCTTGTTCGTAGACGAAGAGGAAGATCGTTCGCATACCGATAGCATTCTTGTTGCAACACCCTAGTTTTGTGATTCTTGATTGCCTCGGGACAAAGGAAGAAGGGATTAGGAGCAAGTGTTGATACGAAGCTGGTACAAGAGGAGGAGGAACTTTAGCAAAGACCCTAAAATCTTTGTACACCATGACGTACAGTAATAATAATAATCGTCGACGACGATCGATGGACGTAGTTGCGGTGCTGGTAGCTTGCGGAGTATTTGCACAGGTTCAATCGTTCGTGCCCACGTCGACTTCGAACCATCCTTTGAGAATATTTGATGGTAAGCCTTTGGAATCGAACCGATGATGACATCAGCATCCTTGCTTTTGCGTCCGTATTGAATGCCCGGTGGCCTGTTGTTTGGGTCACGAGAGAATTATTCTTTCCATTTCGTCTTCACCGGTGTAGCGTTCGAGAAAACTACTGTGTACTCATGACATATTTTTTTCATTCCATGCTACCGACATAGTTGTGCAAAGCAACGAAATCCCTCGTTGTGCAACCGCTGCAGCTGTCAACGGAGTGTCAAAAAAGGAGGAATCAGTTTCGGAATCAGAAGAATCAGAATATCTATGGAACCTCCGGTTGAATGTCAATGAAAAGGCTCGAACGGTTGCAAGTGTTTGCACTTCTGGTACTCTGTGCACCGTTTCCGGTCACGACGGGATCCAGGGCGCCCCATTCGGATCCTTTGTCGATTACGTCCTCGACGACGAGGGCAACCCCGTCTTGCTGATGAACGAGATGTCTATGCACACCATGAACATCGAACAAAATGCCATTAGCAACCAGGACGGCGTCTCCAATCTCGTAACATTATTCACGCAGCTCGCCAGCGAAACAGCCGAGCAAAGCCAAGATGTTTCACGTTGTTCCTTTACGTGTAAGGTCGAAAAGATCGCTCGCGACGCCGAGGACATGGATGCCATTCGAATGCGGTATTCTCTGACCCATGTTTACGCGGACCAGGTCATGGATTCGCCCAAATTTGCGTTCTACCGATTAATTCCCGAAAAAATATACTATGTTGGTGGATTCGGTGTCATGGCGAAATGGGTCGATGTCGAAGACTACAAAGATGCTACCCCCGACATTTTGTCGAAGGAGGCGAACCAGATTGTCAAGAAGCTCAATCGTGAATTCAAGGACGATCTTGAGTGCATGGCCATCCATTTGCTGGAAGCAGAAAAGCTGGAGAATGTTCGGGTCACGAACGTCGATCGGCTGGGAATGGACGTGCGTGTGACCAGACAGCACGAAACGAGACGCAACAAGCTCATGACGGACGAGTACCGAATCGGATTCCGTATCCCCGTCATCTCCGTGGAGGATGCCAAGTCGGAGATTCTCAAAGTCTTCCAAGAGGCTTGGGAAAAGGGACAGGGTTTGGACTGGGGTGATGCAGAAGAGCCAGGATCGACGGTCCCAATCATGAAGATTGCAGCTGATAGTCTGGAGTAGAGAATAGATTCTAATGAATTAACAAATCGAATTAGACAGCTATATTTGAGTATGTGATGGTCTTCCAAGAGGCTTTGAAGAAGTAAGAAGTTTTGGACTAGAGTGATGCAGAAGAGCCAGCATTGAAGGGTATATTAGAGTCTCGAGTAGTGAATCAAATAATACAACATCGACACTATCCTACTTCTTGGAATTTTCGGGTTGCGTGTAGAACCAATCAAAGTAAAAGATTCCAAAATGACGTTGCATTATTTCTAATTCACACAGTAGAAGATAGTCTGCATCGTTATACGATTAGGACCGACTAGGTCTCTTTCAAAGCTATTCAGAGTAAATGCAACTAGCCAGAACGAAAAGTAATTAGGATGGGAGAATTATCGCGTCATCAAGTGACGGAAAGTTTGGCTTCGTCGTATAGGTGATCGGTAATCGATGGAATAAATACTCTTGTGATAATCTTCCTATGGAGAAACGATTGCTGCGGATGTGACGCCACTCATTGCTTTGCGTTGGCTGTCAGTTTTGGCGCCACCGTCTGTCACTTCAGGACCAGTCTTGGGAAAGAAAGTGTCACCACGTCTTAGTTTTGTATTCAGTGCCGGTTCCGCGTAGGAAATAGGCTGCTTCACACTTCGGCGCCTCAAGCTTCGAATAGGTCCTTGAAAACGAGATGGTGATTTCTGATCTTTGCCGCTGTCGACGTCCTCGATCACACTGTGTTCGAAAGTATCAACAATATCTATGATTGATTTTCTTGTCGGAGATTCTACCACTGGACCGTTGCCCTTCGACATAGATTCCAAGTTCATGTCCAATCGTTTCTTTTGCTGTATCCTTCGAACGAGGGCTGTCGGGTTTTTATTGGTTTCAGAAGAAGATCCCTTTTCGATGTCTTTGATTGCGCCATTCATACTCGAATTGGTGGTGTCAATCCGAGGGTGCAATGCCTTTTCATATCTCGCACGTGCCGCTGAGGGAGTTACCTTTTCGGGCCTTTTCGGTAGCGGTTCACCACTACTTGTGTTGCCGGAAACAGTCATCGGTACATTTTCCGCGCACTCAATTCCGATGTCGGCCGTAGGCTTCAGGTTTCTCTTCCCTTCTTCTGGCGTGCTGTACACGAAGGAATTCTTTTTTCCCGTTTTCTTCTCGGGCGTTGCAAAGAACGGGTTGTAAATGTTTTGCACAGATTCTGATGGCGGCGATACACTGTTGCTTTCTTTTGGAGTGAACGAGTCAGGGAAATCAGTTGAAAAGGATTGCTCAAACGCATCGATGCTGTTCATCAGACTAAGCTTTCTATCAGGTTTGGCATATTTCGCATTCCCACTACTTTCGGGTTGTTCGATAGTGTCAGGGGGAAATTCTTCATCGTATGAACTACTTCCACGATTCGAGTTCGATTTGCTGAAGGCATGTGGGGAGGCAGAAAATGGGAAGATGGGATCATCGTCGACTGGTACACCTTGAAATGCGGGGGATTGCGATCTCAGGCTCTTTTTTGGAGTTGAGTAAAGTTCTTTCTTCTCATCTTTGTCGTTTTCGTCTTCAGAATTTCTGCCTGGTGTCGAATCACTGTCTGCGGAATCGCTGTACGGACTGTTCGTAGCTGTTGTTGCAGGCGAATCTCTGATTTCTTTTGTTGGACTCGATGGTCTGGTGGTAATTGTCGTAGACTTAACATTTTCCTTGTGTTTCTCAACATTATTGTTGTTTCGTTGACGAAGATCAACTCGATCGGGCGAGGGCGTACTTGACACTAGTCTCATCATGTTGTCATCCTCGTCTTGACCGACGCGCTGGCTCTTGCTCTTTTCGATGCTGTTGTTCTGTTGTGATTTTCGATCAGCAGACTCAGGGGAACTGAACGTAATAAAACTATTCGTAAGACTATCGGTCATTCGTCTCGTTTGCTCGCGTTGTGATGCCAACGCTTGGGAGGTTCTCTTTTGTTGCATGGCAAGCTCTTTCTTAAGCATGGCCACGTGACTTATTGCCTCTCGACATCTGGATGCCAGGTTCATCTACCAAGAACGAAATACGGATTAGAAACGATTAAAAAATGCCATGATCAGGTAATAAATAGAAACAAGAAATGATTATAGGTTTCCATACCGATTTCCCCCGCTTTCGGTGACTTACATTTTCCATCGTTAGCCTCGTCACATTTTTGCATTCGTCTCGATGCTTAAGACGAAGATCAGCCTTGATGACCGACCCGTTTTGAAGTCATGTGAAATTGTTTCACAGAACATAAAAGAGGAAAGAGATATGAATCGTGAGCACATATTCGCTGATACAAAGGTGGTAAATGGATAAGGTCGCCCAGCTATGTTCTGCACCGGAGCCACACTCCTCCGTCTGGGAATTCGATTGTTTGCAATTCAGAGGAAAACCTACCAATTCCTTTGCTAAGCGATAGTTCTTCGTGGTCAAGTTGGTTATTTCGTCTTGGTGTTTTTTCCGTTGCTGCTGCAAAACTTCCGGTGGAGGCTGCTGTCTCCTAACTTGTGGAACGACGGGAGGAGGTCCTGTCTCTTCTCTGGATACCGTCGCTGCGGTTTGCTTTTTCCGCGATCGTCTCATGATGTCATGCAGTTCGTTCTCTCGCTTCTGTTGGTTTTCTTCCTTTCCTCCACGGAAGATTGATCCTCGCTATAATAGTTTCTCGACGCTTCTCCGTCGACTTCTCCGTCGACACCTTCGCCTTATAATGCAGTTATTGCCAACTGAAGGAAACAGCTGCAAATATCTGGTCGGTACGGAATGTGTTCGACGGATGGGATCAGAACGAAACCTAGTAACTCAGCAGTTACCAGGGTCTCGTGTGGATTACGCCAAGCAGGGGATGCTTATGAGTGTTCTTTTTAAGGATGAATCGGATGATCATACGACAAATGAATTCAAACGGAATCTGATTTTGTCCATGTCCGTTGCCGGATCACCGGTGGCCGAATATTGATGCTAGTTATGTCTGCAGGATGTTGTTCAAAGATCGGGTCGCAGTGCACATGGGATTTTCTGAATTTCTCCACAAGAGATTCCGCTAACACGAATAAAACTCAAAAATTTCGCTTGACTACCCTGATGGCGCGCTAAAAAGTCTGTTTGAAATATTGAACGACTCCATTACTTAGAGATTTGCCGTCCGTGTCTCGTCAGCCTCGCTTGTCACTCCTACGAAATCAGGGCACCTGTCTAATTCTTATTCTTTCTCGGATACTCTCAAACTCGTACCGATTCCAGACGTGGGTGATCGAATATTGCTCTTCTCATGTTTCGGCTTAAAAATTTCATTCGTCGAATGCTCTTTTCGGAGACGTGCGAGGCTTCCTCATCCGCGAAGTCATACACACACAATTTTGAACTTGTCGATTCCAATGCTGATTTTGAAACGAGAAGATTCCCGACGGACCAACGGTACCTGGAAAAGGAATTGTCTACCGATGGATGGTCCAACACAAATTATGGATGGCAATGAGCACGCAAAGAGAAAGACTCTGGGGATGTTACACTAGTACGATGCTTTGGTCAAGATTGCTTCGTTTGCTTTCGATCGAAGAAAAGACGTGCTGCCTTCGTCATGTCTTTGAATGTCTCGATGCATCATGTTCATTTGTGCAAATCGCTATCTATTACGATTTTGATATAATGCTAACTAACTATTCTAATGTGCAGGAGGATAATGTATCAAGTATCGATCTAGTGCAGACGCTCCACAAGTTTCTGGATAGCTAGGCGGATGTCTTCGTTGCTCGTGTGGATGCAGGAACTCAACACGGGATTCAACCATGGCATCTGTTCCAGGTGTTCGTCCGTCAATTTTGCGTAACCTGCCAGCATGTCCTGTACGAGATTCATTAGTCGATCAAAGGATTTTATCTCCAATGAGCTGCTCTTCGCGTCGTTGTTGATCACGGTTTCTTTCTCTAAGAATGCCGAGACCAGAGCCTCGGTCTGTTCCTTCACGGCATCTTGTGCTGCTGCTTGCTTGCTTCCTTCAACCGCTGTTCCCTCGATCTCTTTCATAGCTGCAATCTGCAGGAGGAATCTGTTCATCCACTTTCTGCCGTAGTATGCTGTCTCACGATAGCTCGGCGGGTTTAATCTATTTGGATCATTCGTTTTACCAAGGTTATTTTCAGTTATCCCAGCAGCCATTTCCCAATCTTTGATCGCCCTCCCGAGGCCTGATAAAAGGAAAAGACGCCACTTCAACGACAATGATTTCTTGAAACGTTCTGTCTCCATGAATTTCCCAATCACCGCTATGGCATTGCTTCCAATGAATCTCCGGTCAAGGAACATTTTGTCTTCGGCTACAAATTCTCGGAGCATCTCTTGCTGTTCCAATTCTGGGTTTGAAACTTCGGTATCGTCACCTTTGTGTTGAGGAGCTTCTTTGGAGGTTTCTTCGGTGGTTTTCGAGCCTGCGACTGCAGATCGTTTTGGCAAACCACGCACGTGAAGTGATCGCCGGAGCATGTGACTTACTGTGGCCCATATCTCGTTCGAGAGAGAACTTGTAGGGAGATCACTTGTGACGAAAATCTCCAGTCGACGAAGGCCCTTTGCTGCCAATGCCCCGGACTCAGAAATGAAACAGCTGTTAAACATCGCAAAAATATCTTCTATCAATGTATCATCATCGAAAACTTTGAGGGAACGAATACAAATATGCACACAGTCATCCATGAATGGATCGAATGTTGTGTCGATCCAAGAAGAGCTGTGGTTTGACTCGTCGAGCTTTTGGGACTCTCCTGGATGTTTTGCCGATAAAAATCGTTCCATATCACTTGGAAGCGTGGGTGTCTTTGCATTGAAAGCACTTTCGTCTCCAAACTCGAGCACCGGACTAAATATCCCACGATAGACTAGTTGCAACGTCTGTACATACTTTGATTTCGAATTCTCGTCGAGTGATTCTTGGTTTTCAACCGATGGAAAGAAGTGACGAGAAACAATCTTTGTCAGTGACTCCAAACTTTTTTGTCGAATCTTTTTTCTTTCATCCCCTACTGATCGCGATAGACCAAGTAATATTGGCCACCATAGTTCCAACTCTTCGTTGCTAGTCTTTTCGGAGTTCTCTGCGATAGCTTCGCCGTTCCCTGACGCGACACCGCGGCGTTTTTTGAGTAGTGGTGAGACGGTGGACTCGTCCGCAAGGAAATCACACAGCTTCAGGAGATCGTCAATGGATTGCAAACCCATCTCTTCATGCGGACCTCCAACGTAGATCAGAAGGGCATCCACGAGATCGACGAAGCGTTCTATGAGCAAGACGCCTTGACCTGCCGTTTTCTCTCCGTCTTCTTTGCATTGGTCGAGGCACACCGTTATTTGAGTGTTCAGCATTTCGAATCCCACCTTGGCTATTTCTTCGTCCGAATCTCGGCCTGCTAGACCGAGCACCTTCAAAACAGGACGCCAACCACTCCGGAGCTTCCCACCATCGTTGCCCTCCTGCGGTGATCCAAACATCAAAATGATTCTTTCCACGCATCTCAGCAGGAGCTCCTTTGTGGTAGAAATCTCACTGCGCGCCATAACGGTCTCGAGAGGCTTCAGGAATCGCCTTTGGAATTCAAACACGCCAAGCTCCTCTCTTTGGAGGTACTGTATACAGAGCTGGCGGAACGAGTCGACCGCGTACATCGCGACCGCCGGATTGGAATGCAGCGCCGTGCTTGTTAACGATGCCGACACCGTAGTCCATAATTCGTTAAAGACCAATCGCGGTCTCGAATCCATGTTGTAGTGAGTCACTTCGACGAGTTTCTGAAGATTGTATATGTTTGTTTGGTGGTGGTGGAATCCTTCTTTTTCTTTCGGCGCAGAATGGACCAAAAGATCGTGTTTCTTTCTGTACTGAACGGATGTCAAGCTGACCTCGTTTGAATCACCCGCAACGAAGCCGCCGTAATCGGAAATTTCCATCCTCGAAACCCGGCAGAGTTGCAGGATGAATTCTTTCACGGCTGCGGTCGACAAGGAGGAAGACCGTTCGTAGATTGCCTCGATGATGTCCTCCGCGACCGCTTCGTAAACGGTCCGAGCATTGGCCTCGTCGATTTCCTTCGTATCCATGTCGTCGTTGAGGCTAAGGTCGTCGGAAGCATCGAACAAGGAGGAGTCATCAAAAGACGAGTCGCTGTCGCTGGAATCGCCGCTGTTGGCCATCGACGCGTCGCCGAGGCTGTCGCTCTCTTCTTTTTTGGCACGCCGGAGTTCTTTTGCCTCCCTTCGCTTTTCCTTTGCCACCAGACGCGTTTGTCTTCGTTCTGCTGCCCGGGCGACGGCCCTGTCGTTCCGTGCCATCAGCTGGAAGAGCTGGTGGAAGCGGTTGATTTCGCTCAGGGCCTTGAACACGTGCTCCCAGCTGGCGCCGAGGAGCTCGCCGTCGGATCTCGCAATGGCCAGCATGGTTTGGATGCAGCGAACGTGCCGGGGTTCCAGCAAGACACCCGTCCCCAGCTGCGAGAACCGCGAAAGGGCAAAGACGAAGGATTCCCGGGCAATGTCGTTCCCCACGAGCCCGGCGGTGCAGATGGCGAACCGAAAGCCGGTCAGGCACACCTCGATGGTCTCCGCGGCGTTGATGGCGGCCGCCTCCAGCTCCTTGTCCGTGGCGATCGCCAGCAGGGCCCCGACGGTCCCGTTGGCCGATTCCATGGCGGTCGAGAACGCGGCCAGGGCCGGCCCCCAGGTCACCTCGAACATCGGCGCGACGTACTCGTCGCGCAGCCCGCTGTCGTCGGTCCGGACGTACTTCGGGTGTGAAGGTTTCCCGGTGTGGTTCGACCGGCCCCGCCGGGTTCCGGGTTTCCCGGCGTCCGTTCCGTGGCGCCTCCGCTTGAGCAGCGACTCCGTCGTTCGGACGATCTGGTCCCGCTCCTTGATGAAATTGGATTCCTTCGTCTTGTCCACCTCGTCGTAGTGGTTCGTAAAGAACGCCGCCGGATTGAGGGCGTTGGTCGTGGCGGACGAGTCGGCGGCGCGTTCGCGGGCATCGTCGTCTTCCTTCAGGCTGATCTGGTTTTCCTTGATCCTGTCAAAGATGTCGATCAGCATTTCTTTCGGCAGGTCCTGGCCGTCGCAGATTCCTCGGTTGTTTCGGATGAAACCGTCCTTTGTCATTTTTCTTTCTTCCTTGATGGATGGGTTGTGGAGGTCGGTGTTCAGCATGATGATCGAAAAGGAGAGAATGAACGCCACGTCCGCGGACGGGAATGCGTCGGGGTTTTGCTCCGAGTACCGCTCGGCGAACTTCTCCAGTATGCGGTCGATCTTCTGGGCCTCTCCCGGCAGCCGGAAACCACTCAGGTAGTATCGGATTGCGTTGTCAAAGGTGAGGCCGTCAAAGTCCATTTGGTGCACGTACTCGTGCAGGACCTTGAGGGGCATTCCGTTGTCGTAGTCCGGTTCCCTTCCGAGGTACTCCCCGATCTGGGTCTTTTCGAACCGGTCCTTGTTCTTGTGCAGAAACCGCGCGACGTCGGCCGGGTCGGAGCTGTCGATGTGGCCACACTTTGTGGCGTAGGCGATCCCGGCCTTGGGTTTCTGGTTGAATCGAAGCACGGTTTCCGAGTCTTCCTCGCGGCGTTTCTTCTTGTCGTCGTAGATTTCTACCAGGGACTTTTTCGGGTCGCTCCCGCTTGCACCCGCGCTTGCGTGCCCGTTCTCTGCTTGCCCCCGGTGGTTCTCGTGGGTGTCCTCCCCGATCCTTGGTTCCTCTCTGGACAGGGTGGGGGAAAGGCTTTGGCTTTCCTTCATGGGTTCGACGATGCTGGCGTTCAGGCTGGCCAGGACCTGCCGGAGGGCCCTCATGGCGTTCAGGCGGAGCTCCCGGTGCTGGGTTCGCAGGCGTTCCATCCGGGCGCCCCCCGAGGAAGAAATGATGCTGGTCATCGCGGTGGCACCGAGGTCGGAGGTTTCGGCGTCCGTCGTTCGGGCCACCCTGGAGAGCGTGTTGATGATGCGGTGGAAGAGATCCACCGCGCTCAGGTCGCAGTCGTAGTTCAGAAAGATCTCGGCCAGGGTGGTCGGGTCGGAACAGATTTCGTTGAAGAGGGTCACCACGAGGCTCTTGTGCTCGATCGGCGAGTTCTTGGAATCGAGAATGACGAAAAAGACGTTCGTGACGAACGCCTCGATCTCCGTTTTGAGGATGGACCGGAAATTCTGGAAGATGGGGACAAAGACCATCAGGGAGAGCTGGACGACCGTGGTGTCGTTCGAGGTGCAGTTCTTGAGGAGGGAGACGCAGAGGTAGTTCCGGATGGCGTAGTGGAAGTGCGGCCCGCAGTCCTGCAGGAAGGACCCGGTGATCTTTGTTCGCTTCAGCACGTACAGGAGGAGGTCCAGCGCCAGGATTTTCGACTCGACGGCGGGGTGCATGGCGTGGGCGTAGACGTGCGAGAGGGCGTCCCCCCCGGCCCTCCGCTGGCTTTTTCCCCCGTGCGCATGCTGGAGGCCCTCCTGCCCGTACCCGGAGGTTTCTCCGTGGGGCTGGGCCCGCATGCTCAGCTTGCACAAGGACCGGAGGACCAGAAAGGCGTCGCGGTGGTTCTCCGAGGGAAACTCGGGAGCCGTTCCCTCGGGAGCCGTTCCGTCGGTTCCGCAGGCCTTTATCTCGGGGGGGCCGCCCGCTTTTTCGCAATGGCTCGGGCCATCGGAAACGGAAGGGTGGTCTTCGGTGGTTTCTTTTTCTTCGCAGGCATTGTTCCCCGAGGCAACCATCCGCAGAAAGACCGAGGTCACCAGCTGCTGCAGGGCCGCCCTTGCGGTGGTTTTGTTGGCGTCCGTGGGGGTCGACAAAAAGACGTGGTAGAGGATCCGGATGGTCTGCAGCAGGTGGCTCCCCCGCAGCAGGGCCTCCCCGGTGTTCTGGTCCACCCGGCAGCCCAGCGACAGGAGGAACTTGACGGCCGACAGCTCGCTGGCCGGCTGGGAGAGGTCGACCGAGAAGACGGATTCCGCCAGCACGTCCGCGACCTTGTGGTACTCCTCGTGCGAGGGTCCGATCCCGATCATGACCCCGTCGAGGCACCCGTGCGTGACGAGCGAGGAGGCCGTGTCAAAGCCGGTGCTGACCATCCCGCAAAAGGTCTCAAAGGCCGCCCCCTTCTTGCGGTCGGTGTTCTGGGCCATGTGGGAGCTGGCGTGTCCCCAGACGCCCATGAGGTGGCAGAAGCAGGCCATGGCGCTCCTGGCCTTTTGCATCGTGTCCCCCTCTTCGCCCAGGACGGCGTCCACCATTGTTTCCGAGGGGGATTTTCCGGGCCGTTCTGCATCCTTTTCTGTTTCGTTCCCGGTGGCGATGGACTCCATCAGCTTCTGGTAGGCGTCGAAGCGGGTGTCGTACTCGGTGGGCGTTCCGGAAACGTATCTCGTCCACATGGAGAGGGGCTGGGTTCCCCCGTGGGACTCGGGAACGCCGGGCCGGGTCTTTTGGGCGAACTTGCGCAAGAGCCGGAGGGCGACGTCGCTGTTGGGGATCGGGGTGTCGGCCCGGACGACGCCGACGCCGCGGAGGGACCGCTTGGAAACCGATGGGCCGCCGGGAGCGTTGCCGCTGCCGCCGTGGTGGGTCTCGTCCGGGAGGGCCGGGGGCTTTTCCGATCTGCGGCGTGGGGGAGGAGCCGCCGGTTCCGGTGGTGTTGTTTTTTCGCTTTGCTGTTGCTGTTGCTGTTCCTGTTGCTGCGGTCCCGCGTCGGAAGGGGTCGATGGTTTTGTTGAAGCGACATCCTTGGCATTGTCTCCTCMGCTCCCTTCACTCGGTTCGCTATTCTTTGCACTAGCCTCGCCGACGCTGTCGTTCGGGACGGCATCCGGAGCTTTCGTCTCGACTGCCTTTGGGTCGATGGTTGTTTCTGGTGCTGCTGCTGCTGGTCCTGCTGCCGGAGGACCGCCGGTTTGTTCGTCCTCTTTCCCCGCCACTGCTGCAATGGGTGCCTCCGGAACCACGGCCGCCTCGGAGGTCACTCCTTCGTTCTTTTGCGTGCCAATGGCGGCCTTTGCGGCCCTCTTTTTCGTCGCCTTGGCCTGTTTCTTGGCCGCGGGCGCAAACTTGGGCGACGACGTCAGGGCTGGCGGCGGTGGCGGTGGGGGCAATTCGGCCAGCGGTGGCGATTGTGCCTTTGTTTCCGCTGCCGCTGCCGCCGGTTTGGCCGCTGGTGTTGGTTCTTTCGCCCTCGGAACCGGCACCGGGGACAAGGACGCGGAAGAGGACGCGGCGGGCCCGCTTCCGTTGTGCCGGGCTGCCGGACCGGGAGCCGATTCCCCGAGGAGGTTCAGCAGCTTGTCCGTCACGGGGGCGTTTCGCACCGGAACGGGGGCCCTGGGCGGCGGCTGCGGCTGTGCGTTTGTCTGTGCGTTGTTGAGCTGTGCGCTGTTTGCCTGTGCGTTGCTTGGCCGCTGCGGTGGAAGGGGAGCCGGTGCACCCGACGAAAAGCCCCCCGAGCTCTGTCCCTCGTCCGTCGAAAGCATCGGCGGGACGTACCCGACCGACCCGTCGGGKGCCGCCGCTGCAACTACTGCTGCCTTGCCGTTTTTTGGCGGCGATGCCGCGAGGGACAAGCCGGCAAAGAGGTCGTTTCCCGAGGACGAGGACGAGGACATGGCGATTGTTTGTTGTTTGTTTCTCGCTGGAACCTAGGTCGCTTCGCTCCAATCGGCGTGTCTTTCTGTGTGTGGTTGGTTGGGAATGTGTCTATATATGTGTGTATTGTGTATTGTGTATTGAGTATTGATCTGCAAGGACCTTTCTCGATCTCTCCGGGGTTCCTCGGTTCTGCACCGTCACTGTTGTGTTGTTCTGATCCGATCTGATCGAGATGTTGCCGGGTTTCTAGAAACGGAACCCGGGGGAGACAGACCGCGCGAGTCCTTCGTGTGTCGCTGTATAGTATTGCGCCGGGGTCTTGGGTGCAATCCTCGGATCGGAGGAGGGTGGCGTTTCTTTTTGCCGTGCGATGGGGACGATGCGATGGTGGATCAACAAATACAATATCTCGGGCCGTGGCAAAGGATGCGGGGACGGGAGCCTTTTTGCAACTGCTAGCCAACGGTACGTACGAGTACGATTCGTACCGTACCGGATTTCGACCGGGACGGGAATGCGATGCGTTGTTGTGCGCGGTTTGGCTGCAGGCGACGAGAGGATGGATATTATTATCAATATTCAAACCAAAATGACCCTTTTTCCTTTGAATGCCATCTCTTCCAAGTTTGCCACGGGAGCTCGTACGGCGTACAAGTACCAAGTACCAGTTTTCTATTTCGATCTCTCGCATGCAAAATCGAACACAATCTTTTTCCCTGTCACTCTTCTCGGCGATTCATTCCCGCGCCCAAGTCCGTAGTACCGCACTAGCACTAGTACTACCGGGGTGTTTTAAACGAGAACTGGAGCTTTCAGCATGAAAATAATTGGAACTGTAACTATTTTCGACGGCTATTGTAAAATTATTAAAAATCATACCGTCCCCTAATATAAATTTACTTAGAACAACTTTTCCTAATTTCTTGTTTTCTTCCTTCGCCAACAGTCATTTGACTGAAGGAATGAAATTACTGTTTATTTTGGTGAATTTGAGCTGCCAGCCAAATAAATTAGGAAAAGTTGTTCTAAGTAAGTTTATATTAGGGGACGGTATGATTTTTAATAATTTTACAATAGCCGTCGAAAATAGTTACAGTTCCAATTATTTTCATGCTGAAAGTTCCAGTTCTCGTTTAAAACACCACCCTACTACCGGTAGTATCCAACTCCCCCCTCCTCTCATCTGGAAACATGTTATGTCTCCTTGCAAACTTCCTTGACAACTCATTGTTAGGATCTTCTGCTGTAGCATCCCATACTTGGTAATGGAACTTCCATCCATTGTGCTCTCTGATAGGTCCCTTGCCATGAGCAGCTAAGTGTTTAGGAACATCCACTCCTGGCTTCTTAATACACCAGCAGCAGCACTCAGAAGAAGGAAGAAAGTGACCTTTGTATTTGCCAGTACCTGCTTCAAACTTTGGTCTGTAGTAATATGGGTACCAACAACCTGGATTATCAACATCCTTCCAGTCTCTTGGTTCCCCTTTGTGAACCTTTGGATCCTTCCGATCAAAATCCACTGGGACCTTTGGTGGGAAGTTAAGACTGTTATCAACAATAGTTCCACGTGACGCATCTTTCCGATAGAAGAACTCGGTATCATGAGGCTCAGTCGCATTTTCCCAATTCCAATATGTTTGGCTCTGACTGATAACATTGAAAAACTCAGCTTGTGCAGCCTCCTCGTGACTCATTCCTGAAGAACCAGAATCAGAATTAGGCTCAGTTTCATCAACAAGCTCCTCCTCGTCATCACTTGAGCTTTCATCATCCTCAAACAAAGTTTCCACATCTGATTCTAACTACTTAGTCACCAAACAACAACAAGAAGTACTGCTACAAGAAAGAGAAAAATCCTTGTTGTAGTTAAAGCTGTTGAAGACTAACTGTTGCAAAATGAGAAACAGCAGGACATCCTTTGATGTGAAGTACTAGACACAGTAGTAGTAGTAGTAGTAGTAGTAGTAGTAGTAGTAGTAGTAGTAGTAGTAGTAGTAGTAGTAGTAGTAGTAGTAGAACAAGAACAAGAACAAGAACAAGAAGAACAGTTGTTGTCAACAACAAAAAGAAGAAAAAATGAAAAACAACAAAGATTAAGGAGAAGATAGATACTAGAATATCAGCCCCAATAGCACAAAAAAGAAGATAGAAGTTAGAGTGCTGCTCCATCATACTACTTCAAGAAAGTATTATTGTACCTTGACAAACACAACAATGATAGTAGTAGTATTTTTAGTAGTAGTAGTAGTAGTAGTAGTAGTAGTAGTAGTAGTAGTAGTAGTAGTAGTAGTAGTAGTACCACCACAGCAGCTGCAAGAAGAACAAAAATGCACCACCAGCAGGGACTTGCTGACTCTGATTGCGTCTTCTTTTTCCTTGCTCTTCTTGGTTTCTGGTGCTAGTGGTGCTGGTGAATGCTGGAAAGAACAAGAATAAGAAATGGAAGAGCAACTATTGACATGAGAAAACAGGGATCAACACAATTTACTAGATGTTTTCTGAAGTAGCAAAAACTCAAATTTTTGCATCTAAAGTTTCTTATCACTTCTCTGGAACAGGCATTGGCAGACAAGCCAACAGCAACCAAGACAAGAAGAGAACAAGAAGAACAACAAGGTAAAAGAACAAGAAGAACCAGCTGATGGTGAAAGAAGAACCGGCAATACATCCTATGTTCAACTTAGATACTACTACTGGCTAGTACAAACTAGAAACATTTCTCATTCAGGGACTGCTCCATTATGACTAGTAGTAGTATTATTTCTAGTAGTAATTATTACCCCAATGCTTCTTGTTGTGTCAATATCATCACATTTTTCAAAGAAAAAGGGTCAGTGGAGTACTACTCCTACTAGTAGTACTAGTACTAGTCAAAGAGGACATTTTTCTTTATGATACTTCAAGTTCTATAATGGAATTTTCCTCATGAAACAACAACAGCAACAAGCAAAAAAAATCTACAAATCCACCACCAGGAGGAGCAGTTCAGTCGTGCAGAAGTGAATAAATGTGTTTGCCACTTGTAGTAATAGTTGAAAAATTTCACTTTTAGCTACTACTAGTACTACTAGAGTAGTACTAGTAGTGGCACTAATTGTTGAACTACTACTACTAGTAGTAATAATAGTAGCAGTACTGCTAGAACTACTACTAGTAGTAGTACTACTACTACTATTATTGCGAGCACCTGCCACGAGTATTTCAAACGAAACGCCGAGTCGACTTCGACGAAACGTTTAACGTCTGATAGGGCAATAGTTTTTGCGCGCGACTTGGTAGGTTCAACGTCTTCCTCCGTTTGTGACACGAATTGGTGCGCGCTGAACAAAAGGATGATGATAATGATATCGTTTTCTCTGGGACCCGATGGCACGATGCTCGTGCTTGTGTTTGTGTTCCAGTCGTATCTTACCAGGTACCGTACGACGATGCTTGCATCCAAAGCATCGAATTCGAATCCAATTCCGGCTTCGAAAGCTTCGAGATCTCKGGAAGACCCACCCCATCACCGAATTTTTCGGAAGCAAGGCACAAGAACGGCAGGCGACAATCGCTGCGGATTCTGGCTTGCAGTACCCAACACACCGCATCCACCCACGGAACAAAACAGAGAATCCGCAACAACCGCGACACCACACCGATACAACAAGACAAGATTCGTGCTCCGCGAGACCATGCCGACGAGCGTCGACGGTAGCCGGTACGCGCACAGAGATGGCGCCTGCGTTTGGTCCGAACGGGACGCCGTGACCGAGAACGAAATCCGGTGCAAGGACATGCTCGAGTGCAAGCGCCAGATCGAGTTCTGGAACGAAAAGCTCCGTGTTCTAGAGAGAGAGCACACCACAAAGATCAAGCTGGCCCGCCTGCGCCTCGACGCCGTCGCGACGTGGCGGTGCCTGTCCAAAAAGGACCGAAGGGACAAGACGCTCGTCCTGGCCGCCATGGAGTCCGAGGAGCTTCCAACCGTCCTGGACGACTTTCCGAGCGGGAACCTTCCCCCCTGCCTCCGCTGGGACAAGGACATACTCCTGGCCCGCATCGCCCGCGACGACTTTCGAGACAAGTACTCCGGCGAGGAGCGGTTCTTTGTGCCCCGCCAGCTGAGGGGGGACAAGGAGGTCATGCTGGCCCTGCTGCCCAAGCATCCTTCCGCGATCGAGTGCGCGTCGGACGACCTGCGGGACGATCCGGAAATCTTTCGCGCCGTCCTGGAGGCAGGCCAAGAGCTGCCCCCGTACGTCCTCCAGCACTTTTCCGAGCGCATCCGGTCCGACCGGAACCTGGTGCTGCGGCTCTGCGCGCACCCCAACGGAATCACGTCGCTGGGCTTTGCCGCTTCGGAGCTTCGGAACGACAAGCTTTTCTTCCTGGAGGCCATCCGGGTAAGCCACGGGGGCACGGGGGAGGGCCGGGAAGCCTCCCAGAACCTCGTCCTGCGCTACGCCTCCCAGCGGCTCCAGGACGATCCCGAGGTAGTCCTGGAGGCCGTGAGAAAGTGCGGCCCGAACCTCAAGCACGCATCCTACCACCTGCGGCGGGACTTTGCGGTCGTTTCGGCGGCGATCGAGGAAACCGGGGCGGCCTTTCGGTACTGCCTGCCGGGGGAAGCCAGGGATCGCCTGCTGTCCGACCGGGAGCTGGTGCTCCGGCGCATACTGGGGCCATCGGCACACAAGCACGTCCGCGAATCGCCGGCACACAGCGGCACCGTGAGGGCCTGCCTCGAGCGGTACGGGACGGACCGGGAAATCCTGGAGAAGGCGCTCCTCCACGGCATCGAGTGGTCGTGGCTGCCGCCGGCCCTCCGGTCCTCCGATGGCTTTGTCCTCGACGCCATTGCACGAACTCCAAGCATCTATTATGCTCTCCCGGGGCAGATGCGATCGCGCCCGGAGTTTGCCAGGGCGGTGCTTAGGTCCGAGGACGTCGACGCCGCTCTCTTCGAGTATGTGGCAGAGGAGTGCCCTCTCTGGAACGACCGGGAGGCAATGGTGGCATTTGCGCGATCGGGATGCAAGGGGGTGCTGGACAAGACGCTCCGGTTTGCTTCCCCGGAGATTCTCGGAAACAAGGAAATCATGCTGGAGGCGATCGCGACCGATCCGGTTGCCTACGAGTACTGCACGGAGGAACTGTCGGCGGACCGGGACATCGCCGCGGCCGCCGTTCGAAGCTCCCCGGCCTGCCTTGGCTGCCTGCCGGATGCGGTCCAGCTCGGACACCCGGAGATCGTGGTTTCCGCCATCGAATCCTTCGACCCGAGCGAGCCGCATCTGTGCTACGAAAGCGTCTGCAGCGAGCTCTGGTCGGACCGTTCCATCGCCCTGGCGTGGATCCAGAGGTTCTCGGATTGGATCGACGACCATTTCCTCGACGAATTCAAGGCGGACGAGGAGATATGCCTCGCCGTGGCAGAGCACAACTGGAAACAATTCTGCGTTGCCTCGGTTTCTCTGCGAAGCAACAAGGAATTCATGCTACGGGCGGTCGAAAGGGATGCCCGGGTCATCCGGTACGCAAAGAACTCGGAAGACGACGACAGCGACGACAGCGACAACGACGAACACCATTTTGGGGAGGAGGAGCAGCAGCGGCTCCGGCACGACGACGACCTGGCGCTGCTGGCCTTTAGCAGGGACAAGCGGGCGATCCAGTCGTACACCGGGGGCGAGGATTTCGGGTACGTGGTGGCGTTCACGGAACGGATACGAAAGAAGCTCCGTGCCTGGGACACCTACCGGGACGTCTTTCTGGAGGGCGTTCTCCAAACCGGCGTCGAAAGCGAGAACGAGAACGAGAACGGAACCGGCCCCTCCTGCCCGCTGACCCTCCTGAACCAGGGACCCCACACGGTGGAGCACCACTCGCGGCTGATTGCCTCCTTCGTGGGGCTGCCCAGCGGGGAGGAGGTGGCGATGCTGCGCAGGGCGTCCGCCAACCTGGTGCACTGGGGATTCTAGAAGAATACGAAACGAAACAAAACCAAAAAAAGTAAACACTTCATTCATACCTGCATACAAAATAACTCTACAATTTATGTTTTGTTCGATGAGAGTTGCGGTTGTTTGGCTGAGCATTTGTGTAGCCGTGTGATTGTCATCCTTGGAATGGATTGGATTGGATTGGAAATACAACCTTAATTTTCTCGTCGAATTGCTTCTACAATGCTTCATTGGTTACGCAAAATAGTTTGTGGCGCTGGGTGATTCCAGAGAGAACCGGTGACCTCTGCATCCCATCCCATCCGATCCGATGCAATGCAAGATTCGTTTTGGCTTGAATTGAATTGGCTTGGCCTTGGTTTGCCCTTCCGTCATTCCACCGCCGTGGTGTTCTCGGTCAGCAGGACGTACTCCCTCGTGGACGCTCCAAAGGTGAGGACGTCCCCCTTCTTCAGCTCGTAGTACCGGGCGGGGTCGATCCGGACGCCGTTGAGAAAGGTCCCGTTGGTCGATTCCAGGTCCATGAGGTAGGGCTTGCACACGGTCCGCCCGGGCCCCCCCGGCCGGTCGGGGGGGGCAAGGACCCCCCGGTACTGCAGGACGGCGTGCTGGCCCGACAGGCTCGGGTGCAGCAGGGGAACGTCCGCCACGTCCGTGTTGCGGCCGAAGAGGTAGGCGGACTGCTTGCCCACGTGGAGGGTGTCGACGAGGTCGCTTTCGGCGCTGCCTCTGCTGGTTCGGTCGCTTCTTTCGTGGTTCGGCTTCGGTGTCGGCTTGAAGACGTAGAACCTCCACCGGGTGTTCGGCGCCCGCGCCTCGGGGGGTTCCCTGAACTTGAGGAGGACGCCCTTGTAGACGTTGCCCGTCTCGGTGTCCTTTGCGAGGGCCCCCGAGAGCCCAAAGTTGGGCTTGAATTCCGGGGGGGCCTTGGTGTCGGTCCCTCCCTCCGCGGTTGCCGGCTCGCTTCCCTCGGTTTCGTCTTCCACCCTGGAAGGGCCGTAGTAATCGGCCCGCGGCCGGTGCCGATCCCGATCGCCCTCGCTCTCCGTCGGCCGCTGGCGTTTGCGGTCGTAGGCGGTGCTGTTGTTCCTGTTGCTGTTGTTGTTGTCGTTGTTGTTGTCGTTGTTGCCCCATCGGGACCTAGACGGTTTGTCTCTGCCGCGGAAATCGCTGTCTCTGCTCCCCCTCCCGGATCCTCTCCCGCCGCCGCGGTGTTGGTTGTGGTGTTGGTTTCTTCCCTCCCGCTCCCTGGATCGTTCCTCGGCGGACCCCAGGAGGGCCCTCAGGGCGTCCTCGTCCGATACGGAAGGTTTCTGCCTTTCCGGGCGGTCTTGCCGCGGATTCCGATCGCGGTGTCGGTCCGAGCGGTCCCACCGCCCGGAGCGGTCGCCCCCGCCGCTGTTCCCCCACCGGCTGCCGGGGGGTCGGCGGCTCATCCCGTTCTTTTTTGGCAACGCGGATACTACTGGATCGTGGTCCTTTGTTTCGTTTTCTTTCGTTCGAATTCGAGTTCGGAAACAAGCGCCAAAACGATTTCTCGGTGTCTTGTGCGGTGTCGGTGTGAGAGAAAAAGATCTTCGGCTTTCCCAAAGTTGGTGTCTTTGTTGGTGATGTTTGTGCAGCCGGTAACGAGCCGATGTTGGTGGTTGTTGCTTTCGTTGTCGTCGTTGCGTTGTTCCCAATTGCTACCGTACATCGTACGTACGGTCGTACAGGAAACTTGAGCTCGTACTCCACTCTCCGGTCTGAAACCACGAACGTAACTATGTGTGTATGATCATACCTTTGTGGATATGAACATACCTATAGGTATTTACAGTAGTACCGAAGTACTGTGTAAAGTACAAGTATTTACGAAACGTAGGTGGACGTACTCGTACTCGCCGTACCAGTCGTGCTCGTATTCGAAGAAACCTATATCAGTCGTGTGTCTGCCACGCATGGAATGACTCCTCTTGGTTGTTGGAGGTTCTGATGACGAGATCGCGACAGATGACTAATACAATACAATACTACTTCGTACAACAGGAGGGATCTCGTACCTAAGATACGATGGTGTGCTGTTGTCTGTTGTACGGTTCGCAAACCCAAGGGACAACAAAGAATTTCATCGATTCACTCGAATCCCATCGAAAGACTCGGGAGAATCACACTTTTTTCCCTGCCAAAAACACTCCGACGCCATGACCGCCCTCCGCTCCACCAAACCCCTGCTCCTCGCCTCGTTCCTCTCCGTCCTGGCCCTCCTCGCCGGTCCGGCCGCAAGCTTTGCCCCGGGCCCCCTCCGCAGGGACACCGCTTGCCAAGAGTCCTCGAGCACGTCGGTCGGGGTCGGGAACATTATCGACCTCCTGAACGACGGAAAGAAGAAGCTCGTCAAGTCGCTGGCGGGCGACTACGACGCGGAGGCCGTCCGGGCCCGGACGAAGGGCCTCATCGAGGCCAACCCGGTCCTGATGCTTTCCTTCACGACCTGCCCGTTCTGCGTCAAGGCCAAGGGGGTCCTGGACGGGATCGGTGCGGAATACACCGTCGTCGAGCTCGACGTGGATCCCGACGGCAAGGCCATCCGCGCCGAGCTGGGGGACCTGATCGGCAGGACCTCCGTCCCGGCCGTCTGGATCGGCCAGGAATTCGTGGGGGGCTGCAACGACGGCCCGATGGGGGGCGTCGTCAAGCTCAGCGAGGAAGGAAGGCTGGAGGGATTGCTCAAGGAAGCCGGCGCTCTCTAGGGACCGATCGAACCAAAATGCGGGACGGCGAGATCGAGGCATCCACGGTTGCCAGAAAAGGACGTTCGTGCATCCGTTGGCTGTTTGCGTTTGTGAGGGCTCTCCACAAGAGAGCTGGGATGAACGTCCCTCATTTTCACGAATACTGTTAATTTTATGTAAACATATCATGAACGCTGAACTTTCCGCAATAGTTTTACCTACCACATGTAGTCTGCATCAACAAATTGTTACTGTCGAATTCACGAGACGCACACAATTATCGAAAATCGATTGAACGAAACAAACGCACCAGTTGGAATGGATCGCGAGAGAAATATCGTAACACAGGAAATAAAACGAGACTATTATTCTATCAATACTCTTCTGTTATGCAAGATCGGATGGGTTATATATATGCGTGTGTTCATTGAGGTGGGTATAATCATTTGTGAATTATTCATTTAGTCTGCATCAACAAAATTGCTACTGTCGAATTTACAAGACACACTCACAATCATGAAGAATCGATTACTGAAACAAACGCAGAAGTTGGAACGGATCGCGGGATATCATCACACAGGAAAGAAAACGAGACTCTTATTCTATCAATACTCTTTCATACAAGATCGGATGGCTATATATACTATACATTTGTGTTCATTGAGGTGGGTACAATCTAATATTACGAACATTTGTCAATTATTCTGAGCAGTTTATTTTTCCCATCGTTTCCATCCCGACGCGACGTAGGTCGGGAGAGGGCCCGCCTCCAGCTCCTCCGGAACGGTGCCGGCGCCCGCCAGCGTCTGGAGCCACAGCCCGAGCGTCGCCAGGGCGTCGCAGGCTATCGTTCGCAGCTCCGACACCGAAACAGGGCTGTGCGCGATGTGGACCAGGGTCGCCACGACGTTCCTGGTGTTGGTGAGCGGGACGACCGCTCCCGGTTCCGTCGAGATGTTAAAGACGGTCGACGCGGCCGCCAGCTGTTCCTGGTACTGCGGCCGCATCATGCTCGTGCAGAGCAGCTCCAGGAGGGGAGTGTCCGTGAGCCGCGACTTGGTCGACGGATCCGCCGAAATGTTTTGCAGGATCCGCATGGTCCAGCACCGATCGGCGTCGACCTCGCTGGAACCGTTGGCCATCAGGGTGTCGAACAGATCGGGGAAGCCGGCAACGACAGCTCGGTTGTGGGGGAACCTCGTCAGGTTCGCCAGGATCTCGAGGCACTTTGTGTGGATCGGGTTCTCGACGTCCATGGAGCACGACACCAAGCAGAGCAGCAGCGTGCTTTTCGCGCAGAGATCCTCGGACACGGTGCACTCCTTCGACAAGTGCAGCAGGGCGGCGCAGGCATTCATCCGCGTGCGCTCTCTCATCTTTTCTCGCATCTTCTTCAGATCCACTTTTGGCACCACCACGGATTCGTCGTACGAAGAAACAGTGGACGACGACGAACACGAATACGAGTCGGTAACCACGCGGGACATCTCGTGAGACCCGTCGTGGGAATAGTCGTGGGACCCTTGGTTGGACATGTCGTGGGAGCCGTCGTCGTGGGAATAGTCGTGGGACCCTTGGTTGGACATATCGTGGGAACCACCTTCATGGGACATGTCGTGGGACTCTTGTTGAGACATGTCGTGGGACCCTTGGTTGGACATATCCTGCGAACCGTCGTTGGACATCTCGCGAGACAAATCGTCGTCTTCGGAGTATCCGGTTTTCGGTTCCTCGATTGACGCCTTATCCTCGGTTTCGAACATAGACGGATCGTCGCCCTTCAAAATCGTTGCAAGGGTGTCCACGAGATTCTCAGTTTTTGCAATGTCTTCTCTGCAGTGTTGAGACTTTGCGAGGGTTCCCAGAGTGGCACATGCAAGCTCTCTTGCTTCCGCCTTGTCTTCCAACATGATCTTCACAAGAGCATCCGCCAAACCCGGATGCATTAGTACGTGGTAGCGATTTTCTTTCTTCGTGGAAACGTTCAAAACGACGTTCACGGCTCTCGATCTCGCCGCTTGTCCAGCTTCTGTGTCTGCCATCGAATAGTTGTCGCTCATTGCAAACACGAGAGCATCCAAGAATCCATGGGTTCTAACGAGTGTCACTTGGTTGTTTTTCTGGGTAGACAAGACCTTTAATGCACCGCAGGCGTTGCTTCTTCTCTGGATGGAAGATCCGGTGGCGGCCTCCAGGAGGGCCTTCAAGTCTTTCTTTGGCTTAACGAGCTGCAACTTCTCGATTGGTTTTTCGATTTGGAAATCCGCAACGATTTCGGAAGGTTGCCTGTATTCACTCATCTCTTCGGGTTCCGGATATTGTTGCTTGAACTCCACTTTCTTTCCACGACGAATCATTGCAATTGGCTCACCAACTGATTTGGGCAAGAAAATCGACGAAGGTCCCTCGGGTTCCGTCGTCTTCTTGTTGTTGGACTCTCCAGAATCAATGTTTGTGTCACTGTTGAGGGAAGTGTTCTCGTCTCTCTCAAGCGATAGATTGTGGAGAAGTCTGGTGGTGAGGCGAACTCTGTTAGAGGTAATATCGGTGACCTGATCTTCCGATGCTGGTGATTTAGTGGGCACGACTAAGGCAATTCTTTTCTCATCAGAGCTCATGGAATCCGTATCCCTAGATTGAGCCGTCGAATCCACCTCTAGCTTGTCATTACTTTCAGATTCCTCGCTGTCCGCTGTGTTCGGCACTTCATTCTGCTTGGTATCTACACTCGTACTTTCAACCGTGAGAGCTGCTTCGTCTTTGATTTCTACAGCATCCTTAGATTTATCATTGGCACTGGCTTCACTCTTCTCCTTCCTGCATTTTTCAACCACTTCTTCGTGGCATTTTGCAGTTGAATTTTCTCCCGAAGCCACTGTCTCATCCACAACATTGGTAGAGGTTTCATCGTCTATGGTAGGCGAGGCACTGCCATTAGTCTGCGTCACGATGACGTCTGATTTGGAAGTACTTTCCTCTTCCTTTGCCTCATGTTCATTGTGGTCGGACTCTGTTTCATCACTCAGAGCTTCGACATCCATCAATGACCTATCTCTATCGAATGCCATTCTCTCATCGGTCAAAACAGCCTCCAGTTCGTCCATCGAAAGAACTTCCTGCGACCGGTTTATGCTAATGACAGTCTTTATCACACTGCTGGTCTCTAGTTGTCCATCAATGGTATCCAGTGCACGTTCTTCGACCGACCTGCTTCCACCAAAGCTTTCTTGTTTTGCATCGCTTTCTTCGCCACTTAAATCCGATGATTCACTGCTGCTTGGTAGATCAGCGACGTCCATTGCGTCGGAGTGCTCCGAGACAATCTTGTGCTGCTGTTCTTCCGCTGGTGCGGCGGTGGTGGCAGGGTGGGGTTTTGGCTTGACAGAGTCTACGACATCACCTGCCATGTCATCGAAGGACTTTGCATCAATTAACAACGATTCGCATTCGTTCAACAAGTTGTTGGCGGCACTCAAAGTGTTCGTGATGCTCTCCGCGGAAAAAGTCAAAGCCAAGTAATCGTCGTGAGCACCATTGGCATCCTCTCTCCTCTCATCGGTCATGCAAGAAACCATGTCGTTGTCGGCAAGACTATCGCTGGTGGAAATGATTGCGTTGTTTTTGCCCGAGCCACTCATCTGGCTGAAAAAGGTTCTCGCATCCATGTCCTTGCTGCCATTGAATTCTCTGCCAATGACGCTAAGTGCCGAGTGAAACCTGTCATCGCTGTCAGTGGTAACCGATGATTTCGTTGCTCCATCCCCCGCCGTGAGTTCTTCGTCGTCGAGATTGTTGTTGCCATTGCCGAAGCTTTTACCGCTCTTTTTGCCCGTAGTGATTGAAAGCCCTACACGAGTGCCGTCCACCGAGCCTCGCGTGGTTGTGCTGATTCGGTTCCGCTTCTTGGTCATGAAATCCGCGCTGACCCCCGCCAGCCGGCGTGTCGCCTCCTGGGCCGCCTTGCGGGCGTTTGCAATCTCTTCCTCGACCCTACGGATGATGTCGTCCGAGGAGGCATCGTCGGTCGTGATGCCGCTCATGATCGACTGGCCGTTGGTCGTGGACGAAGGGTTCATTTCGAGGCTTTTTGTTTCGGTGTTGATGGATTCCGATCTCGCAATCGAGGATTGCTTTGGTGTGGATGGGGGACTTCGGTTGTATTCCTTGCGGAGATCCGCGAGAGTCTTCGTAGTTCGCGTTTTATTKGAGTTGGTCGCTTCTTCGGTTTTGTTAGCGGCAGAGATGTTTCCCAGGCTGGGAACCTTGATCATCGACCTCTTCGGCGAAGCCCGCGACGGGGAATTCATTGGTGGCCGGCCCCTGGTGGAGGAGGGGCTGACCGGCGACAGGGCGGCAGACGATGACCGATTGCTCGGGGACATCGGTGGCGATCGGACCGGACTCCCGATGGGGCTGCTTCCGCTGTCGCCCGATCGCTTGGACCGGGGGCTGAAGGATTTCTTGGCATCACGGGCTCGGCGGATAGCCCCCCTTACTAGCGTTTTGATTTCGTCCTCCGTCATGATATTTGGTGTACCGCTGCCATCCATGCTCTTCGACGACGGAGACGTAACATGCGTGCGGCCGAGCTGCTTGGGGCTGTCCATGGTGGTACTGGTTTCCAGGCGCCGTGGGGAACCCAGGCGTTGATCGTAGTGATGCTGGATGATGTTGAACCGCCGACCTCTACTTCTAGGCGACAGACTCTGAGTAGGCGATAGACTCTGAGTAGCCATCCGTTTAGAGATGCAACTGATGCGAACGTGTCGACACCTTCGGAATGGATGCTGGTAGAGAAGCCTTGGCTAGCTTACACAAGCAGGGGTGCAATTGGTTAAGAACGGTAATGATGTCTTTGCGAAAACGCCGTTCCCGAGAATGAATGAATCAATCGAATAATCGTTTGTATTCTGCATCAATAGACTAACCGAATGCTCACTGAAGTGTTCACAATAGGGCAATCGTTTCACCCCAGAATGTTTCGGTCAAAAAGTGGTGTGACACTGTTTCACATGATAGAAGATGATCCTTTTCTTTCAGCGATCATACCGTGTTTGATTTCAGAATCCGCGTATGATTCTTCTCGTACCGTGAGTTCGTATGACTTTGTACTGGATTGTACTGGACAGCATCCTTGCCATTTTTGGAGAACAACGATGAAGGTCGTGGTGAGTTGATGGGCTGTGCTTTGTGTGACCTAGATCGGCGATAAGGCGACCCGCATCTCAATTGAACATAAATAATAATCATGCGTGTATATATAAAATATAAAATAAGAAACTTTTTGTGTAGAAATGACTGCGCAACCATTGGATCGTGAGTGATTTGACTCAACCGACCCTCCACCGTATTTGCAGGAATAAATGATCGTGACGTTTCCTCATGGATACTGTGGTATCTTGTCATTACACGTGGAAGAGATGTAGTCTAGCTATAAAGGATCCACAGTATGAATCATCATCGGGATCGTTTGAACACACCAGGCGTCTCGAGAACCGTTTGAGTTACCAGGTACTACTACGACATGCCCTATATCTCACGGCAATTGCAGCCAACCATTAGATCCATCCAATCAGAGCACCTCGACGGAGTCTTCCTCAAGACTAAGGCTTCCGATCATCTAGACCTGCCAATTTGTTGATCGTTTGAAGCCTACGAGTGTACCAAGCAAGTGTCGTAGTACGAAAAACGGTACGAGTACGAACTCCAATTTGTTTATTGTCATGGTACAATTAGTCTACTGTACGGTATGTATGGTCCCCGTATCGGAGGACACGCTACGGATCGTGCATCACCCGACGGCAAGGATGGCTGGTTGTGTCGATCAGTGAATCATCGTCGTCATCGTCGGTGATTCCTTCGGCCCCCTGCCCGATCCTTCTGCTCGTCCAGACCGTTCTCATTATTATTATTGCTTTCTTTGTCGTTGTAATAATACGATTCTAACATCACATCACTACCAGTATGAAGTTCCAAACCAAAGCTGTTATGATGACTGTTCTTTCTAGTCTCCTCTCTTCCCGCACGGCGAGAGGATTCTCCACGATCGCCTCCCGTGGACGATCCGCTATGGTTGCATCGTCGTCGTCGCCTACGGCCCGTTTCATGGCCTCCGACAGCGACGGCCCCATGCCCTACGACGAGGACAAAATGCCCTTCTACGCCCTCGGAACCAATCTGGCCATGCAGGTCGGTGGACAGGGTAACTTCAAGACCCTGCTGGAAGACGATGAACTCGACATCGTCCTCGAGGCCTTTTGCGAAAACCTCAAGGGAACCAACACCGCCGACGCACGAATCGTCCTCACAAAATACGGGCAACAACTCAACAAGATCCTCGGAGACCGCACGGAAGGAATCGTCGAACGCGTCAAGAAGGACGGAGAGGAATACTGCGAAAACTTCCTCGCCTGCAACGACGATGCCGTCAAGACCGATTCCGGCTTGATTTACTGCCCAATGAAGGAGGGAGATGGAAAGCAACCGGTCCTCGCGGATACCGTCGAGGTCCACTACCACGGAACCCTGACCGATGGCACCGTTTTCGATAGCAGTGTCGACCGAGGTCAAACCATCAGCTTCCCATTGGGAGGTGTCATCAAGGGATGGCAAGAGGGTCTTGCCATGATGAAGGAAGGTGGAAAAGCCACCCTCGTGATTCCTTCCGACCTGGCATACGGCGACGCCGGAAGCGGCGACACCATCCCTCCGGGCGCCACATTGAAGTTCGAGGTCGAGCTTTTCAAGGTCAACTAATTGTACTGTATTCGTATTCATTCATATGTATTGCCTTCCACAATCCAATGTCATCTACTCTTGCGCTTCTATGGATTTGAATATGGACGACTGTATAACTATAATAATATATTCCACACTACTTATGGCTCTTTAATTTCTCTAGTACCGAACCACACTACATGAGATCTTACAGATCCAACACTTTGAGATGTATGCTCCATCAAATATTCTTTCTATTAAAGTTAATATGAAGTACGGTACCCTTTGATAGCACTGGAAGCTCAAACCAAAACATTTTCGAATTTAATGCCAATTGACACGTTGTCTACAAAAAAAGGCTAGGCCAGCGCAACGCAACGAAAACGACCAAGCATACAAATTGTCGTTTATTTACCAAACAATACTGTTTCAGGACGGTCCAAATTCTACGCTTCGCTGCTGCTCTTTACTCAATGTGTAAGTTTCAATGTGGGTACTCTACCAAGGCATCGATGCAGGCACAAAAACTGCCCTTGTCACATTGCGAATACATTCTATTTGGTCCGGTATCGTATCATAGCTTGGCTTCTCCTTATTCCTCGTCGTCTTCTTCCGAAACAAGTCCCAGATAGCTGTCCTTGATGGTCCCGATCGCCGTTATGTTCCCTTGTTCGACCGTTCTTCCCTTGATCCTCAATCGCACACCGCACCCCGAAGAAATCACCACCTCCTTGTCGTCGCTCACCCACGAGTCCTTGTCGGGGTTCCATCCGTTCAGCATGTCCTCCGGCATGCTATGTTTCGAAACAAAAACACGGAGCGGGCCGACAAAGGCAAAGAATCCGAGCGTGTTGCACTGGCTGACCACGGCGTCCAGGACCTCGTTGACAAAGGGGCGCAGCAGCAGGGCCGTGTATTTCACGTGGAAGACGACGTTTCCCGTGTCGTATTCGATGATCCCCGATTTGATTTGGTCCTCCGGAACCTCGATGACGTTCACGACAAAGCCGTATTCCGCCAGCGCGAGGCCCTCCACCTCTTCCTTGAGCAGCCGAACGATCGTGGCCTTTAGCTTGGGACCGAAATAGGACGGCTGCAGGACGATCTCGTGCTCCAGTGTCTTGACGTAAAACATGCTTGATGGATTTGTCGATTGGCTTTGTTTTTATTGGGGGCAGATTGATTCTGCTCGCGTATTGCAGTGGCTTCCTAGTAGATGGGATGGAGCGGCTTCTCGTTTCGAATCACAACGATTGCGGACCTATGGATGCCTTGTTCAGTTGTGCTTGTTGGAGCGTAATGTCGCGTTGTAGACGATGCTGTCCGAAAAACAAGTGAGGAAATGAGCACCTCGTCACTCTGATGCCAAAACTGTGTCTGATCGCTATCAGCAATTTGTTCCCGTTCCGTGCAATCGCAGGCTGCGCTGTGTAGTTTCGTCAGTTCAATCGGTTCGGTGCTACCGAGGTAAACTTGCCAGAATTTGAACGTTGCTAGTAATGCTTTGTTCGCATTGCAGTTCAGGCCGACCAAATTGATCAAAGCACAGAGGCTGCCATCGGACATCGTCGATTCAGTCGTTTCGCATCTCTTTCCTTCCCCCCTTTTTTCAAATAAATTGGTTTGTGGTTTGTGTTTCGTAAAAACTGTAATCGAAGTACAATTTATTTGGGGGTAAATATCCCCCGCATTTCCCATTTTTTCGGTCCTTCACTTTAGCTGTTTAGCTGACATCACGGAATTGGGATCATTCAAATCAATCCCCAGTTCAAAATCACCATGGCTTGAGGAAACATGTGATGTGAATGAAGGACACATTCCTGGAACGAAGTATTTGAGGGACAGCTTTGATTGCTTGAACCATCCCGTGACCGATAACCTAGGCCTTGAGTGCAAACACCTTGAGATAAGGCCCGATCTTTCTGCTCTCTTCGGCTCTGCCAGTCTGTACTAGAAAAGAGGGGGCGAAGGAGTGGCGGGCATCAAAAGAATGGAAAAGGAAATGGAATCCGAACCGGCCGAGTCGGCTTCTCCATCGATGCCAGCAGCCGCCGCTCGGGGCAGTGACGCTGATCGAATGGAAGTCGATGACCAACGCGATGGCACAAAGGCAGAAGCAGAAACTGCAGCAAACCCGAATCCGACGCAAAGCACGGAGGAAACAACAGCTGCTACACTTGCGACAACTTCTGGAGGAACAGAAGCAGATCCGCAATCGATGGAATCTTCGTCCACATCTACCGACTCGCCTTTGACCTCGCCATCGCTGTCGCTGCACGATTGCCTTTCGCTGGGCGAGATCGAACTCGGGCTCAGCAATCGGTGCGGTAATCCCAGCCACGGGAACGATGGCGATCCGGACCGAGCGGACGCCGATTCTTACAAACGGAGGGAGCAGCGCGCGTGGTCCGCCGAAGAGGTTCGCCGGCTCCCGTACCTGTTGCGGATTTTGTCCAAGACGCGCCCCCTAGCATCGGTCCAGACCTTTCCGGCATCGAAATCGAAGCAGGGAACCGAAGAGAACGACGAAGACGGATCGGATTTCGTGGTGGACGAAGACATCGACCGGGTCGTCGATCGCCTCGAAGACGCAGCAGCGATCCACTCGGTTTCGGGAGGGATCGACGTCGTTACCAACTATCTGGCTCCTTCGGTGACGAAACAAATCTCCCGGTTGTCGCCTCTTACACCTTCCGTGGCGAAGGAAATAAACCAATCCTGTCCGCCGGACAACGATGCCAACAATAGCGGTGGCAGAAGGGACAGCAAGAGCAACAGCAAGTGGATCGACTATTGGTGGTATACCGTCAAGAAACGAAAACGAAGAGAAACTGATGTGTCTCAGACCAAAAAGAGAAAACTCGATGGAAGTCCCATGGTTGGTAACGAGAATACGGATGCCGAGGCCGGTGCAAACAAGCTCGGGGCGTCTTCGGACGAAGACGACGAAACGAACGTGGCGATGGATGCATCGGCGGATGAAACACTATCCATGAGGGCAAGGCCCCCATTGAAACGACGGGACTCGATTTTGGTGGCGGCAGAAGATTCACAAGAATCTACCGTCACCAAAACCTTGTCCGAACTCACACGACTGGTCGTGGCCTCCCTCGACGATTCTTCGAACCAATACTTCGAGACTGAGGGCGACGACGATCCGCAGCAGTGGCGGGGGGCGAGCGGTGGCGGGAAAAGAGCCCCGTACATGCTGTCCCTGAACACCGACGACATACTGAGCGAAAAAGCGGCGTCGGCGTCCACGGAGGACGGAATCGCCACGGACGGGAGCGACCTGGCCTCCACCGTCGTCGCGATCATGCACAACGCACCGCCGTTCAAGTCGAGGCACGTTGCCAGCGCCCTTTGCCGGGCGTCGGTTCCCCGGGCGGGCAATGTGATATCCGATCTAGGCGCCAACTGCCCGGCATCGGTATCGTCGTTGCTGCAGGGATGCATCGAGGCATATTCCATGGCGATGAAGCACCATTGCACCGTCGGTTTTGCCGACCTCTTTGGCAGTGCACACAAAAACAACGAAGTGTCGTGCACCGTTGTCGCCGCTGCCAAATCGAGTGCAACGGCCCTGGCGAGGCTGTCCCCGACCGAATCGGTTCGGGTCCGGAACAAGCTGCAGTCGTGCGGGATCATGCTCGACGTGCAACTGAAACTCGCGATGGAAACGGCGGCGGCGCGGGGGTCGGCATCGGGATGCTCGATCGTACCCGTTGCGTGTCTGCTCCTAGAACACCTATCGTTCCCGGCAGCTACCACCGCTGCCGACTCCGAGACAGCCACAGAGATTACCAGAAAGTCTGCAAACGAGCCCTCGGAAGCATCCGAGGGCGGCAGGTCGCCAGGAGAAACCGGTGCAGAAGATTGCGGGAACGACGATGAAGTGATCACAAGCTATGCCAGAAAGTGTTCGAAGGGATCGGAGCCGTCGCTGCTGCTCTATTTCGTGGAGAATCCGGCGTTGTACCGACGAACGCTGGACTTTTTCTCGCGAACCATGGCTGTTGGAGCCTCCACTTCGCTGACGGCTACCGGCGGTAGGGTCATAACATCGAAGGGGAAATGGTGCCTCTTGCTAAGGTCATTTTTTATGCTCCTGCTGGTGCCTTTGCCGAGTATTGACACAAGCGACCTGGGCGTTGCATACGAAAATGCAATCAAATCGTTTGTCATTCTGGTGAAAAGCTTCGATTGTACAAAAGAAGACAAGGACAACACTGGTCAAAAGCGAGTGAAGGAAGGTGACATTGACTCCTTGTCCTGTCTTGCATCGTCTTCTGGGGTCCTCTTGCTATCAAAGTATCTTGCAAGCAAGCCAGAGCAGGGATCTGCGGAGGGAGGATACGAAACGAGACTGCCTATCGACCCATTGGTGGAAACAGTTTTGAAGTCCATAGAAAAGAGTCTAGAGCGATCCCATCTGACACGACCAAGGTTCCGGTCCCATATGCAGAGAGATGATGTATGGGGATCCTTCAAGCTAATTTTATACCCCTTGGAGTTGACTACGCGAATTGAAAAAACATACGCAACCAATGCTTACCGTTGCACGGAAGTTGGCATACGTCTTTTTTGGAAACTGGCTGAACCTCTACTGGACGTTAGCACAATCGAAGAGAAGCGTAGCGTAGCCTTTGACGTTTCTTCGCTGCTAAATGTGTTGCGCATGGAACCGAATTCTACCGATGATTCATTGGTGGAAGAGACAGAAAAGCTACTTGATTATCTACTCAAAGGAGTTAAAGAGGAAGAAGCCGAATCGCTCATGGGGAACATCGAATGCGCCCAATTTATTGCAAAAGCCACCAAATTTCTCTCGAAACCAGAGACTTTGGAAGTTCCAAAAGTCTTGCCTATACACCTCGATATGGCATGGTCGAAGATAGTTCCCGGTCGCGCAAGCCCGAGTTCAAAAACGATCGATGGTGTGATGTGCAGTTACCTTTTCAAGTTCCTTTATGCATTCGAATTTCTCGATACATCCCCACTGTCACCGTTTGTATTCGATCCAAGATCGATGCCGATGAAGGAAACGCTTTCGATGATCCAGACTCTTTCCTCCAAACCAACACGGGACTATCTTTTGTCTGAAATCAACGCATTGATCTTGAAACACTGCCCCGAATTCGCTCTTCATCGATTTGAACAGCGTCTGGATCTCGGCCCTTCTCCAGCATTTGATGCTATGGATCGAAACAGTCTTCTGGAAGCTCTCAGCAACTGTATTCGAGAAGGATTGCACCAGGGTAGAACTGAGGTTTGCAAAGGCACGATAGAGCAACTCTTTCTGCAGGCAAAATCCAGGGTTTGCGATTCTGAAGTACTTTGTGCAGTAACAAACTCTTTTTTGTCTTCACCGCATGCTCCGTTGCCAACCTACAGCTACAAAACTTTATGCCGGGATCCGATAGTGTGCTTGAAATTTCCTCTTTCCGTTTGGCAATGTAGAAGTCTTCGAAGAATCGCTCTGTCAGTTTTGGAAAACTTGCTCTTGTCAAACAATAGTATTACCTCGGAAACATCGAAGAGCTCGGGTACGGCACTGGAGCTCCTTGTGGCTCGAGATGCAATCATAGTTCGCTGCCTCCTCGCTGTCTTGCACAGCGGAGACTCGAAAAATTTGGCCCCATGCTCCATGACAACAAGCTTCATTCGTTGGTTAATTCAGAGCCGATCTGGGCTTGTTGCACTCCTGGTGAAGCAAGGCCTTCGAGAGCAAGATCTCGATTGGCTCGTGGAAAACGTTCCGGAGACAATGAATGATTCGCAGTATTTGCTCCAGATATTTTCCGAGCGAAATAGGCTGACGGCAGCGGAGCGTCTCGTTGCAGCGGATACGATCGTCAGAATCGCCGTAGTACATGGCCAAGCCAATGAAGCAGACTCCTCCCAATTAATACTGACCGCTGTTTCTCAACTTGTTGACTCGTTTCATGTCATCCTTGGACCTGTCGGGCTTCTTCCTGTCGACGCATTGTTCAATGCTGAATCCACTACATCCATAACGCAGATATCACAGAAAGCAGCTTTCCGAATACTGAAAGCCCTGACCAAAATAAGGGGAGCACGTTGCCAGATCCGTCGCGATTGTAATATGGTCCTTCAGAAATTGGTTGGCCTCTGCAAGGCAGAACTTCAKGGAACGGTTGCTGGGAGACGAAAACAATTTCTCAAGGAACTGTACGACGCAGCAGTGAAAGCAGAAAAGTAAGCAATCAATTCATTCCGTTGATATGCATCGGCCCATTTTGTCCCTAAACAGAATTCCGAAATAGCTAGCTAGTGCCATAACAAATAGTGTATTCTGAATGATATTGATACAAAAATTGTTTGATAATAAGTTTGTTTTCGCATAACCCTTTTCCTATTTCTTAGATTTCGACAGCTTGTATCGTTTCTTATCGACACGACTGTATATTAGAGATTTGTCGAGCAAGAGGATTCGCAAGGCAAGAGATGATGGTGAAGCCTCTTCGAGGGCCTTCATTGGTAATGGCAATCCAGTATATATATTACCAATATCGGGCAAAATCCATTCGTCATTAATATTCTGCTCGAGAAGAATTACACATCTCATAAGATCCCATGAGCCTTTCGAATTGAGGGTGTTTAGTCGCCATTGACTCGCAAATTCTGGTCGCCATTGTCCTTTGGCTGTGTTGTTTATGGAACCGATCGGGAGCGCCGCTTCAATAGCGAGCAAAGCAGCCTTCATTTTTGCAAATATTTTCTCGTTCGCCGATGCATGAGATGAGGTTGCCATTATTTCTGCGAATGGTGGGAGGGGCGAAAATCCTCGTAGACGGTCTTTGGAATTTAGATAAGACTTTGCTTCCAAATCGTCAAGTGATGGTGGCAGTCCATTATGAGAAGCAATTGCATCCTCTAACATTTCAGCTTGCACCTCTGTGTTATTTTCGCTTAGATCCACCACGCGGTCTTCGGCTACCCATTCATCAAACCTACTGCTCCATGACTTGTATGAAACTCGATAAGATACAATGCGCGCCTTGTTTGTTTGTGCGCGTACTGAAACCCCAATGACCTTTGCATTCCAAAGTCTGCTCCCACAAAAGGATTTAACAAGGACATCTTCTCCCTCCTCGTACAACTATGAATGAAAAAGAATAGTTAGTTTTTAATCAGAAACGATCGCAAAAGAGGAGTCAATGTGTCTCAGACAAATCGATCTTGATCAACTTACCTCCTCATCACCAAATGAATGATGAACCTCGTCGTTTTTCCTGCGATCTGATTCATTTGAATCAACATCCATGTCTGAAGAATCACCTGAAGTCGTTAGTTTAAAATGCCGTTTCATCAAAAGTTCAGCCCACGCTTTGTCACGAATAAGTTTTACAGCGTTCGGAAACGCGTTTTTTAGTTCCTGGACGATAGGATCCTTGCTGAGAGAAACTATTATACTGCATATAGCTTCGGTTTCGGAAAATTTGTACCATTTCGAATCTCCGTCTGATACAGGTTCACACACGTAAAGTGATTCGAGATCGTCGTAAAAGTGCCAGTAAGATCTACCTACACTATCTGTGCCCAACTCGAGAGAACGACCGCACCGAATACCAGCTTCTCTTTCGGCGATGAATGCTTCTTTCTCTTTGAAAGTTTCTATCACTTTTTCTTTTCTTGCCTTGTGAGCTGCCGCGGCACAACATTCGTGGGCGATCATTGAACCCGAAACATACGGCAGACCAGATTCATAACGGAATAACAGCTCTTGTTGGAAGCCATCGGGATTTCTCGGTAAAAACTCCAACATGCCTCCATCTTTTACACCAGTAAAAGAATCTTCATCTGGCTCGGCAGAAACCAAGTCATCACCAACTCGGACTGTAATTTTCATCAATTTCTTGTTTCCGCTATTTTTCTGTGCTGTTGCTGAGCTTTCTTCATCACGAAGATCTGCAAGGAGATGAGTACGTCTTGATCTTGCAGCATGCTGTATCAAATCATCCCATTCTTTTTGATTTGGCATTCGGACCAAATTTGTTCCCAAGGCAGTATCTGTTAGTCCACATAGCTCACAGATCTTTCCCCTGCACCTTGTCGACCCAAAGGATAATCCGGGAAGCTTCGATGCCATCGAATTTTCGATGGCTTGAGAGACACTATCTTCTTCAAATGCAGCAACTGTTGATTTCAACTGATTCTTGATACAAAAGGCTGCGATGCTATCTTCCCTGGCCTTCTGTCTCTTGCTCTTCTCCCTCAGAAAGCCTGTTCGAGCTTTCTTGAAAATTTCCTCTTCACTTAGTGGAGTAGTAGCCTCCACCACGGCGACATCTGTTTTCACCGGAGCTCCGTCGACTTCGGTTGCTACGACTTGAACAGCATTTTCCCCGACCACGACAGTAGGTTCAGGGTTTTTCGCGTCTCTAGACGATAGCACCGCCACCGCCTTGGCTTCCTCTACTTCCATTTCTTTCGCTTCATCCCCATCATCCTTCGCAAATAGTGACGCACCCATAGATTCTTCGGCTTCAAGTGTATCTCCATCGTCACTCTTGTCAACTTCCTCGCTGTCAACGTCATCACCTGTTTCAAACGGCAATGAGAACAGAGCTTTCTCAAAAGTCGAGAGGTTTGAGCTCGCGTCCTTCTCTTTCAGCAGTTTCATTTCTTTCACCATTTGCTCGTTTGACTCGTTTTCCATTTTGCCAGCGAATGTTTGAAACAGATCACTCGACGAACAACGCATCATCAAAAGTGTCAAGAGCCTGAGCCACTCGCTTGCTGTTAGTTCTTCGCAATCATTGATCATCAGTGTTGCAGCAGTCGAAACCGATTCGCGAAACACAGAGCTGGAAAGAAACACCTGTGCCGCACCATCGGATATATTGGGATTCACTAGAACAGGCACCAGGTCTCTGCGTTTGTAATTATCAACACCCGATGAGTAACCAGTACTCTCCGTCACTGCTTCTAGACAGCGGATTCTAGGAACTGGCTGATCGGTCTTACTCAGCGCTTCGTCAATTTCGTCCAGTGTGTACCTCTTGGTCTCGCCATCAGAAGTATCAACATCGTAGATGAGGGATCTCTTTTTCGTTTCCGGGTGGGAGTATCGACATTTCTTAATTTTTCCGGCAATCGATCTATTGTTGTCTTGTAAAACTACGTTCCTTCCTATCCGTGGGTCCAAGTCTCCCCACCAACGACCACTAAGGCATCGTGGGCAATACCAATCGCCTTTAGGGATATCGTATAACGGAGGATTCAATCTCATTACATTGTAGTTACCTTCGCATGCATCACAAAGCAACACGGTGGAGTCAACATCCGACGGATGAGGCTCGACACAGAGATCGTCATCGAGCATATCAAGTGCTGGGAGTTTGTCTTCTGGGGCGAGAACCCAGTCCAAGAGCAAACGCTCAAACACTCTCAGCATCTCGGCACCAGCACTGACAATGATTGGGCCTGCGTTTGCATACGACAGAGTATTGCTTACAACGAGGCGGATGTTTCGACCAAATTCTGCCACAGTAGACTCGACAAATGCTTCGGATGCTTCGCCCTCTAGTTTCAAGCACCGCTTCGCGGCCGCTTTCAATTTCAGTCCCGCCGAACGCATGCACATGGGTCGGACCAATACATCGTAGTATCCCGGATTTGTTTGGGGATCGACGGGAAGCAGAAAGGGTTCGGCGGGACCACTATTTACCAGTCCCCTGAGCACAGCAAGGCAGCGTCGAATCAGCTCGGGGGCCTCCGGAATGTCGCCACAAAAGTCGTCATGCGCCGTTTCTTTACCAATCTTAACCGGCCCAGAAGATTCCACCTTCACGGGCTCTGCAGAATTCTTTGTCGCATCCGCATCTGTTGTGTCTGCCGAACTTTTTACGGTGTCTGCAGCGACCGTAGGTTTCTCGTCTTTGTCATCTCCACCTTCGACAGTTCCGCCTTCTTCCGATTCCGTTTTCACTTTCTCGTTATCGGCAACAGAATTGTCGTTCTTTGTATCTTCGCCCTTGTCTTTCTCTTCTTCCTTCGGAACAGCTGTTTCTTGTGGTTTGGTTTCACTGCTTTCGACTTTCTCGCCGTTGCCGTTGTCGTTGTCGTTGTCCTGGTCATCGTCGTCGTCGTCGTCGTCGTCGTCGTCGTCATCATCGTCGTCGTCATCATCATCGTCGTCGTATTCTCCTGCTTCTTTCAGCTCTTGTCGTTTCATGTCTTCCTTTAGTTTTAGAGCATCTTCCATGTAGTCTTCCCGTATGTGAGCAAGGTCCTTCTTGCGAGCCTTAGAGAATTGCAGTTCGGCCAGCTCCCCCATTCTGCTGCGCTGGCAAGATCTCTGGAGCATCGATTCCAGGCTGTTGGTAGTCATGCCTTCGGAACCGACATCTCGGTCAACAATCGAACCAATCACCTTCCGAGAATACACTTCCCCGGTAACCTTGTCCAAAATACCAAGTGCTAATTCCCTCGCTTTTTTCCCATCCAAAGAATCTTTGTCTCCGCCTGCCGCAGTCACCTTCGACAGACTCTTCTCGAGTGGCTTCACAAAGAGTGCCTTTGCATCTTCGTCCTTTCCCTTTTTTAACAGTTCCAAGGCTTTCTTCAGGTTCTTCCTTATTTTGCTAGTGTCCCTGGACTTGAGTGATTTCACGTTGTGGAGATAAAACTCCCAATCCGACGGATCGCTTTGTGGTTTCGATGGCACCGCGAGACGCATGATCTTGTTGGAAAAAGTGCCGTCGTCTGTTTGGCGAAAGTCCGAAATGTTTTGCCTCAAGAGCGCAATGTCCATGTCCTGCACCTTGCCGAGGCGCTTGGCTTCCTTCGAGTTTGGGTGGCCGGTGCTTCTGTATCCGCGAATGATGTGGGCTGTTTCCTGTCGAGAGTAGCCCAGTTCCCCAAGGGCATCGTTCAAGAACGCGAGGCGAGCTATTTCGGTCCACGTCATTTCGTTGACGGGGAGAATGACCTCCGTCGTGAAAGCGGTCATCAGCTCTCCGTCGTTTTCGCTGTTTTTGACGTCCCCCTCTTCCGTCCAAAACGCGGCATTGAACTGCTTCTGCAACGAAGGGTTGAGTGCGATGAGGCTGGCAAAGAGCATCCGCGACAAACCCGCCGCAAGGGGCTTGCACAGGGACACCGCAAGCTCCGTCACGAACTTGATGGCGTCGGCCTTGCTCGGGCCCCCCTTCACCGTAGCACCGCGCAAGACGTCGATGGCCGACTGCAGGCGGTCGGCCGAGGGGGGTTCCTGGAAATAATCGCGGTCCACAAAGAATTTCTTGAAGACGTTGAGGTAATCCCATATCCGCAGAATGTCTTCGTCGTACTGCTTGCCAAGTGCGTGCGGCAGATCGGGCAGCGACTCCGGCAGCTTTGGCGGCAGGGATTTGGTTTCCGACACGATCTGGCCCGCGACGATCTCCGCCGCCTTCTTTCGTCGCGCCATCTCCTTGCTGAGGTTTTTCGCCATGATGAGAATGACCTTCTCGCGCTGGAAGCAGGCTTCTTTCTTCAGCCTGTCGTCCACCTGGATCGACAGCTTTGTCATGCGCTCCTCGGCTCGTTTCTTTCTCTGTTTTTCTTCTTCGTCCATTCTCTGCTTTTTCTTGGCGTCTCTCTCGTCCTGGGCCTTCTTTCGCTTGATTTCCCTTTCGATCATCTCTTTCTCCCGGGCCTTGGCTTCCCGTATTTGCTTGAGACGCTTGGCCTTTTCGGCTTCTCGCTCCCGCTCGGCCTTTTTCTGTTGCTCCTTGAGCCTGGCCGCCTTGGCACGCTCGCTGACCACCGCCTTGGCGCTCGACTTGGCGGTCGACTTGGTGGTCGATTTGCTGCTGGACACGCTGGGCTTGGCCTGCTTGGTTTCTTTCTCCTTCTCGCCGCGCCTCTTCAAATAGACATAGTCGGTGCAGTACTCGCTTCCGGGAAGGCCCTCCAGCAGAACCTCGATGTCCGGATTGACAAAGGTGTCGTTCTTCCCGAGCAGGTCGGTCGGCAGCACGATTTTTCGCTTGTTCCCCGTGCTCCCCATTTTGGTCTTTTCTTTTCGCACCGCCACCGCCAGAAAGGAGGCCTGGTTGTTGGTGCTGGTTTCGGTGTTCGGGAACGGGTTGATGGCCATCGGGCCTATGAGGGCCACCCGGGCGTCGACAAGTGAGGTGGCCGCGTCCTCGTCTTCCCTGTCTACCCGGGCGTACTCCGCTTTCAGAGCGGCGACCCGCTCCTTGAGGAGCAGTTCTTCTTCGGTGTAGTCTTCCGCGTCGGAATCGAGCTTGTCCGGGTCCTCCTGGTCCCTCTCGAATTCTTCCATGAGCAGATAGAGGTCCATCTTCTCGTCGTCCCCGGCTTTTCCCTTTTTGCTTTTCCCTCTCGCTTCGGCGGCGGCCTTCTCCTTTGTGCTCTCGTCGAGTGCTTTCCTGGCGCGGGTGGCGATCTCTTCGTCGATGAGGCCAAGATCGGTGAGGGCCATGCTCCAGGCTTCCATCGGGTTTTTCCCAATGACCGTGCGGACCGGCTTGCCGTTCAGCTCCGTGAGGTTGTAGCTCCCGTTTTCGTCGACTTCGTCGTCGTTGCCTGTTTTGGAATTTGGGTGTGAAAAGAGAAGAGGGAGGGAGACGGGTGTGAGATCCGCTGTACCATTGGTTTGGAGCCGAAACAGCCCTCCGTCCACACCAATCGGCGAAAAAACCTAGCAGAATACTTACCCGGCATGACGAGGTTGATGTCGGGGTCCGGAAAGACGGAGACCTCGGAGGACCCGTCGTCGTAGCTGATGGAGATCTCGAGGTTGGTCTTTTTCTTGTCGCCGGTCGGCTTCTTTTCCTTTTCCGTCACGGCCGTGATGGTTCCGTAGTAGAACTTGTCCTTGTCGAAGCGGGTTTTGACACGCATCCCAACCCCCGGTGCCAGCTGCGTCGACGGGGGCTGGTAGCCCGCCGAGGTGGGGATGGCCACCACGACGTCGTCGGCGTCCTCGTCCTCCCGTTCGTCCCTTCCGCCGCCCGTGATCGGTGCCGAGTTGCTAAAGGGGTCGTAGGGGTACTCGATCTTGTCCCGGTCCTCGTCGATGCCCTGGCCCCACATGATCCGGAAGAGGGGGCCGTCGGTGCCCACCCGGGTCCCGTCCAGGATGGCGCAGCGGAGCTTCAGAAAGCGGCCGTGGCTCGGGGAAAACTCGACCCGATCGCAGGAAAAGCCGATCGGGTACAGCGCCGTGGGCGTGCAAAAGGGGTCCGAGGCGCTCCCGCCGCTCCCGCTGCTGCTGCTGCTTCCCTTGGCCCCGCCCTTGACGGGCATCTTGAGCTGCCCAAAGCTCCTCACGGAAAAGGTATCGCCGGGGTGCGTGGAGACCGGAAAGGGCATCTTCTGGACTGTTTCGTAGAGGTGTTCCCGGGCCGCATTGGCGGCGGTCATCCGCCTCGAGTCGATGCGGAGAAACTGCACGTCGGTGGTAGAAGAGGAGGACGAGGAAGAGGACTTGGCCTTTCCGCCCTTTTTGGATTTCCCTCCCTTGGACGGGGCCGGGGATTTCTTGGACGCCGGGGCCCGCTTCTTTTTGGCCGCCGGCGCCTTTTCGGCCGGCTTGGAGGTGGCCGCCTTTCGCTTTGGCGTGGGCTTCGCCCGGGCCCTTGCCTTGCCGTCGTTGGCCTTGGCCTTTTTCGGGGGCGGCTCGGCAACGGCGACGTCGACGTCGACGTCGACCTCGAGTTCCTCCTCTTCTTCTTCCTCTTCTACGGCAACCGCCACGGCCTCGGCCTCGACTTCGACCTCGACTTCGACCTCGGCGTCCTCCGCGACTACCTGGGGCTGCGCGTCCGTGTCTGCATCCGCTTCCACGACCTCGTCCTCCTCATCGTTGTCGTTGTCGTTGTCGTTGTCGTTGTCGTTGTCGTCGTCTTCCTCCTCCTCCACGACCAGGGCCACGTTTTCGTCGTCGTCTTCCTCCTCGACCGCCTCGACCTCTACGGCCTCGGCCACCACCACGAGCTCTTCGTCGTCTCCGTGCTCGTTGTCGCTCTGGTCGGATTCGTCGACCTCGACGTCCACGGCGACCATCTCGTCCTCGCTGTCGCTCATGGTGTGTTGTGTTTGTTGTTTGCTGTTTGTTGTTTGTTGTTTGGTTCAAACTATTCGCTGCCGTGGCAATGCCGGAATCCAAAAACACTCTTGTGAATGATGCACGCAACGCAACGAGACGAGACGAAGAAAATCGACATCAGAATCAATCACCAAAAAAGCAGAGCGGCTTCATCTGTCGGCAACGAAATACAGTATTTCAACAACATCGCCAACGCACAACATCATCAACAGGCCAACACAGTACACGATTTCTTTTTCTTACGGTAATCGCACTCTCCCACGTTTTCAGTCAATAACAAAAAGACAACAATGCCCGTGTCAAAGCGTTATTGAATGTGAGTGCAAGAAATGCTACTAACAAGGTGTGTGCTGGTTGTTGTTGTTGTAGAGTGTGTCCACTGAACTACTGTGTTGTGCGATAATGGTTTGATAGTAATTTAAATCAACGGTGCGTAGTCCATTGTCCCAAATGGGTTTTGTTTTGCAACACCAATGCAGTATCGTACAGTAATGCAATACGAATACGAAGTAGTAGTATTATTTAGGTTCGAGGGGAGAGGTTGGAACTTCCCCTGTGTTTTGGTTTGTTGATTTCCTTCCTCCGCAGCACCGCCGCTGCCGATCAAGTTTTTCCACACTCGGGGCGTGTTGGACGGGGGGAACCGATAACTGTCGATCGGGGCTCGTCCAAATGCCCATTAGGTCAAGCAGCCTCCACCTCGATCCCCGGACCGAGCAACAGCTGTACACAACTACGGCATCGTACAAGTACAAAAACGTAGGCCAAGGGAAGGTACGAGTGCAGCGAATAAAAATGATAGTACGACAATATCCAAAAAACGCATCATTTGTTCTTCCCGGTGCATTACTTTACCACGCAGTCCTCTAGTACGAGTCCTCCGTACTACAACAATGTACCGTACGGTACCGTACGGCACACACACACACACACACACACACACACAAACTAAAGGGAAGGAAAAACTCGTTTGGTTTTTAAGGGAACGTACCGCCATCGTACGTAAATGCAATAGAGAATCGTCTACGAGTAATAAACTAAGGCTACGAGCTGTACCGTACGTAATGTATCGTACCGCATGAGCTACTCCTTGATGCTCGGTCTCGCAAACGGGTTTCGTTGAACGCGCAAATGATGCGCGAAGGAATCGCGCAGTGCGTCCACCGTGCGCAAGGGACTGTCTCTGTCCGCCAAAACTCGACACCCATCCAAAAAAGAAACAGAAACACCAACGAACGAGGGAAGTACGAGAAGTGAAAAAGGAGTGAACAATCACAATGCCGTACAAGTACGGTAATACCATTCGGTACGGTCGGTGCATTGCAACAGCAGCAGCACCGTCTCCGTGACAGCAAACAAAGGACACGCCGATCGAAAGGTTCGTGTGCGGAGAGCATGCAGGAACCGGACAAGGACGGCGGCGAAGGAACAGACGGAGCGAGCGACGCGGGCAGGGATTGCCCGGCAACAGCAACGGCAACAGCAACAGCAACGGCAACGGCCTCGTGGCTCCGCGAGGACTGCCTGGAATTCTACAGGAACGAGCTGCTTCTGCTGGGCGATGGCGGGCGGGGGGAAGGCAGCGGCGGTCAGAGGGCAAGGAAGAGAACCCCCGCCACACCGGTCCACGAGCGGGTGGGCCTCCTGCGGCTCGGCATCGACAGGGCCATGGTTCTGAAGAAACGCTTTCCGAACGCCCGGTTCCTGGAGTTTGGGGTCCACGAGGGGAAAGACCTGGTGCGGATGGCCGCCTTTCTCCGGTCGATCGAAGAGCGGGACCGGGGCAGGAAGAAAACCAAAACCAATAACAATAACAATAACAATAACAAAGACCAATCCAAACCCGGCGCCAACCAGAACCGGGACGACCCGGCCTACACCACCTTCCACGGCTTTGATTCCTTCGAGGGGTTGCCGGAGGACTGGATCAACGGCCAGATCGGCGAGGACGACCAGCCGTTCCACAAAAAGGGCGCCTTTTGCACGGGAGGAAAGGCCCCGGACGTGGACCACCTCCGCACCGATCTCGACCTCGGAAACCACCGTCCCAAAACCCCGATCGATTCCAACAACAGCAACAGCGACAGCGACCGCAGCAGCCACTGCCCCGAGCCGGCCACAAGAGGCATTCGTTTCCACAAGGGCTGGTTCCACGAAAGCCTGCCGCGGTTCCTAAGCGAGCACGAGCACGCCGGGGAGCCGGTGGCCTTTGTCCACGCCGACGCGGACCTCTACACCTCGACCAAAACGGTCCTGGATCTCCTGTGCGAGCACAAGCTCCTCCGGAAGGGATCCGTCCTGGTCTTTGACGAGTTCTGGAACTACCCCAACTGGCAGAACGGCGAGTACAAGGCCTGGAAGGAGGCCACGGAGCGCTTTGGCCTTGCGTACGAGTGCTTTGCCTACCACGCGCCCCACCCGGCGAAAAAACACAAGCACTACGGGTACCAGTCGGTGGGCGTCGTGGTCACGAGCAACCCCGGGCGCTGAGCGGAGCACAACGGAAGACAACGGAACGGAAGGCAACGGAAGGCAACGGAACGGGCCCAAGCCGCGCCACCAAACGCCAAAGACTTGCCAAGAGAAACAGCAACAGTTCTCGACGAAATGCGGTCTCGAACTACGGCATTGGATCATTTCGGTGCTCGTGGGTCCATTTCTGGAGTGGGTGGTAGTGGGCCGATGCGTGACTGTCGTGTCGTTCTGCTTGTCGCATACAAGGAACTAGGGAATGCGGGCCGGGAGGCTTCCATCCATGCCGCGCCCACTCGACGGAGTTCTTCTGCCACAGCGTGTCTACCATTCCGTGCAAGTCGTGACAAGAACGCATCTAATGGCGCACCGATCCTATGTCGGCGGTCCGTTGCTCTTGCAATCGAGAGTTTGTGGTCACAGTACTACTCAAACTTTCACTAGTAGGAGGAGGAAGAATGAAATTGGATAAAAGAAAGAGGTAACTGCTAGTACTAGTACTAGTACTAGTACTGCAATAGAAGTGAAGTGATCTTGTATGGCCAAGACCGCCATGATTGTGCTATGGAACACCAACCAAAAGCAGAGAAAAAATAATCCAGATTGACATTTATACCAATAATCATTGAAGATGGTATGATGTAATGGTGGCAATAGAAATGGAAGGGTAGAAGAAGTAGGAAAGATATGAAATAATTTTGCTTGATCATGACATGGTGGTTACAAAGAAGAATTAGAATCTAAATAGAGAAATAAAGAAACTGATACTAACCTAGTACTACTAATAATAGAAAGTGAAGTTATATTGTTCTGTTAGTAGTATGAACACCACATAAACCAAAAGTAGATGTAAACACAACAATGTACAAAACAACCAAAAGCAGATAAGCAATTCAAGGAGGATAGTATTGCATGATGGTAACTAGACAAGTAATGGTGGATTGGCAGAAGAGTTTGGAAAGATGCTGTTGGGATAGATTCAGCTACTCAAGGGAGTAGAACAATAATAATACAGAGGAGGAATAATCCTTCACTGTAGATTTCATATTCTTGGAAAACAAAAATCTTGGAAGTATTTTTAGTATCTGCATGAATTCAAGAGTTGTTTTATAGTAGTAGTAGTAGTGTAGTAGTAGCAGCAGGGAGGACTAGTTTTGTGTGTTCATTTCTGATGATTTACTACCTTTTGGGAGTGCATACAATCTGTTCTGAAACTCCTCCTTTTCTCTGTGAATTTTTTTAGTAACATGAAATCATCACTTGGTACTAGTAGTAGTAGTAGTGCTAGTAGTAGTAGTGCTAGTAGTAGTGCTAGTGCTAGTAGTAGTGGTAGTGCTAGTAGTAGTAGTAGTAGTAGTAGTAGTAGTAGTAGTAGTAGTAGTAGTAGTAGTAGTAGTAGTAGTAGTAGTAGTAGTAGTAGTAGTAGTAGTAGTAGTAGTAGTAGTAGTAGTAGTAGTAGTAGTAGTAGTAGTAGTAGTAGTAGTAGTAACCTGCTACAGACAGCCTTTTACCCCCTAGATACATTATCACCCTATAGCTAAATTTTTGTATTTCCTGCTTCAATTTTAAACAAGTTTTGGATACTTGTTACTAGTAGTACACTTTTCCTTTTTGTTGGTTACTTTGTTTACCTTTTGTTGGCTGTTTTGTCTACATCCCAAAACCCTGTCCATAACAAGAACAAGGTTGGGAATACAAAACAAGCATCATGCATATTTTTGCTTTACCTTTGAAATGCTTTTGATCTGCCTTGTTGACAACAGAACAAGAATAAGGAGGACAAGGAGAAAAAGAAAAATCTGTCTGCTACTACTAGTAGTACCACTCTCAACATGGTATTGGCTTATTGTAAGAACTAACAAATATAACAAGAATAACATTTTACACATGTTTTAAAATTGCCAGTAGTAGTACTAGGAGGAGGAGGTGTTTTTTTCTCCTGTTCCATACGTCAACACATGATACTATGACTACTACAGGAGAATACTCTGTACACTTTTGCTTCCTCCTCTCCCTCCTCCACATGAATTTTTTGTTATTGGTGCTGTCTAGACTAGTAGAACTAGTATGAACACACAAGAAATACTGAAAAAAAACACAATCATCATACACAGCACATAATTCAAGCCTGTTTCTTTTTCATATGTTACTGTTAGGAGGTAAAGAAAGTAATAAGAAACATCCTCACATGATCATGCCTCCCTTTGAACATCCCAGCATCACCAAAGAGGGTCCATCATGTATTCATCTACTTCTTCTAGAGATTTAATTTTCTAGCAGTGTTTCTTTGCAGAGAGTGTCACAGCACTCTTAAATTTTGTTGCTTTGTTCCTGTCAAGAAGAGTCATGGCTACAAAGAAATTGAGCAAAGAAATTTTTGGGGCCCATCATGTGATTCTTCCACAAGAACCTTATCCAACATACATATGACACTACTAGTAATGTACTACCACTCACTCTTTTGTTACTAGTACTACTACTACTAATATTTGCATCCCAATGGAACAAAAACAAAAAGAACAACCTACACTCTGGTGCTCTCAGCAGCAGCAGGACAAGGCAAAGGAGAGGACAAGAAGAAGAGGAACTCACAAGAAGGAGAAAAACAAAAAACAAGAAGAGAAAGAAGAAGTAGCCTGATGCACTTGTTGTTGTGTCCATTCTATCATGTGATATTGATAGCTTTAAACAACTATTGTTTAATTTATTACAGAGAAAATTAATACTACTATTAGTAGTACAACCAGTGCTCCTACTAAACAAGGTAAAATGTTATGTACTACTACTAGTAGAGAGTGTAATATGTAGTACTAATAAGAGACCCAGTTTTGTATCATACTACTATTGGCCCTCTGTTAGTTTTTGAGAAAGAATTTCCTCACAAACCACGATAAAGGTTTCTCATAGTTTTTCTTAATGGTATAGAGAGTATTGCCCAGATAACATTATATTTGTTTGTTTTTGGACGAGAAGAAGAGGCAACAATACTGTTATCTTTGTTGTTTCTTTATGTCTGAAACTAAAGAATCAAAGATGAGGAGGATATTCTTGTTTTGGCAATATAATCTTTTGTTTCTTTTTGTACAAACAATGTGAGCACCCCCATCATTTTACCACTATGCATAGCAAAGAGAACAGTGCCTAGATCATAGTGTGGTTCTCTCTGCTGGCGGCTTTGGTGTTTACTAGTAAACATCATAGTGAAACAATGGTGACAACGAGATGATTATTGCTCAAGTAATATTGTCTGTGCTTCTCCTTATTTAAACAAGGGGGAACAAAGAGAAAATAGTTTTCATGCAACAAGAACAAGAAACAACAATGAGAATATTGCTCATTAAACAAAGAGCAGTACAGCAATTTTCTTTGTTTCTCATGAAAGTTGAATAGAAAAGTACAAAAATAGTTGTTATTTAACTGGAGTTGTTGTTGTCCTTCGGGAGCTGGGGAGTCTGAGGAAAAAAAAACATGAAAACAAGGTATGAATATCTTACATGGTATACCAGGTGGAAAACAATTTTTTCTGAAGAAATATAAAGCTAAAGAAATGAGATGCTGATGGCACATCATGATGCATTTGCTGATATGCTATAAATAGTCAAAATTTGCTGACTTCTTCCACTAACAATGGTGATAAGATTATTGCCCAAATAACATCCTCTATTTTTCTTCTTATTTAAACAAGGGAAACAAGGAGAAAAAGTGGATTCTCTTTCTTACAACAATGAGAATATTACCCATTGAACAAAGAGTAGTAGAACAATTCTCTTTGTTTCTCATTGCTTTGTCGGGTGTACGGGAAACTATTCGATTTGAAAAATTACTAACTGAGGGCCCTGTACTCGTACTTGAATCTTTCTCGTACTTCAGATATCGATAGGAAGTTTCTTGAACGGACGAAGAGCATCCAATCTGACACCATTCGTAAGTAAATAGGGAGGTAATCTACAAGGAATCAACGGTTCCAGCCACCACACACTCATGAGAACTGAGCATCTAACTGATGCTCTTAGAACGGCCACCAGCCGGCCATTGAATTCTAGCAACCATATCGAAAGGCATCGGAGATACGTGTCCGCCCGACGCAGTGTTTTCCAAACGATGGTCCAGATTCACGCCGTCTCGGCTATATTGTTCCTTGCGCTGATTGCATCATCCAAACCGATTACGGTGGATGCAGAACTGCCGGATGCGAAGGCATCGTTTTCCTCGTCGAACCACAAACCATCGAATATTTTCCGAGGGGATCCCTTCGACACCGATTGGGATGACTTTGACACCGTAACGAAACGCAACAAGAGCGCGAAGACACCACAGTTCGGTTCATCGCGCCGTGGGTCTTCCTTTTTTGGATTTGGACGAGAATTTTCTTTCTTCGAATCCGCTCCATGCCGGGTATATCAAAGCAGCAACAACGACGACGGCGAGGATCGGTTTGGTGGATATGCGTACGATGATTCCGATGCCGATGGATACGATCTTAGCAACCACGAGGACGACGATCGAAACGACGAGGACGATGACGACGACTTTTTCAGCCGCATGGAACGCTATCGCCAACGACGAAAATCGATTTCTTCAATTTCCAGCGGGGGCTTCAACGACAACGAAGGCTATTCTTTTTCCAGAGGAGGACGCCCGCCGTTCAATCCATGGCAAGACAAACAACAACGGCGACGGAGAGAACAACGGCAACATCAAAAACCTAGGATAATACAGGGCGTCCAAGATTGGTGGATGGAAAGGGTCGATCCCAAGCTACAATCCTTGCCCAAGATAGTATGCCGAATCGAACCAAACACAACGCTGAAACTGCGCAAGACCTTTCGACCACTCAAAACCATAGTTCGCCTAGGGGCAGATTACAACACACAGCAGGGCATATGGCAATTTAAGTCTTCCTGGGAGGACTCAATCATTGGTGGCAAAATTACCCTTTCTGGAAACAAAGAACTGCAGCTGACAAAATCATGGCAAATGAGTGTGGGTGGTGTGGAAGATTTGGTCACCCGGCTGCGGCTGAGAGCGACTATCAACCTGCAAACCTTCCAGGCCTACGCGAAGGTCGGCTTTCGAACCGAGCGCCTCACGCCCATCGACGTCATCGAGGGGTTCACCATACTGAAACGATTGCCCCTAGACGGATCTGGTGGCAACCTGAAACTGGAGGTGAAGGCGAACGTTGCCCTGCCGGAACCCGAGATAGAGTACCGGACGGAATCACAGGCAAGGTCGCTGACGGGCATGGGCAACGTCGAGGTGAGCATCGACGAGATGAATCTCCTGCTGGATTATTGATCGATTCCACAAAGATTGCATTGTACGGTGCTGTAATAGAAACTTGTAAGACTAGGATTATACTACCTCGACACTGCCGGAACAGCAATCACTAGCTCTTATTTCCATGCGAATCTAGTAGAGATTCTGGAACAGGAGCAGCATACACCCATGCCTAAACCAATAATTTTGGACCTCTTTTAAAGATTGGAAACCAGTTTTTCGGCCAATTCGGCTACCAAACCACCCGCTATCAGAGTAAGGCTCCAAAATTTGACCTGGTCCATGAGCAATTCGGGCATGTCGACCTTTCCGACTTGCTTTCCTTCGACGAGTGTGCCGAATACATCGTCCCCCCTCGTCTGCATCATTCGGGTTTTGTCCCCGTCTAATTTCGGGCAATTCGTTCGTTCCGATACCAGCAAGAGGTGATATCCGTATTCCGTTTCCACTGGACCGACTATTTCGCCGAGAGACACAGAAAATTGCAACCGATCGAGTTCGGGGCTGCGGCAGTATCCTTTTCATATTGAAGCGAATGCATGTCAAAGTAATGTAAGACAAAATACGGACGCCCCACCATAGAACAAACCGATAGATCCAAATGCGGGGCAAACAACAACGACAACAACAGCAACAACGCTCTGGTTGCAGTTCGTCCTTACCCTGGGGTACGAGTTCTCCGAGAAGACCTCCCCGGAAATTCGTCGTCTCGTCTCGGGAGTATTTCCTGGCTGCCACCTCGAACGCGTCGATGACCCACAGTTCTTTGTCGACACACTCGTCCCTGATTTTCTGCTTCAACACCCTGGCCACGTCCTCGTCCGGTACCAGTATGTGGCGCGCCGTCACTCTTCTCGTCAGCGATAGAAAATCTTTCTCCACTTTCTTGAAGGCACCAACGATGAAGCCATCGGCAACCGAATCGCGTCCGTTGGGGGCCGCCACCACAAGGAGAGCAACCATGGCAGCCAGGCGCCACAGACTCGTCGGGAGCACACTTCGAAATATCATCTTCAGATTGATTTGGTGATGTTTATGGTGCTGAAACACAAGATTATTGTTTTGGATGCAGCAGTCACTTCAAAAGACAGATGTTATCCGGCCGACAGCAAGGATCGCATGTGTTGGTGGGCTCTTGTATTGGTGCCCACATGCCCGAATTACTTTTACTTGGTTTGACGAACTGTTTTGTTTCGAGAATCATAACAGTACTATTATGTACCGTACGAACGTACGAACAGAACGCAATCAGTTTTTTGAGAAAGGATAATTTTGAAACAGCTGGTATGGTAGAAGGCGAAGGCGTGCGCCACACCCGTGTTGAGATTATTTTTGTGCGTGCCAAACGTGCTAGCTCAGACAATACAAGTGGGATTGGTCTTTTGCAGTGCATCGCATGAGCGAGTAAGTCGAAACTCAATCGTACGGTACAGCACAGTCCGTACCCGTACCTTACAAGACTTTAACGTAGCAGGTATTACGGTAGAACCAAATCACTGTCAATAGTATGGAACATATGTTGGTAGGTAGTCCTTACTGCTTCGTACGTTGTACGTTCACGGTTGGGGTCGAACGTACTTATATGGGTATGAACATA